TCATTCTTGTGCATATTTCACCAAATAGACACCTATCACAGATCTCCATCCTTTTATTCCTATTAGACAGGGAGACACACATTTGTGTTTTTATCGTACCTAACAAAAGGTACGATATTGTAGCCAGCTTGACAGGCGGCGGGCGGGCGGGCGGCGTCTCACTTTTCAGCTTGTCTACAGGTTTCCAGCCAAACCATTTGAGGGATTCATCTGAAATTTTCAGGGATGTTTCTACATATAAAAGTTAAGAACTGATTAGTTTTTGGGCATTCTAGGTAAATCTTAAAGTGTGCGCCTGACCCGGCTACGTATAGCACAGAGTTTATACTGGCGGATTAGACTAGTTCATTTTTTATATGTGTGTGAAAGCTTTCTCTTATTTGCGTTTTTTCGTTTAGTACGGTTTTGTTATAACTGCCGAGGTCATATAACCGGGATAAAACAATGATTATCGTTGACTGCCCACACACAAAACATACGTTGAGTGAACAGTGTTATTACAAACAACAGGCTTTAGAATACAAAGCGTAGTGTGATAATAAGCTGCACACTACCACTGCTGCATGTACATATTACTAATTTACTAGGGCTCCCAAAGAGTGGATAGGGAGGTTGTGTTTGTCACTTTTAAATTTTACATTTCAAAATTGTCATTTTACATGTCATAATTTGTTGGTTTCATTCGTTTAGCCAATCAAAACATTGTAAAACAATAAATTGTCTGTTACGTACAATCAATTTTGTTCAGTTTTGATTAGTTGTCAGAATAAAGTTACGTTCATCTGAATCCATGTATGAAAACAAAAATCCTATTTTCACTTCAAAATACTTCAGTGAGATGAAGGCTCGGAATTGTCACATGCAATAACTTATTGTCATATTCGTTATTTTATCTTCTCGATAGTAGCATTTAGTCGCACATTTGATGCGAGGTCACCTTGTCGCGTACCTCTTGGGGAACCCCACATTTATGTGTGTACTCATGGAAGTAAATTCCCCGGTGTAGCCGAGAGCCACAAACTTTTCAACAGGTTCGAAATGACCAATTTCTCTCATATATACTCTAAATATTTTATTATTTAGCACCTACAAAGTATTGCTAATAACCATATTTAATTTCAATAAGGAAACTTATCTGGCTACATATAAATTCAATATCAACACTAGCTGTTCTCTCAACACGTCCTGGCTTACCTTGTGGTGACAAACCCTGGGTTTTCGCTATTTATAGTTTATCAACACCTGGACGCATGCGCATTTTATACTTTATCGGGCACTTTAAGGTGGCCATTTTGGATTTTCTGTCCTAAAATCGTCACTTTTAAGACTTGTCTACAGGTTTCCAGCCAAACCTTTTGAGGGATTCATCTGAAATTTTCAGGGATGTTTCTACATATCAAAGTTAAGAACTATTAGTTTTTGGGCATTCTGGGTAAATCTTAAGGTGGCCATTTTGGATTTTCCGTCCTAAAATCTTCACTTTCAAGACTTGTCTACAGGTTTCCAGCCAAACCATTTGAGGGATTCATCTGAAATTTTCAGGGATGTTTCTACATATTAACGTCAAGAACTGATTATACTTGGGCATTCTGGGTAAATTTTAAGGTGGCCATTTTGGATTTTCCGTCCTAAAATCTTCACTTTCAAGACGTGTCTACAGGTTTTCAGCCAAACCATTTGAGGGATTCATCTGAAATTTTCAGGGATGTTTCTACATATCAACGTCAAGAATTGATTAGTTTTTGGGCATTCTGGGTAAAATGTAAGTTGGCCTTTTTGGATTTTCCGTCCTAAAATCTTCACTTTCAAGACTTGTCTACAGGTTTCCAGCCAAACCTTTTGAGGGATTCATCTGAAATTTTCAGGGATGTTTCTACATATCAACGTCAAGAACTGATTAGTTTTTGGGCATTCTGGTTAAATTTTAAGGTGGCCATTTTGGATTTTCTGTCCTAAAATCTTCACTTTCAAGACTTGTCTACAGATTTTCAGCCAAACCATTTGCAGACTTGCCAACCTAAAATGAAAAATTTGCGGGAGATTTAAAAAAAATTGCGGTACTTTTACGGGAGTTTTTTTCAAAATCCGGTAGTTTTTGCGGGAGTTTTTTGAAAAAAAGCGGGAGTTTTACGGGAGGTTTTTGAAAAAAACTGTAGTTTTTACGTGAGATTTAAAAAAAACTGGAGTTTTTGCGGTAAATTTTGAAAAAAAACGGGAGTTTTTACGGGAGATGTTGAAAAAAACGGGAGTTTTTACGGGAGATTTTTTAAAAAATGTATTTTTCGCGGTGAATTTTAAAAAACATGACTTTTTTACGGAAGATTTCAGAAAAAAACGGGAGTTTTTGCGGTAGGTTCTGAAAAAACGCGAGTTTTTACGGTAGGTTTTGAAAAAACGGGAGTTTTTGCGGTAGATTTTTAAAAAAACTGGAGTTTTTACGGTAGATTTCTGAAAAAACGGGAGTTTTTACGGTAGATGCTGAAAAAACTGGAGTTTTTACGGTAGATACTGAAAAAACGGGAGTTTTTACGGTAGATTTCTAAAAAAACGGGAGCTTTTACGGTAGATTTCTGAAAAAACTGGAGTTTTTACTATAGATTTTGAAAGAACGGGAGTTTTTACGGTAGATTTCGGAAAAACGGGAGTTCTTACGGTAGGTTTCTGAAAAAACGGGTGTTTTTACGGTAAATTTTGAAAAAAAACGTGAGTTTTTACGGTAGATTTATGAGCATTAAATCTAGCAATTTAATTGGTTGAAATTATTATGACGCATGCGCAGTTAATAAATTAATTAGAACTTATAATCCAAGATAGATGTCACTTACGTTCATTATTTCACAGCAGTCCCTACCAATAATGCGCCTTATATTGCGGGAATATTTTGTTTAGCGCCATATAAAAACAAAATGTATTCTCCCGACAGAAGTATGACAGAATATGAACTGGCCCCCGTTTGTTGGACATTTGGTGTGCAAACTTATACCGAACTGATCGCAGAAAAGCAATTTGAATCATGGGAATGAAGTACTTTTAAGTTATTTATGAAAGTATCGATAATGAACCATGGGAGCCAACCTTCTTGGAGTAAAAGAAAGAAGCGTGCCTGCAATAATCAAGGTCACAAATTTGTCAAATTCCTTTTAAATACGGTAGATTTCGACAGCAAAAAAACGGAGATTTTACGGGAGTTATACCAAGAATACGGGAGATTTTACGGGAGTTATACCAGAAAACGGGAGATTTTACGGGAGTTATACCAAGAATACGGGAGATTTTACGGGAGTTACACCAGAATACGGGAGATTTCAGCAAAAATACGGGAGATTTTACGGCCATACTTTTAAAAAAAATTACGGGAGATTTTAGTAGAAATACGGTACGGGAGCTTTTACGGGAGAAAACGGTACGGGAGTTTGGTATTTTTTACGGAAAAACAAAAAATTTACGGGAGATTCCCGTAAAAAACGGGAGGTTGGCAAGTCTGATTTGAGGGATTCATCTGAAATTTTCAGGGATGTTTCTACATATCAACGTCAAGAACTGATTGGTTTTTGGGCATTCTGGGTAAATTTTAAGGTGGCCATTTTGGATTTTCCGTCCTAAAATCTTCACTTTCAAGACTTGTCTACAGGTTTCCAGCCAAACCATTTGAGGGATTCATCTGAAATTTTCAGGGATGTTTCTACATATCAACGTCAAGAACTGATTAGTTTTTGGGCATTCTGGGTAAATGTTAAGGCTGCCATTTTAGATTTTCCGTCCTAAAATCTTGTCTATCGAGGCTTGTCTACAGGTTTCCAGCCAAACCGTTCAAACTTTTACATATGTTACACAGTGATAAGTTCTAGAGCTGATTAACTTTTCTGTGGCCATATTGCTTTCTTGGTCAACAAGACCACAATGCTGTGTTTTAGGTACGATATTGTTCACGTCTGTGCCTTGTTACATTTTGGAAAGCTAATTCTACTTTCAATTAAAGAAATGTACTGTAGAAGAAATGAACAAATTTGAATGTATTATTAAAGTGAATAATAAACAAATATACATGTTTATCAAATATACTTTATTGGTCTGTTTGGTGGCGAGTTCATGACAAGCAGCTCATACAATGATACAAGTACACTTTTGAAATAGAAGCCCAGTGTAAAAGAAACAAGGATCTGGGTGAAAGAAGTCATAACCAAACTAATTTAAGGGCACCATACATAATGATAATCTAATATTAGCAGCATGGCCATGAAGAAATGGATTGAAATCTTCCATTGGCTCAATGGTCGCACTTGTATTTATAATTATCCACCAGGGAAACAGATACATATATTCAAAATTTCAGTGATTTGTTCAGTCATGTCACACATAATTTTCATTTAAAAGCTGAGAAAATGATACATGGCTTGTACGTGGTTACATTGTGGTAAAAACTCACGTTCGACTGATCACTGGTGCCACTTAATTTTGGTGGCCATATTGATTTTCAGTTTTTACTGTTTCACAATAAACGTATGTAGCAGAATAGGAGGAACTTCTAGCACAAAGCACAGATAATTAAATAAGCTTTTTATGTTTCTTTTGCTGAGATGTTGAGTTGAAGCATGACTGAGATGCACGAATGGAGAATTTTACATTTCTAGTCTACCTATTGCTATTGGATTAACAATTAAAACCAAAACTAAATTAGAAGAGACCAGTTTCTATCCATTTCTTACTGTTCATTATTGTATAAGGCTTAAACTGCATGAGTATTCAATAAAGCTATCAGTTGCACATTTTATTTCACTGTGTTATGATATTCAATAGCACATGATACTTGGTGGTTCCAACATTTTTATGTAACCCCCACAAATCTAACATTTTGGGATAGTCTACAACCGTGTTTGGTGGTCAGTGTCTGAAAGAAATGGCAGGTGGTAAATGTTTGCATGTTAATGCCTTGTTTAAATTCTTCCAACCTGACCAGAGACAGGCAGCTGAACAATAACTGCTATATCCAATAACACCAACCACCATACACAAAAAAGTTGGAGACCAAAACAACCACTTGTGGTGGTGACATAAAAACTGTACTTATTATCAATTAAGAATTAATGCTTCTAATTATTTGGCGTATTACCATCAAGAGAATTAAGAGTCCAAGTCATGTCTAAATAACTGTCCTTATTCCAAAAGATGAATATAGATGGAGCAGACAGTTGGCAAGCTTAATTCAGCCTATCCTTCAGGTAGTTGGTTGCCAAGGCAACTATGGGTGCCCCAGTAGGGACTCCAGGGAATGGCCCACTGGACCCAGCAATGTCCATATGTGAATACTTCAGTGGTTTCTCAGAGTCTACCCCATGCTGAAAAATTCAATATGAAAATATGTGTACAGAATGTTTTATTTTCTACAACTGTTGATAGTGAATAATTTTAATAGACAGTTCTGTTTTACAAAAGCAGTGACCTTTTCCACTTTGACTGACCAAAAAGTAAAGTAAAGTAAAAACCCTGGATTTAAAATTTCTAAAATGCTTATTACAACAATTACGTTTTTGATGTTACTTTTTACTAAAAGACTTTTGTATATTATTATATCAAGATTGAACATTTGAATGTAATAATGAATTTTGTATTTTGGAGCCACATTGAATGGAGACCAACATGGGAAGTAATAAAGTAGCTTATCATATCATAGCTAGAATCCAAGTGTTCTGATTGGTCAATGTAGTACTATCCTGGGATTACTATGTGATTAAAAACAGCACAGCATATTAGGCCTACACGCCTCTCTTAATTTTTGTATTGATAAAAAATGTATTGACGGTGTATTGACCAAAAGCAATAAAACTTGCGAAAAAAGTTATTGTAAGATGAGTAGATATTGCATGAACATATTTGCTTTATACCTTGTCTAATCCAGATGATACAATCATAAAGGCTGCTGGGAACTGGTGCCCTCTGGCGGTCATAGTCGAGGGGGCATTATTGCACTGTAGGACATCCTCATACTCCGAGGGGGCAGCACAGAATTCGTAATCCTGAAGCACAAAATCATATGTAGAGTAATTTTAATTTCTGAGCCAAACTTTTATATTTTTTAACAGACAAAATAGAGACAAAAAACTACTGAATGTAAGAAACAAATTCTGATTTACTTTCAAAGCAACATAATAGAAAGAATTCTTCGATGTGAGCTCTACAACTCTTTTAAAAGAAAATATATGATTTTATTACCTCTCGTCTGATTGTAGAGATCTCAAAGGGATCTCCCATAGCATGGCCGGCTGTTTGAATTTGCTGAGCTGTCCCATTCAGTCTGGCAGGGCCATTGTCCATGACAATCTGTTGAAATAAATAAATATTCAATGTATTATAGACAATAATGACATCATAAAAGGCTTCTAAAAAATTCAAAAATGTTTTGTTGCACTAAAAGTTAAACCTTTAAATTAAACGCCAAATATTTGTTATGCTAAAATTATTCTGAACACTGTATGATAACAGGTTCAATGTAGTAAAAACCAGTAGTGGCCATTATTTCACCTAACAGCCAGTAGTACTTATGGTTGATACATTACAAAACATACTGGAAATTGATTTGAGACTTTACTTGCATTGTGGGCTAAACTCAGATTTAAATATCCCGTCTTGACACAATGTAAGGGATACTGTAGGAAGCAAAAACACAGAAGTCACCCCTTTGGCCAAAAATTCTTACAAAATCACAGTTTTTCTCCATAAGAGCACTTTCAAGTGCTTTTGGTCATTTTTGGGCCAATCAGGCTCCACCTGAACCAATAAAAGTAGCATTCAGAGGATATATCATCTATAAGGAAGATATTGTGAACAACTTACTGAATATTTGTCCCCCATTGCTCTGATTGCATGTCCTGTCAATGTGGCAATGGTGAAGATTTGAGGGTTGGGTTGACCTATAGCCTTTTCTTTCATATGGCACAGGAGGTCAGACATGACCATCCTGCCTTCTGCATCTGTGTTACCCACGCGCACTCGTACACCAGCACGTGAGGTTATGATCTCATCCGCCACATAACAATCTTAAAACACATATATTAATGATCAAAAAGATATTTTAACATAGCAGCTGTGTATGGAAAAGTTCATATATGTCAGTGAACAGTTAGGCCTTCTCGTCAAAAATTTGAACATACCAATAAAAGGAGGTTGTTGGTTAGTTTCAAAATGAAACATGGTATTAACTTGGGGAAATGTCACCACATACAAAAGTGTAATAACAATTTCCAAGAGACGCCAAACACTGATGCTGAACAACTGTTGCTAAATGGAAGTCGTTAACAACAATATATCACCATTTCTGCTTCTTGATGATGAAATAATAACATGTTAGTTTACATGAGTTTCGGCTTACCTGAGCCAACACTGTTCCTGACCATAGCCAGAACTCCTACGCATTTGATCCCCCTTGGCTTAGAAGCTGCTAGCACCTGCAAGGACACGAAATATTAATTTGTAAATCTAAGGCACAAATTAGTTACAGCCATTACAATGCAGCAAGAATTTGAGCTCTGCCTTTAATGTCTTATTCACAGGAACAAGAGTTCAACCCCCCACTCAATGTGAACCAGAGATTATTCTTTGGTACACAGTGAGTGGGGCAGGGGGTTCAACTTTTGTTCCTGTGCCTGTGATCTCATTCATTAAAATTAAATCTAAGTAGAACTCCTTTGGGTTCTGAAAAAGTGTTCCACTTGGGAGGTCTATTCAAACGTTTAAAGGTTTGCAGTTTGGGAACAAATTTTTTAATAATTTATAAAATCTTGATGTAAATGACAGAAAATATTATTTAAAAGATTGAAAATTCCTAATTCATGGAGACAATTTTGATATTATTCCTTGCCTGGAAAAAGCCCGCAACTGCCGCTGCACCACATTTGTCTCGGTGCATTCCTGCCATGACACCCCCAGCTTTGATGTCAGCGCCACCAGTGTCATATGTGATACCCTGGAATGTCAACATTTACATTAATTTCTGCATTATGATGCCAATATATTAAATGCATTAAAACAATACAAGGTGATAAACTGCTTTAGATATCAAAGTAATAATTATAATTTAAATCACTTCTTATCATTTTTCTAAATGTGCAAAAATCATGCATAGTTTTGCTCAAATATTATTTTTCTCATTTGGTAAATCAAACGATTTGAAAAAAAGATTTGGATAACCTTTTAGAACTAGGTCTATTTGTCAAAGTAATAAGACGATTAATTTTGAAAAAAAATTAAGCGAGTGCCTACCTTGCCTACGAAGAACAGTGTCTGGTTAATGGGGCCCTCACCCTCATATTCAAGGTGAACAACACGACCCTGGTGACGAGTTACTCCTAGAATCAAAAGCAATTGTATTAAAAAGACTTAGTTATTCAAGATTGTGTGTAACTGAAATGTCACCCAATCTTGAAAATAAATATGATAATTGGGACTTTTCTTTGAAAAATTGATATTGAGCTGCCAAAACTGACAACCATAATCAACAATAAATCTTCTTCAGGAATGTCATTTTATCGTCACAAAAAACCGAATCAAATATTGTACAATGTCAATATATCCTAGATGACACTATCATGTCCCAACAGTACACTGTACTACTGTTTGTGGCAATCATATATGTTTTAGATTGTATTTTATATGCATGTGTTCAGTGCATCTTTGGTGGATGATATAAGAGGAGGAAAAATCCAAGAGCCTAGAGATGACAGACATACATGTAATGACGTCTCTTGCTTGCTCTTAAACACATTCACATTATAGACATACATGTACAGTGTATGTCTTCTCTGAATTCTCGGGTTTTCCCCTCTTGGATTATATGATTGTTTTAGAAATGTTTTACATACCTGCTGCACACCTGTTGACTGCTGCTAAGAGGGGATATTCTCTTTCAAACACATCCTGACCACTCCAAACATCAACCTAATAACAGTGAATAAATAGAAGTTATTTACTGGGAGGGATTAAGTATGAGTTTTATACATAGTGGGTAATATATTTCCCAAGGGCCAGAGAGACTGGAGTGACAGAGCAAAATACTGTATAAGTGGTATTTAATCCGAGTGGTTAATTTTCCGAATGGTCAAATTTCATCATTTTCCTAATTTTAATTTTCCTAATGACAAGAAACCTCCCATTGGATAACATTATAAAGACAATATTTCCGACATTTAATTGTCCGAACCTGGCAAAAATTAGGAAATAGGCAAATTAAATGATTAGGCAAAATTACCACTTATACAGTATCATACCGACTGATGTAAAAAACTTATTCAATTCCAAACCAGAAAAAGCATTTAACATCGTGAGTGCGTATGTGAAAAAATGTCAGAAAATAGAATAAAGGGATGACCAGGTGAATACAATTTCACTAAGAGGACTACCACACAGTATAGAGAATATTAAATTAAATGTGTTTGTAGAGATGTCTATCACAAAGCTAAACAGGAACTACTCGATACAACAAGCATCTTACCTTGACACTGGTATCTTTGAAGAGATCAGTGATATATTCTGCTACTCTAGGGGCAGCCATTCTCTCAGGATCAGAGCCACCTATATCTCGGGCAACAAACCTAAAAGCACAAATCATAAAACTTTCAAATTTTTTTTTTAATTTAGCTTATTTCTAGATTATTTTTAGTACATGTAAAATTCAATAGCGACCAAGGTAACTATAGTCTTAGCCATATATCAAGGTACCACCTGGTGGAAGATATAAGTCAGATCTAACTACATGTATGTAGAGATACTGTCCTAAAGACAATAATTTCATCTTTATATTAGGATGGGTCCAGGTGCCAAAAACAGCTGATCCATGGGTATATTATATCATTTTGAAATTTAAAATCAAAACAGAAGATTTTTGAGGATAATATAACATTTGTTTCTTCTTTATTTTTAAATGCCAAACAGTTTTAAATTATAGAAAAATTTGACTGTATGCCCCTTTAAAATCCTCAAATACATTAGGTATAAAAAGATCTAAAATAGACCTCCTTCCTCCTTTTGTCCATACCTGCCGGATTCTAATGCTTCAATCCACTTCAAACTTGTGGTAACTCTGTTGAGATCATTGCACCATACTGCCATCTTAGACACTTTAGCCGCACGGTCTGGGCAGCCCTCTCTCACCTCCAATGGCTAAAATAAAGTAATTCTGTCTAAATGGAACACATTTGTTTCCTCTAAAAAGTGTTCGACTTGAGAACCTGAAGATTTTAAATTTGGTTATTGGGTCAGTTATAGTTTAAAAAATATGAGTACCTTATATTTTCAAATCATAGAGGAATACAATCAACCAGACATGACCCATTAGACATGACCCAGGCTTGTCTAGCTACAAGCCCTTGTGACCCCCCCCCCAGGCTCCAGGGTCTTGAAGCAAGATCAGACCCAGGTTTGACCCCTTCTTCAAACAACCTACCACGTAGAGAGAATGTAGGGCTCCTAATGTGGCAACTGGACCTGCATATTGGAAGGTATCATCAATTGGTCTAACCAGGATTGGGGCCTTGCAACCAGCACTCAGTGCCCTGAAACATGTATTTCTATAGTCAACAGTTGTAAGACTATTGGTCCTGAACCAGCATTGTGAGAAACATGTGTATGTATATCTTAAAACACTTATTTTCTTCAGTCCAACTCTTACTGCTACATGATTGTATCTGACAGTTATACCCATAATGACATTGGGAAATATATTATTTGCAGTATGTGGAAACGTACACATACGCAGATGTTAGGTAATCGGGTGATCTGGGCGAGGCAGTGATTAAGGGGGATGAATCTAGGCACATTTTCTTTTTAACATTTGACACTCTCTATTGCTTGGAGCTCCATCTTGTTAGAAAATGTAATGATTCGAAAATGAGCTCATGATCAGGATGGTCCAAAACAACATAATTGGATCATCCGATGTCAACATCTGCGACTACCGCATATTTGGAGAACTAACAGAATTGGTTTATCATGAACCCCTTACATCTATACTCAGTCGAACAGTCCCTTAAGATCAGAATTATTGAGAAGTCGAATTCACTGTCTCAACAGCCTGTCAATGATGCATTTAACCAGTGTAGGCCAAAATTGAGGGCTATAATTGATCAAAATGGTGGACATATTTAGAGACTGTTTATGTAAATCAAGTTGACAAAAAACTTGGTTTTTGCAAGTTTCGGAAAACCTGTTTTGAAACGAAAATGACGTCATCTATATTATGGACGCTGGTTGACAGACATTAAAATGAATTTGAACTCATGGTATACCAAATTAAAGATAAGTAAATTCCCTATCCACTGGTATATAATATGACATGTTTTCCTCAAGAAAATCAATATTTATTTTTGAAATACGAGTGTCCCATTTTTTTTTGGACCACCATGTACATGTAAAATATGTGTTTTTGTGAAAAACATCAGGTTGTAATTTATGGGATTCAAGTTCATACCGTTTAACTCCCTTGATAGCTGCATCAGCAAATCTTCTAACATCATCCTGATCTCTGTTCAATGGTCCAGTGGGAGAGAAAATCTAAATAAAAAATTGTTCTTTAAACCAGGGATAAATTAAAATGATCATAAAGAACTTTGATTAAATCAAAATATTTACTCCACAAAGTTGACTGTACTCTCCTTCAAAAATTATAAATTGAGAGGCATGATTTCCTTCAGGATAAAATCTAAAACACCTTTATGCATATCACTCATATATTATATGATTTATCAAAACAAATTGGTATATGCATATGTAACGATCCTTGGGTACACCCTATCGAAGGTCATTACACATATATAATTTTGGGTACAATATCTTGGAGCACAATGTTTGTGGGTCGTTTATCTTATCATGAACATACAGAATAAATCAATGCTCTAATGCTGCAATCCAAAAATAACTAAAACAAAAAGATAGATAAAATGTATGATAGCAATATGACTGAAATAAATTTCAGTTTAAAATAATTAACAGACCTACCAATCTTTTTGATGGCAATGATGGGAGGTACAGTATAGATACATCTTTGCCAAAACTAGCATCAATCTGAAAATAATACAGAGTTTAGGCCTAGTAACATGTGCATTCTAATACATATTATGCTAGCAGGGTAAAGTAGAACACATTTTTAATAAAACTCAAATACTGGAAAAGTAACTATTGATGAGTACATCATGATCAATGTCTTATCATTTATCAATCATATTCTATTCATGAAAACAGAATTATCATAAAGTACAGAAATTAATACGCTAAAAAGTCAAGAATCACTTAAAATGTTATTGAGAAAAACTGACAACTTATGATAATAAACTTGACTGTTGAGATGTACTTATCAAAATTATTGTAAGAATCACAAAGTCAATTGAATTGCAATGAATATAATTTAATTTAACCATTATTCCATTTATGAATAAATCATTGGTTTAACAAAGCAAAATGCAGATCATGAATACTGTACTGTAACATACTGTAATTGATATTCTTCCATTCTAAATTATATACTTATGATGGAGAACTCAGATATTTTGTTTAAGCACAAGCATAAATAATGTATTTTTATGCAATGTATCAAGCAGAAGCTTTGCCTACTGGGTGACTGGGTGTCAATTTGCATGAGCATTTCATTTATTTCAAAATCACTCAGAAAGATACACATGGGTGTGTATTTCAAGAGAAATATTAATACAAAGTTTGGACATAAATATATAATAAAAATATATTAAAATGCAAGATTTGCCTATTACTATGATTATCAAATATCATACCTGTTTATACTGTTCCAAAGGCTCCTGTAGAGCCTGAAGGTTTCCAGTTAATTTACTGCTACAATCTGTTACTATGACAACTCCATCATAATCTCCCTCATTGACATCTATACAAGGCAACAGCTGACACGCACTTCTGGAATATTATAAACGTTTCACCTGATGTCTTTGATTTTGATATGACTATAAGGCAGTTAATTTTTCAACAATAAATATCTGAAACCAGAACAACGGCAACGCCAAAGCGTAGCGAATCCCATCGAACAGCCATGGATGGCATTTTTACAAACAAAGGATATAGCAAAAATGGCAGCCATTTTTCAAAATGGCCACCTTCTACCAAAAGTGTCATTAGACCATGTGCCATGCTTATAGTATTCACATGCCAAATATGAACAAAATCGCTCCACTACTTTTCAAGTTATAGTAAAATACATTAAAATGGCGGCCATATTGAAAAATGACCGCCTTCTACCAAAAGTGTCATTAGACAGTGTGCCATGCTTACAGTATTCACATACCAATCGCTCCACTACTTTTCGAGTTACAGCAAAAATCGTAAAATAACGAGTAAATACCGCCATTTTCAAGATGGCTGCCATGTGCTTCTTAAATATCTACATTTCTAGCTTCATTAATGTCCTATATAATTTTTTTACATCTAAAACATATTGCTATTACAGTTTTACATATTGCACCTAAATTACTGTAAATTCCGCACTAAAATGGCCGCCATTTTGAAATGAGTGGCCATTTTGAAAATTGGCTTTCGAGCAGAACTTTTACTCCCATAGGGTATATGTGTACAAAATATGAATAAAATCGGGCCAACGGTATTTGAGTTATTGCCCGGACGTACGGACGGACGGAGGCGTTCCCTATATCCCTCCGAACTTCGTTCGATGGGATAAAAATGTTAGTAGTAACATCCGGTTTTAGATCATGTAGATTTGCATGTCCAAGCTTCTCATGGTGCAATTAATTAGACATGTTTGTTTTCCATATACTTTTTCATCTCAAATATAAATGACCAAGGTCCTGGGTTCAAATCCAGGCTCTGGCACAGATGTCTGACTAATTATCTGTAATGCCAGGGAGGTAATCATTAGAGTGCTGGGGAATCCATAAAAGGCTGGCGCTGGCTACAACTGTCTATGGTAATTTGAAATAGAAAAATAAGAAAATGATATGATATCAACCACATACATGTATTCTTACCAGCAGTATTTTCTATGTCCTCCAGCGCCCATCCTCCGATCACAGGGCTTCAAAATCCAGAATATCTTCTTTCTTTTTACCCCCTGCTATAACCAAGTTGGACGCGCCCGATTGAAACTGAATCACGTGATCTTATTATGCGCCGATGACGTATACATGATATCTGTCGCAGTGTTGCGACAGCCAATCAAATTGCGAGTTCTTAATCGGGAAAATGCTAACTGCTTATAGCAGGGGGAAGAAGGAGGTACGGATTCTAGACACCTGCTTAGGAGGATGTCCAGCGCCCTAGGTTAAATTGTTGATCAAACATAACAGTGAAGATAGTATTCAGAATTGAATAAATCTTTACATTTTTTCGATTTACACTATTGCACAAAGAACTGTGTAAGTGATTTTTCAATTTAAGGTGTTTTCGCCACATTTTGTTTAACATTTTAAGGGTAATATTTCAATGCAACATTTGGGTCTTTATGGATCAATAAATCAATATCCTAGCATAATATCTCATATAAAGTTGATTTTTAATAGCCAGTGGCTTCAGCCACCCTTCCTACAATGTTTGACGTTGCTATCTTGGGCTGGATGCTCTCTTCTATATTCAGCAGCAAATGTCCAAACATTTTCTAATAAATAAATAACTATCTGCTTTATATGGGCTTATTAGCTTTTGCAGATTATTGAGATAGACAACTTTCTTTGAAGTCATGGTTGAGTTACATGTCAATGAGTCATGTGTGATCATACAGTGACTGTGCACGTGATTGGCAAAATGGATGATCTAAATTTCACCAAATGCTGTTAGATCTATATTGGTATGATGCCAAGAATCAAGAGGTAAATGAAAGAAATTTCATAAAAATATTGATATTTTCAAAAAATAATATGCATATCAGGCTCGTAGCCAGTGGAAGAGCTGGGAGAGCTGGGGGAGCGGAAGCTCCCCCCCTGGCCAGAAATTCTTTCAAAATCATGCAGTTTTCACCATTCTGAGAATATTTCCCATGATTTTTAGCCAAAATTGTGAAAAAGCTCCCCCCCTGGAAAAAAGCTCCCCCTCCTGGTTAAAGCTGGCTACGGGCAAGCATATCCAGTTTTGGCAGTCATACAAGCCCGAGATACATGTAACACCCTATTTAATAATGTAGGAAAAAAGATTCATACTTCGATCTTGCTATTCTAGCCAAATAATACCGCAAATATATGACCATTGCAAAATTCGTAAAATAGAAGCGAAACCTTATTTAGCGAATGTACCAATTGGATCGTGCAACGCATGAGAGACAAATGTGCAATATCCATAAAGATACATGTATGGAACGGGAATTTTACCTTCATAACCTGATCATATACAATCAGCTCTATAGTAGAACTTCCCACAACAGTGTACTTATGATGTCTCCTTAACTGTCATGTTTGACTGAGTTTCACGCCCGGTTTCACGAGCTGAGGTAAAATTGACTTTTTTGACTTGAATAAAATGACCGGCAATATTGAATCTATGTTTTATAAATGGATAAGTAGCAAAATTTTATCGTGATTTTAATAGTATTAAAGTATCAATGTGGAAAAAACGCGTTCAACTTTTAACAACACTTTGTTGTAACTCTTTATTTGCAGTTACAGTACCACAATAAAGGAAAAACGTGTGAAATTTTTAAAAATTTTACAAACCTGACCGCCGACATTTTGTCCAATTTAGAAGTCACATGATATTCAGAGTGCACTCTGGGAGGTGTGCCCTATTTTCAAGCTATTTGATTGGTTGATCATTAACTGGGTCAACTTGGCTTAGGGGAGTAAAGATCACATGAATACTGCTGTTTCTGTCTTATTTCATCTGTTTTCATGTTGAAGAGGACACTTAATCCTGGTTTTATAAAAAGGCTATTTCATACAGGGACTCCCAGAGACATGAGATTTGTCCAATTCAAGGAGGGTGACAGGCAGGGGGTGGGGGTTGAACTTAGCAATGGAGGCAATATTGTGGACCTGAGTGCAGGCAACAGTTCAATTCCAAACAATATGAGGGATTTCTTGGCAGCTGGGCAGAATGCAATTGTTGCAGCTAAAAGGTACATATGCGCCATGAATTCTTGTGAGTATGCTGTGAACTACAAAAATGTTACAAAGTTTCACCTCACTGCAATGTACAATGTACATGTACATGTACACTGTGTATGCGTGCGGAAACAGTGACCCCATCATCACGGACGTCTAATATACGTTCTTTGAACGAGATAGATATCTTCTTTCGCCAGAAAATTCTCTTCGACTGTGGACCCCATCTCTTTTTACTGCCATGTACATGTATATTTAATACATGGTGTTTAAACTAAGGTTATAAAAGGAGGGGGGAGGGGAGGGGTCATCGCTCATTAGTGACTTACTCCTGTGTTAAAGGGTGACGCATATAGTTTAGCAAATCGAACGCTCGTTTCTGGTGTTGCTCACCGTTTAGTATAAAAGGCCCGATCCCGGAATAATACTCAAGGGTTCACAGGTCCGAGGTCGTTGTGTCAACACCTCTAACTGTTATATAGCATAAGTATATTATAGATCGTCACACATTTATAAAAGGGTGATTTTTATTTTGACAAATTAATTCCACATTTATGGGTGAAGTTTCAGGATCTTCTATTTGTGTATAATAAGGAAAAATTGACATCTAAATTTCCCCATAACGTAATAGCACACAGCTTGGCATATGAAATATCCTACAAATGAAACAAAGCAAGACAAACCGGTTTCTAATACAAGAATTTACATTGGCTGTTGTACATGTATTATTTGAACGCAATAACTCTTTGGATAACGTTTTCAAAATCATTATAAACGGATTACTTTATCTCAAAGACAATTTCAATAAACTGGATTTTACAGAACTCCCCTTATTTCTTAAAAATGGACTGATCCAGTTGATTCGCCTGGAGCCGCCATATTGTTTTTAAACGGGATGCTAATCGCAACCCTTTAAACAGTACCTGCACATAACGAGCGCAATATGAATTTTATGCCACACCGTCTATACATGTACCTGTATCTTCATAAACTGTGCTGTTGTTCTGATAATATCGGTGTTAACAACTGACAATAACAGTGCAAACAAAGTGACAAACTGTATTTCAGTTATGGCAAATCAATGTTAACAAAGTGTTTCTAATAGATAATTGAATAGTTTCGACAATATCAGTGTGTAACCAACTGACAATGTTAGTGTTAATGAACTGTGTTTTCAACTTTTCATTCAACATTTATACTATCAAACCATGTTTTAGTAATGGCAATATCAGTGTTAACAATTTACAATATCAGAGTTAACAAATTATAATATCAGTGTTAGCAGCTCACAATATCGGTGTTAACTTTTAACGATATCAGTGTTAACAATTAACAATATCAGTGTTAACAATTAACAATATCAATGTTAACGATTAACAATATCAATGTTAACAATTAACAATATCAATGTTAACAACTAACAATATCAGTGTTAACATCTGAAAATAGCTGTGTTGACAGCTGGCAATATCAGTATTCACAAAAAAATATTTTGTCATTCAATATTATTATTAACGAATTGTGTTCCCACCCTGACAATCTCAGATTGTGTTAACGAAGTGTATAAAATCAATATTGATGTAATCAAACTGTGTTTTAGTTCAGTATTTGTGTTTCCAAAATGTGTGTCTTATCCCATTTATATATATATTTTTTTAATTGTCATACTTATTTTTCAGTGTCGTAGAGAGTGGGAAAAATGTGTTGTCTCGCGACAAAGTCAAGTTGCTTGCCCCAATAACAAATCCTGACAAAGTAAGTAAAAATTACAAATGAACATTACTAGATGATCTAAAATGAATAAGAAATGTTTTTCATTGTGCAATTACTTTAGATTATCTTATAGGTTTGTTTGTGTCAATGAAACCCTGGGAATGAAACTATTTGATATTAATGGATATAGCCAGCAATAAAGTCCTTTAGTAAAACAGAATTTCAGAATAATGCTTGTATGAATATGAATTTATTTCTTGCTTGTGCAGTGTTGAAGTAAAGAATGTTATGCACGAAATGAATTCATGTAATCATGCTTTCCCCAGTGTCTTTGCATGTTGAGTAATTTCTGTTTGATATTTAATACAATTACTTTACACTGTAGATGTTGAAATATCATATGGGTTGCAATCAACTGCAAGTCACCCTGTACTTTTTATCCTATATTCTGTGTTACATTTTGTCTTTTTCATATGACGTATGATTTTCTACTGTTTAGGTGATATGTATAGGAATGAACTATGCGGACCATTGCCACGAACAGAATGCCCCCATCCCAGTTGAACCAGTTATTTTCAATAAGTTTCCAAGCACCATCATATCCCCAGGGGATGATCTGCAATACCCCAGTGAAACAGAGGTAAGAGCATTGCTGACAAACACACTGACAATGAAGGAGTCAAAAAGGGGTCTTTAATAAATAGTACGTATTAATAAAAATAATAAATATATAACTGCATTACCTATTTTCTATTTTTCTTAATTTCATCAAGATTCTAAAAGTGAAAGAATTGGCTTAAAATGACCAATAATACATGTAGTACTTAGAAAGAGGATAACAATTCCATTGATATTGACTAAGGTATGATATAAGGTATCACTCAATACGTACATGAATGTGTATTTTATAAATTGTGTTGTACATTATCGTTTTTGTTTCAGGCCTTGGACTGGGAAGTAGAGATGGTCATAGTCATCGGAAAGGCTGGCAAAAACATACAGGTGAACGAAACAGTTAACACTAATGATATGATTAAGGAATGAATCCCAACAACTCCTCACATACTGTTCAGTGTAACCCTAATTTGTTGAGCTGTTCCCAGGTCTATTCCAAATTATAATCTGACTCAATCAGCTCATTCAGAAATATCAATGTCATGAGTACAATGTACAGGGTGTAAATACTTGTTTATAGGGTGTCATCATACAATAATCTGTATAATGTGGTGTCACCATAATGAGTATATGTGTATTATAATTGTGTCATCTTCGTGAGTACAAGAGGATAATATGATGTTGTCATCATAGAGAGTATTATATGATGAAGGTTTTTGGGCTCAAAATGTTTTTCGCTTGAGCACCCTAAATGTAAAAATATTAAGAACCTTGAGATGTTTCTCTTGATTCAGTTTCTTTTACCAACTTTAAAATCAGGATATAATGAGCGTAGAGCTATAACACACTAACAGACAGTTTATATTGTAGAAAGCTGATGCCATGAACCATGTAGTAGGATACACCGTAGCACATGATGTCAGTGCCCGTGATTGGCAGAAAACAAGAGGTCAAGGTCAGTGGTTGATTGGCAAAAGTATGGACTGCTTCTGCCCTCTAGGACCTGCTATTGTAATGAAAGAGGATATTAGTGGTATGTTATTGTTCATTTTATCTTCACGAATATTGGCAACCACAATGGCAGAAACCTGTATCTGTCATAAATAAAATGCCCTGGAATTCCAAATGTCTGTTACAAAAAATTCTATAATTTTGCCCTTGCTTTGACAATGTTTTATTTAATCTACAAAAATATGTTTTAAAATGGGTACAGGTGGTCTTTGTTAACCTAGTCATGGGCTTTCTACATAGTAGTTTTTCTTGACCAAGTTTATAATGTATATTAGGTAATGAAAACATATATTTTGGTAAAGATAGAAAAATAATGTTTCAAACCCTTTTTCAAGCTGGAGAGTATTTGAATTACCAAATCATAATTTGTTCCTAATGTATTTTGATACTTTTCATGATTTTTTTGAAAGAACAGTATTGCCAAACATCGCCCTGGAAATTTGTCAATTGATTATTCATGTAGGAATGTTTTGATTCATCTCCATCAATCATTTATGTTTTTAGATCCTCACAATCTTGGGCTGAGAACCCGAGTGAATGGTGTAACTAAACAAGATAGTTGTACATCCCAGCTCATTCACAAAACTGCAGATTTGATTGCATATTGCTCAAGGTAAACCATATATACTACTACATGTGCTATACTGAGAGGCTCCAAAAAGCAAATCACGATATTTGAATAATTTTGGCTATGGGCCTGAGCTTTAAATGTCAGAATTTTACCTAATATCCTGTATCCCACTCTATAGTATAATAGTACAAAAATGTCATTTGGAAGGGCAATATAGTGAAATATTGGACTGAGGGCTGAAGACGGAAATGACTTTATTAGTATTATTACCACTGAACGATATCTAATTTCCCGAGGAAAATTGCCGGGCATTTATGCATTATTGACCCGCCACTATGACGTTGCATATTGCTCAGGTCGATATCGTAAAATAAATGCCTTCTAAACTAGCACTAATACCCCTAGAACAGGCTCGGCAAGGTGGTAATAATAATGGTTCATCTGAATTTAAAACTTTACATGATTAAATAAATGTACATTTTCAATTTTCCAATTTATGTTATGGTCTTCAACTTTTTTCTGGACGGTGTTTGGTGGTTCTTGTTCGGCATCCACCATCTGTAACAAATGGCAGGTGATGAGATTTTGCATGTTAATGCCTTGTTCACTCTGTTACCAAATGGCATAATATTATCAGGAATGCCCCCTAGTGTTGGTGTTTAAAAACATCCATCAGAATGCATGAAGGTTCACTGTAGCAACATCTATCTCAACAGGTTTCTCAACTTTCAGGTTTTTCACACTGTTGCCAGGTGACATTATGTTGTCAGGGACACCCCCTGGAGTTGGGATGTTCAGGAATCCACCAGAATACTTACAGGTAGATTGCATATCACATTTAGTTTTTCACCTTGGTTTATTCACTTCATTAATCAATATCAATATCATATAATTTTTTATAATTCTGTTCTGTCAAAGCAGTTTTACAATCTCACCATTTGACTTTCATGCCATCTATTGATAGCCCTGGTATGCATTACAACATAGTGAAACCAGGATATAGTGTCTTTTACCTGGGCATTTTGGTCTATTAAAAGGCCGTTTCCAGCCAAAAATATTTAATTTCATGCTTTAAGCACTCTCATTTTAAGTTCTTGCATGTTGCCACTTGTCACATGACCCTTCGAACAATTGACAATTGGAACAATGTGCAAAAATTAATCTTGGTAGAGATTGACTTGATTGAAATATGCTTGTGATAACTTTTTAGTTTACATTTGATTTGTAATCTAACCACACTATTGTGAAAAGGGTATCGCAAAACGAAATCCAGTTGTCTGGTTTTGTAATGTCATCAAAATCTTTTTATTTTTCATAGCAAAATATAAAATCCCATTATGTGAGTGCCATCTATGTATCATTTTTAAAGATCTTTCATTTAGCCTGATACATTTAGATATCATGTTGTCTTTATCTGGATGGTGAATTCGCTTCTTGTTGATGCTAATTGAAAGTCAATATTTGTACTTTGAGCCAATGTGTTTGCTAGCTAACTGAAACAGTTTGAATTACATATTATTCATATTTAATTAAGTGGGGCGGATTAAATGATTAATTATCATTACAAATTAGTAATCTATAATTACATGATAAAGATGAATCATGTCCTTGATATTTTAATGATCACTTTTGTATTTTATGCTAGGAATAAAATGTACTAATTATATACCTTTTGCCTAAAATACAATAAACCTCTGTTTTATATATACAAATTCCACATTGTGTTAGATGCTAATTCCACTCATGAAAAAACTTCATGTCTGTTTTGTCTTTGGAGCCAGTGTCATCACTGGTAAAATATGTTGATGTTAGGATGTCCATGTGTTCACAATTTCAATTATAAATGTACTGCTACTGTCATACGAGGATATAATGTCTTGTGCTTGTGCATTTTGGACCAAAAAGACTCACACTTATAAAACCAAACCCTCCCTCTAAAATAGCACTCACTTGTATGGGATACAGAGACTATTTAATGGGAGGTTTTTGATACAATATATTAACATGGCATAGATTTGTAGAAAAATTCTGCAAAAATTAACATGGCAGGGATTTGAATGTGACAGATGCTTGAGATAGCTTTTTTTATTTAGTGAACATTTGATTTAAAATCTTTCTAAACTCTTGCAAAACGATGTTCCAAAACAAAATCCAGTTGTCTCATTTTTTAATTTCATCAAAATACTACTTATTTTTCATGGCGAAATGTAATATCTCTTTATGTAAGTGCCATCTATATATCAGTTACAAAGATCTTTCTATTTGTCATATTTTGCATTTTTATTTGAACGGTGAATTCACTTTTTGTTGATGCAAATTGAAAATCAATACAACTTTGAGCCAATGAGTTTGCCCACTGTAAATGAAACTGTTATAATTACATGTTGTTCTTTTTTAATTGAGTGGGGCTGATTTGGTGGTTAATTATCATTACAAATTATGAAGCTAATACTACATGATTTATATTAATCTTTTCCTTGTATTCAAATGATTACTTTTTTACTTAATGCTAGGAATATTATGTACTAATTATATGCCTTTAACCTAAAATACAATAAACATCTTCACTATATTTACCAGTTCTTACAGTTGCAGGGTGCTGAACTAATTACACCCAAGTAAAACTTGGACTGTTACGTGCAACTTTTGAAGCCAGTGACTTCACTGGTAAATCTCACTTGAGGTTTCATTCTCCATTCCTAATATAATTCTCACATCCACAGCTGGATTCATTCATAATTAAGATATAGTGTCATCCAAAATGGATACTGAATTACGTTCAATTACAAATAAACCAGGTAAAATCCAAAGACTATAGATTCCAAACCTTTGCTATACAAAATAAAAAAGTTAAGATTGTAAACAAGTACAAAGAGATGCTCAAACATCTCCAAAAAATTGGAGAAATATATATATCCCTTGCTACGGGCCAAAAGTATCCTCCATCATCCTGCAGTGGCCCAGTGAGTTTCAAGTGTAATCGATAGAATCAAGTTCTATCCAAAGTGACATCTTGCGTCAAATGATTGCAATTACATGTACTTATTACAGTAGTTTGTCTAGGATGGGGCTATGCAGTGTGAGGTTGCCAGACATTAGAAGTTGTGACATTCTATAGAAATTTGGCATAGGATTTGAAGATTCTATCTGAAGTTTCCCTCCTACCCCAACCCTGTACTTTCATTGTTGTACCAGATGTGCTGTCTTGTGATCTCCACACATGATTTCACAGGCATGATTTCCTTGCCCAATTATTAGATGGAGTGAACGAGACAGCATAAATGTAGCTCTTCAGTGTTTCCCCCTATTCATTTTAACATGGGCTATGCATAGTGAAGGAAATATTAGGGGATACAAGATACAATAGTAATTTAATTGTAAAGGTGCATCATGTCAGGACCCCCTCCCATATATTTATTTAGTACAAAAGTTCATCTAATAAACTATATATTAACACATGTTCTTTTCTATGTGTTTCAGAAGGGAGATGTTGTGGAAGTTGAAATTGATGAGATTGGAACCATCTCCAACAAAGTGGTGTAGAACTAGAGACTATCACAAATATTTTGTATTTGACATTCCCTTGATTAAAAATACACCAAAGAGCTTCCTTGTTTATATTTATTGGAGGAGACAATTAATTTCAAAATGAATGATTTGAATGCTAAACAATATGGGCAGACATTAATGTCACTCAGAATACTTGATGCTATGTTTGGATCAAAATGACAAATTCAAGGGGGGAATTGTGCATACATGTACATGCGAAAAACTAAGCTTACATTCATAACAGTAGTCATTCTCATATACAGGTTGGTCTAAAAAAGGTGAACTGCTGGCTCCATCAGGGGTATATTTCCCTTATTATTTTGCACAATGTCTAATTTTCAGGCATGTTTGTCAAAGTCTTGGAAATTCTTCAAAATTCAAGACTGAAAATAAAATATGGCATCAACAAAAATTATTTTAGACCTTTTTCTACAATATGTGATAATATGAGCCAATTCATGCACGTATTAAGGAAATAATAGCCTGTTGCAGGAGCTCACTTTGTTGACCACCCTGTATAATATATATATTATCATAGGACTGACTATAAGGATGGGTCAGTTAACATGGACTGAACGTTTTATGTTTTTGATTTGGTCTTAATGGTTTAGTAATTGCCTTGAGACAATTTATAATGTAGTCAATTACTACAACTCTACATGGTATACACTAACGTTAATCAAAGAACGTTCATGCTAGTCTCATTTTGTTTTCACATTTTTAGTATTTTGATACTTTCTTGGATTTAAAAATGCTTGGTCCATCCACTGAATTGGGCTATACAGATTTTATAATATTATGTTCTGTAAATGTAAAAAACTGAAAAAATTGCTTTTGTGGATGCAATTGTTTGTATAAGAGTAAGATTGTCAATATATTTTTCAATGTGATGAATATGGTCTACACTCCTCCCTTGGACTTAGTGCAGTTACAAAACTTATTGGTATAAATTGGATATTTGATTTTTCTCAGGAAAATATATTGCACATTCAAATGCTCAAAGTAGGAAAAATATTGTAGAAATAACGTATTGCAGTTTCCTATAGACATTGTTCGAGATGGTCTCCAATTATCAGTACATGTGGAGAGATGATGTTAACTTCTTTAGAGGGAGGGGGTGAATAATGATTTTATTTGTTGAATTTCTGAGAACATCAAGTAAAAGGAAATCAACATTTTAAAATTTATTATTGCAATTGAGGGGAGAATGGTTAAGCATATTGAAATTAGCTTTGTTTTTCACAATCGTTGACATTGAACACCATCCCTTAGGGTGTGAATTGTGATTCAGTTTCTAATGTTATGATTATGTGCAATATGATTGGGATTCTAAATAGAAAATAAAAACTATAATTTACAAATAAAACAATTAAAATGCATTTATTGGCTTTTTACAACATTTAATACAGATTTTGATTTAACATCATATAAATAAATTATTTGATACATAAGATTTTACTTTGCAAATGTATAAAAATCTGATTCTACATGCATGTAAATTGATAATACAATTAATACACCCCAGTCAGGATTCCATTTCATATTTGAGCTTTTGAGATTGGCCTTTTGGCCATTGACACGTTTAGGGGAATAAAACAACTAAAACCCACAACCTCAGTCTAATAAGTCAAAATTGAAATAAAGCCTTAAAGCTCTAATTACTAAATAACTGACCAGGTACCTCTATTTAATGGCCCAGGGCTACTACTTTGTAAATTGAGGTTTTATTTTTGTGACTTAAAAATATAATAAACGACATTTTACACACATTTGATTTCACAGCGCACAACATTGACTGAGCATACACCAAATACTCCAAATGTGGATAAGGCCAAATATAAATGTGTCATTTTTTCATAATTTTTTTCTTTCTTGAAATACATAGTAACAGTGGACCTTAAGATATGATATAATAACTTCACTTATGCATGATATGATATGCATAAATGACAACCTAACATTAAATCATTTTTTATATTGCAAACATTATACATGTGATGTATTGATATTTGACCCATCCTCATATTTTTGGCTGAAGTATAAAGCAATGAAATTGATACCTCAAACATATACTTTATACTTTAACCTTGTTCTAGCAACAATTTTATTACCATGCATTCTCTGAGTGTATAAATGGCATTTTACATTTCCCAAGGAAATACCTAGTCTTGCATCAAGCCTATTTAAACCCCTCCATATGCAACATTAGATAAAAGAAACAATGCAAGACTAAGAAATGCTAAGTTATTGCAATCCTCCTTCCACTAACATGTGCCAATTTTTTCCAATTTCATTTTCTGGGAAATTAGTCTTAAGGTAGACAGAGTGGTATTTAAGTAATATAGCATATGAACTTTGACTTTCTCACGCATGCACACACGTGATGTCTGAAATCATGCACAAATTGGTCAATTGGTCATCTCATTTACCCATCATCTGAATATACAAGGCTGTTGCTCTGTGAATGTCACAAGGAACTGCTTTGAAATCTTCATGCAGGGTCTGTTCCACTTAGTCTACCTTAAGATTGTCGGGAGGAGAGGAGAACCCAGATATGGCATACATTGTTGACATAGCATACATTGTTGATATGGCATATATTTTTGATATGGCATTGGCATTCAATAAATATTTTGTTCCACTAGCCCCGACCTCCCCATTAGGGAGTAGTAGGCATGGAGAAGCACAAGAACAACTTGTTGATATGGCATACATTGTTGACTTGTGTAAGATGCTAGATTACATTTAAAATGTAATGATCACCTGTGTGTTCGTTGTCATGGATTACCGTACTGAAAATCTATGTAATCAAATTAATTTAAAGAATCCCAAGCACCCAATCCATAATTCTAAATAAATACTACAATCATTTTTTGGTTCCACGTGGTCCGTGTAGAATGGCCATACATTTGTATACCTAACTAAGAAATAAATTAGAAAAAAATAATAATCAATCAGCAGTGAAACTACTGCAAATATTTTAACATTAATAATTTTTTCAATTATCTTGTAATTGTATTCTACAGGGTGTTTTAAATATAGATTTTTTCCATTAATGGCACCATTATACCACTGATATAATGAAACTATGTGCCTCTGCTAGACACCCTGTAGAAATGCTCACATAAAGAAAATATGGAGAAAATAATTAAGCAGCATAATGAATTGAGACATTTTGATTTAAAATAACAAAGGACCCCAAAGTAGCTCATCCGATCATTTATAGCTACATGTTACCTTGATTTTTGGATGTCAAGGTTGGAAAGACATTGCACTATATTACATACCACGCATCCTTACAAAAGATGGGCCGGATGACAGACAATTCAAAAATAGTTTTTCATTCCCAAGTATGTTCATCGTATAAAAAAGGATTAATCGTTTTCATTTCGAATGGCCCTCGGATAGATTTTCAGGAATTAATTATGAACTACAAAATTTACCCCAGTTCCTTGGAATAAATTATTCAACATCTATGAATTATTATTATCCAAGTGCTACAAATCCGACATTTTATGCTGACTTGAATTAAGAATTAAGTACATTTGCTTTAATAAAACCCTGTTGGTCCTGTGTATATTCATACATACATTTTATTAAGATAACTAGGCAGAGTGAATTGAATTTGGCTAACTGGTATAATTTAATTATATTCTATCAGAGTACTAAAGTCTAAAGACGTAATGCTAAAAATAGGTCCAAAATTCGTCCCGCCCTGCCCACAATTAATGCTTTTGATTTTCTCTTTGGATTAAAATTCATGAATAGTTGGCTTCTTCCGTATATTGCATTTGGAATTGTCAATACGTAGTCAGTTCTTGGTAAGTTACAAATATTCAATTTTCTGTTTGAAGCATGCATTCAATCTCAAATTCTTTCCCTAGTCAATCTAACCTTCCCTAACCAAACGGGAGCACTATTTGGGTAGTAATACAAATATGACGTGCAAAGCGCTTATTACAAAAATAATTACTATCGTACATTCACTGCATGATATATGGTACAAAAATGTCCAAATGCTGAATTGTCAAACATGAAATTTTTTGAAAATATGATTTTTTTTTGAAAATGAAGTGGCAAGAGTAGAGATGAGAAGACCAAATGATTCTAATGAACTCCTAGAATTCAATAAATTCACAATGATTGACGTAGTGAACATGTGATTTGGAAGATTCGATGACATAATAGGGAGTTTAAGCTTGCATATAAAATCGAAACGCCAACCTATACGTATGACCAATCGCCCATACAAATGCATCGCTTAAAACTTGCCGTTCACGTTTAGGTTTCGAAAAATAGTGAAAGCTTAAACTCCCTAATGGCAGTGATGACTGGCGTATTACGATTACTTATGGTACCGTAATGTGCATTATTCAATGACACATTGGTACTAGTGCCGTGAGTTATTCAATGGAACAATGGTCCTTGAGAGGTAAATGATCCAATGACATATTGGACACACTATACTCGCATGATTCGATTACGTGATTTGACAATAGAGAGGTTAGATGCACGTATTTGTGAGAACTTGAACGTAAACGTGTAATTTTATGAGCCAAAGGGAATCGTTATTCACATTTTAATTGGTCAAAACGGGGACTTTAAATAATTACTATTTTCCTCACATATTCATACGCAATGGGGAAAATAAAGATCAGTCAGTGAGGTGAAAATGGGCCATAGGGGAACAAAATGTTACACGTTTCACGTATAAGTTCTTCAAAACGGTGCTGACTAGGCCTCCCTTTGGCACTCGTGTGGCATATTGTGATTATTACTGGCCGCAGAATTCCACACGATGACTGGTTTCACATGTGCAGGAGGCGCCGGTTTACCTCGTATTCTCTAATTCGGGGTTCTCCTGTTTATTGGTTTCTGGGTTTCTGAAATGGAGATTTCATGAACCTCTCCATGTTCAACACATCAACCCTGGTGACTTGGTCGGAACTTGTTTTCTTATTCGTCGTCGTTGTATCAGTCGTTTCATTGAAAAGACCGGGACCGTAATGAATGACGAAGGGATGCAATTCATCGGCGGTATTCGTTCCTATCCCTCATGGAGGCAATGATGGTAGTACCCTGACAACCATTGCCACTCATTGTGATCCTTTTATATCTGAGATGAGGAAGATGCAGGAGTTCTGCATGTGTCACTTGACAAGGCATAATCCAAGAATGAACCCTGTGATGAATGCTATTAGGAAACCCACTAATACGAGGAATATGGTCCAGCAAGTTACCTGTAAAGAAAAGTGCATTTGTTAATGGCAATGAGATTTATAATGAAAATTCAAACATGCCAAGTGTGTCTTAACCAATCAGCTTAGAGCATTTCAATGCGTTAATTTATTGATATATGCATGAATATGATTTTGCGATGCATTTAATTTTTGATCATGCACGGACTGGGAAGTGCTATTCTTTAAAAAGAGGTGACATCATATCATTTAGGGTGTTAATTACAGGCTATGCTATGATTTCCCAAATAAGTCTTCATAACTTTTCAGCATTAAATTAATTACTTTATTTCCTATAATGTTTGACAAACAAAACCTTCTCAATAATTTTCAAAGTAATATCAATTGTAACCATGGGCATTCATCTATCTAAAAAAAATCACTCAAAAAATCACTCAAAAATCACTCAAAAATAATCAGAATGGTGACCCCCCCCCCGGCTACGGGCCTGCTTTACTATATCTATTTATAGATTTTTCACTATGAAATTGATCAGTTTATCAGTTTTATTACTTTCTAGCATCTAGAAATAACCCAGGTGATATGATGTATTTCAAAAATGTCAACAAATTTCATTTCTTCAAAGACAACAATCGTGCAGATGTAAATGGTGAACTATTCTACCCCATCATTGATCTGGGTCATGATTAAATTGCAATAAAGAATCATGTATCGTTCTATATTGGAAATATAAAACCATTCGTGTATGAATTAACCCATTCTGAAAATACACTCAGGTTTCGCCTTCGTGCATTTATGTGCATGGGTTAGTACGTATACATGTACACTCATGCTTTTATATTTCCAATATTTTATAATGCATGATTTGCTTAATTAAAACATATTTTCTTTTTAAACAGGTTATCAATCTTGAACCTTTGAACTCGATTTGGACTTTATAAATCCTAATTGCTAAATTATTATAAAGATTGTGTTTGATTTATATCCAATGGTGATTATCGCATTTTATTTATTTACCGTCCGTAAAACAGCAAATAAGGAAATTGCGTCTCAGGCTATGATTAAAAATAATTCAACACTAATTCCAAATCAGCTAAAATTATTTTCCAATAAAACAACTTTCAATTTTAGATTAAAAGTTAAAAAAAAGTCGAAAAGCTTTTTTAATTTTAATTTCAATTATATATACAATCATGGGAATTTATTTTCGTCTAGAGTAATTGCCGAGGCTATAATTATTGCGAGCGCTCTCATAGGCGGGGGATTTTTTGCTTTAGCCATTTATAGTACCCCAGACAGCCACTCGAGATTTTTCATCTTTGGTTATCCTTTATCAATTATAATAGTCTAGCCTATGTTTTCCGAAGCATAGAGAATTTAAAATGATGTCCCCTGATATAAAATTGAATTTATATTAGGTTATATTAGGGCTGAGCAATTTAATTTTTTGATTTTAGAATGAATAAATTTTTACAACTTTAAGAAATATAGCCAAGTACTATTTTAAGTTGGTTTCAGGGCTACTATACATATATATAAATTATAATACATATAACATTATAATATATATAAATTATAATACATATAACATTATAATATATATAAATTATAATACATATAACATTATAATATATATAAATTATAATACATATAACATTATAATATATATAAATTATAATATTGATAAGCGTTTTCAGTTACCTGATCTGAGAATCCTTTTCCATAACGCCATTTATTAACATAATATTCACAATTTTTTCCTTTAATGCTGAAAGGCCATACTTCTCCTAAACATTTCTTAGCGTCTTTTACTATTTCCATAGTTGTGCGCACCTTGTGCGTTGTGTCCCTGCTATTGTTTACGCGGGCTTTACGCCCCTCAGCCGCGGCTCTGAAATATTAGGAAACATATTCAATGTGCAGTGTTTCATTGTCACAGACCTGTTACCCTTTGCATTCGTTCGATTTCACTTCTTAAAAAAGAGACTCTCCAGGCAGGGTACTGGCCTGTAGGTCACACTTGAATCAAGATTTATCACAGTCAACAGTTTTGAATTTGTCGGAGAGTGATACAATAAAGATGACCGTGACCTCGATTTGAAAGCGACCTTGACAGTTACTGAGACCAATATTATTAAGAGTGACCTTGACATTATTGAGGGGCTTGTTGACATTTCACATATTATTCAGAAACTCTGTCTCTACTGCACTAATCTTGAACCTGGTACCACATTGTTTGACCTGTCACTTTAGATATCTTGGTGTTGGGCTGGAAATAGCTGTTTTTCTAAAACTATAGGCGTTGGCTTCGATCGCGACACCCAAGTTCAATGACGTGTGCTAGAGAATGAATATTTTGAAAAGTTAGATTTTTTTTATCAAAACGAAATCGACAAATAAATCCGAAGCTATCTTAAGGAAAACAATATTAAGAATAACTGGGTTCAATGTTAGATTTGCTTCGTATTTATGTGTTTTTCCTGCCTCGTTGTAATTCATTTGTTTGAACAAACTGTTTATAAGTCTCACGAATCTTTCCGTTAGTAATTTTATATTCACTTGCAGTGATGTAATTTATCGTTAGTATTTTTGTATTCTTGCACTGATGTGATTTATCATCGCTTTGAGAAGACAATCGCTCATTGAAGTTGGAACGCGGAACCATAGAGCGCGTTTTTCTGATTCCTAAGAATTTAAAACACACCTCTATAGTTTAAATATATCACGTATTGGATACACTTTAGCACAGTGAAATTATTTCAGCTGGTTTTTAAATTGAACTTTGGAAATATTAACTTAAAATTAACACCAAATGAGATAATAAAACTAAAATCATATTCAGAGGCGTACCAAGTAGACGAGTTCAAATTACACACTAATAAGTGTATGACATAATTTTGCAGTTCCAGTCTAAAAAACGTATACAAAATAAATATTTTCTCCGTCCTGTCTCATGGCCTTCTTTTATTTTCAAACCATTTGTTAGTGAAATACAAAATGAAGGCCCTATTATGATGGACTATATTTTGTCCAGTCAATGACACATAGGTGCAAGTCATCGAAACCAGAGACTCCAATATCTATTTACATTGTACTATCTTTTATTTGGTATGGTCACCAGTCTGTTATGTGAATGCTACATATCTTCGTTGAGTGTTATGTTTGTTTAATTTCTTAATTCTCAAGTATTCTTTGACCACACTATCCTCCAAATTCTCGACTATATGACTTTTGACTATGTACATGCATGCCAGTGTACATGTTAACAATTTTGTTCTGAGGTAAATAGTTTTGGTGTTACGTGGACTGCAATTACAAATGAATCATTGCCCCTTGGGACTAACCACGGGGTGCATCCTCCTCAAGGGGGCAAAATACAATCAACGAGACAAAGACTTATGTCCGATCCTAAATGTTAAGAGTAGCAATAACATAAATATAAAAATAGAATAATTATGATCGAAGAGCAGGAATTCATGGACCTCTATTCCATTTATCTTATTTTTCTTAAATATTTATGACAAATACAGACCAATGGACCTATGAAAAAATGATCAATCAATAAATATGGACAGTACACGTCATCAATTAAGGCATACTTTGGTACCATCGATAATGAGTAAACATTATGTTTTTAATTTACCTTCAGTCCTATCAATATAAGGGGTAGGGGTCGCTTGATACAGGTACTTGATATCACTAGATATCGCTGTGTACTGCAGATAGGAGGTTCAAAGTCCACCAAAGTATCGAGAATCTCATTACCAATAATCAAATGCTAAATTTATGGTTGTATGGCTACCTAAATTAGAACTTTTAGCGTTAAAATATTTATTTTCGGATTTCGATTACTTCATTTGTCAGTGATGCTTTATTGTAGGACCAGCCTTGACTAGAACCTCTCTTAAATATATGATGTAGGTGATTACATATGGACACATTGACCCCCTCCCCCATCAATTTCTACCCAAAGGGACATATGCGGCATGACCATTATATGGCCAGATTCACTGGTCGAATAACATCCCACAACCATTTTAATTTGTAAACACCTGGCGATTAAAGTATAAATCCTCATTGTTTCACTTACGATAAAGTCTCTTCTTTTATAATACATTTTCCCTGAAGAAAGCTCCCTAGTTTACCCAAGTATGGTACCCGCACACAATGAATAACGAGGGGCTCGTTGGCCTCGGGATCTTTACCCGAGCACAGACCCCAGTGTTCATACAAAGTCCTTTCAAATTCAATTCTGTCCCCGGGTTCGAGCTGTAAGTCCTCGCTCTTTGTGAACACCCCGGGGACGTACTCCCCAGATCCCTCTGTGAGTATCTCTTTGTCATTATTGTTTTGTTCTCGGCCGGGAAGGCAAAGGGAAAGCTTAGGCATCTATGGAACTATGGGGGTGACGACCCTCTCCTGCATTGACCCACTACGTCTATTGTATCAGTCTATTCAAAATATGTAATATTTGTATTTCGTTTCAAAATATATTGAAAACGTTTGTAATGTTTATTTCTATCCCTTGTTTCCTGAATCCAAATAATAAAATTGAGGAAATTGTTATATCCGCTTGTTAATTTAATCCTTTGAATATTCTTGATATTCTACAATCTGTCTTTGATATGTGTCACTCTGCTTTACCATGGTCGTTCTATACAGTTCTGTTATCTTTACTGATTACAAATGGTATTTGTAATAATAAATTAATATTTGATAAATTCACTATCAGCATTGAGAAGTGGGAGGAGGAAGAACAGCACGTGATGTCATGCGGGGTCAAAATCCAAAATTTATAATTTGGAAGACTAAAGTAGGGCCTGGCATTTTGGTAATGCCCGGATATTATCTCTGCCGTTGTCGGTGATAGTATATGTGCCGTCTATCCTACCCAAATGATATGAGAGAGATGTACCTTTGACCCTCTACTCGTACGATCATGATTCAACTCATAAACACAAGCGCAAACAACTTATTGATAACACACTCCAAATCCACTAATAACTCATTAACCCGAGTGAATTAAGCGAATAATCGAGAGATTATTTGGGTGGGGGAATCTTAGATAAGATTTGTATCAGTATCACGGACATTGCCCCGAATCAGAAACTTCCGCTACGCTCGCAATACTCACTAAAACGAATTCTAGAAAGGGATAGATAGCTAAGCTAACTGTCATTTAACGGAGATATTTCAATTAATATTAAAGAACAAAGCATTAACATGCAAATTGTCACAACCTACCCTTTGTCAGAGACGCCGACCGCCCCCCGCCGAACGCCAGACACAAAACACCGACCACAAAAAAATATGGGAGGCTATAACAATATGTCAACACGTGTGATGGTGACATTAAAAATGATGCAATAATATTGCATCGAGGCCCTTCCCCCATATTTGAATAGAAATTGCAAGCATTAAGCTACACCTATGGTATCCTTCACGTTTTGTTCTGGGCACATGTATATCCAGAACTTGGGTAAAGTCAAAAATATCAAAAAATGAATTTAACCGGCCTCACCCTATTTAAGACCATGAATATGTGTGTCAAGAAAATAAAAAAATGAATTTCATAGATACAATAAACTTAAATAAAAAATGAATTTCATAAATACAATAAACTTGTCCATCAAAAAAATGTATTTCATAAAAACGATAAACTTTTGTGTAAAAAATCAAATCCTAACCCTAACCTATCCACTGAGGACACAGGACGCGTACCAGACCCTAATCATACAGGGTCCACTTGGCAGGAGCGTCGTTGGCGTACCTCATCTGGTTTAATAGGGTTAGGGTTAGTTGATTCAAAAATTCAAAATATTTTGACGTTATTGTTTTTATGATGTTCAATTTTTTGATTTTTTTGACACACAAGTTTATTGTGTTTATGGAATTCATTTTTGGATTTTTTGACACACATATTCATGGTCTTTTTGGTATGTTTTGACATGGTCTTGATGGAATTCATTTTTTGATTTTTTTGATTGTTTTGATATTGCCCACGGCGATAAATGTTGCCAAAATGGCAATGTAAATTCGATGGAGGACCCGAAGGGGACTGGGACACTCGTCCCTATTAGGACTGACCAGGCTGTAATAACAGGACACCTTATCGGTGTTGATTTATCACTCGACAACATAATTCTGACTTTCCTTTGTGTTCAAATCTGATTTATTGCACATGTCCTTGACACTGCGTCTTATCTCCACATGTTAACCCCTTCGGTTGTATGGCTTACCTTCGGCTGCGTGGCCCAACCTCGATTGAATGGAAAATATGCTGTCCCCATGTTTATCGGGATGTATGGCCTTGCACGATTGTATTTGAGACGTGTCAAGTCCGGAGGGAGGGGAAAGGGGTTTAGGTAGAAAATGACTTTGATTTTGCTTTTACAATGGAAAGTAACTCAGTAGAAAGAACTCTATAGATCTACAAATTGACCTTTTCCACATTAAGTAACTTTGAAGCGTGGTCCCAACATTAACATTCTCAAAATTCCAAAAGGATATAGCTTTATTACTCCACATTATATTAACTATTTTAAATATACAGAAGTTAAGTCTCCAAAATATTATCATATTAGGGATCATCACATTTTTTGGGAACATGCTGAGGGAATCATCCTATTTAAGAAAATTATCTACTCCACGCGATGACATGCGATGTAAAAATATGGACGTTTCTTGACCCAACCTGTATTTATTCATTATGTATTTTGTAAAAAACGGAATGATTAAAGCTTATTGCTTTTATTGAACCTAATTTGACGTTCTTTTTAAAAGTATACATCTGAAGAGTATTTTGAATCGTCTCGATTTATTATTTTGTTTCACTTAATACTTTTTGATTAACAGGGTAACAGTAACAGTAGCTAAACTTACCCATCGATCACAGTTATAATATGCTTTAGGCCTTTTTGTATGAATGACATTAGGACATTACGTTACATCTTATATGTGCAAACTACAATGGGAAAAGAGAGGACTAATTTCATTATAAAATGCCCAAAGTATGCAGTTTAACAAAATTGGTATATATCTTATTTACCTGCTTGGTGTATTTCATATATGAAAACTCTAAAGCAAAATTCAATAAAGAAAATATAAGCGCACCAAATGCGCAAGACATTCGATGTCAAACTAGAGGTCGATTTTCATTGGTCCCACTTTGGAGGCACAAAGGGCAGCGTATAGATGGCGTTGGATATGGTTGCCAATATATTCCTGAAGATGACACTGGCAAATCATTTGAAGACGATGGTGACATAAATACTATTTTGTATGGATACAGCAAGAATGTTAGGGATGTGCTGATAGCGAATAAAATAAACCCTACACAATGGTTAGATGCTGTCAGAAATACTTACAGCTCAGCGAGAGAGTATGAGATTAATGCCACCAAAGTAGTGTGTAACGAAAGTAGAAATACATGTATGAAGGCTGTAGAGGCGATAGAAACAAACAATCAACATTTCCAGATACCCTTTAGTGAATTTTTCAAATCATTTAACGAGCTGCAACAAATGCCATTCTTTAAAGATTTAAAGACGATATTGCAATCGTTGCCTATTTCGCAGATACATACGTTAGGCATCTCTGCTAATTATATCCCATCATTACTTAATTGGATTCTGATATCCAAGAAATATACAGTGCCACCTATCGATCATATCCTTGTGTACTCTCTGGATAGTGAGTTCTGTAAGATTGTAGATGAGAAGGGCTTTGACATTCACTGTATTGTAGTAAACCTCAGACAGGTCGTTAAACCTGTTCCCAGGCAAAGGGGGTTTGAAAACAAATCGTTGATGTGGATGGTCCGTCTCCTTATATGGAGAATATGTAACTATCTAGGATACGATGTCATAAGTTTCGATGCTGATGCGTTACCTATACGCAACCCCGGATCGCTGTTTCATAAATTTCCAGATGCGGATATAATGGCGGGTCAGACAGCTTTTTACCCTACATATATACAAGCGTACTGGAAGATGAAGACTTTGAATATGGGAACTGTATTATTGAGGGCATCGTTAAATTCAAGTGAGTCAAGTTGCATGCAGTAGTTCCACCTTGAGCTAATGATGAGTAAAGTAAAGCTCCACCGTGTATTGCATAATGTTTCATAAAATTTCCAATGGCAGGCAGCTCCACCATTTATTGAGTAAATAATGTTTGTATAAATGATGCTTGAATAAAGATGGCAGTGCAATCACATATCCTCCGAAAGAATGAATAAATGAAGTTATACACCTGCCATCTTTTAATCGGCCTAAAATATATCATAGCACCGTATACAATATCTGGCATATGATTTAGAGATTATCAGGTGATTTTCGGAGATACCACTTCTTTAGCCATGTGCACCTCTACCGTTTATTCCTTGGGTCCAGCTGTACAAAGCATATAAGTTACTCGACTCTCCCAAACCTAGTATTTTACTATATAGCAAAGCAGAGACATAATCTCTGAGCGAGTCGCCTTTTGGAAGTATTCTTTTAATACATATTATTGTATTGAATAAAACATTACAAATAAAAAATATAAAAAGCATTTAAAATGTTTAAAATGTACTGTATGTTTATAACCATACTTTACAATATGAAATAATATAAGACCATAAATTTAAATTGAGCATATAATGTATCAAAATACAATAAGTTAGCTTACTGTTAATTATGCTTTTACAGGTCAGTTTTGGGAGATACTGTCAGCATTTTCCGACCAGCAACTCGAATCACTTAGAATTGACGATCAAAAGCTGATCAATGAAGTTATCGTCTGCCTCGGGGTAAGATGGGATTTCCCTCCATTGTGGCTGACATACACAAATATGGCTAGAGACCCAATCATCAGAGAGAACGAGGAAATGATGCTTGGTCGCGAATTAATCCAAGGTCACGCATCTAGCCTCAAGGTCATTGGAATTCCGGGGCTTCTATTTTGCAGACGAACTTGCTTCTTGGATCGACTCCAAGAGATATATGTCTGGCATTCGTGTGTAAAGGACAAGAAAGGAGAAATATGGCTGTTGAATGATGATTGGGAAGAAAAAATATTATACCTCCCAAATGTTTCTAAGATGAAAGTTACAGATGATGCGTGGATGACGTCATTAATCAACTCAACAGTTTTTGAGAAATTACCTGTCCCTTGTTCGTAGAACATCAATGTGAGATGCAGCTCTAGAATCACAGGCTGGTATCGAAAGATTTGTCCGCTGTGACGGAGCATGCTATTTTTCATAAAAACACTAAGAATGCTTCTCGATTTATTTTTTTAACTCATATGTTTTCAAAGATAATTACTTGCTCCATGCAATGGATATATTATTTGCGTGTAACCTTCACTTCTGTTTGAAGTCCATTAACGCTAGGAGTAAAATCTATTGAAAACGGCGCCAGAGTATCAAACTCTAAAATGTACCATTTCTTTTTTAACTTTTTAATGGCATGATATAGTGACACGATAATATTAACATATGTTTTCAGCATAACTCTGAATGTATTAATGAGATATTAATGCATTGGGTCTTTTTAATTTTTTTATAAAAAATAATATTAACATTTTTTGTCCGCTGTGACGGAGCATTTTCACAGTTCACATTTGCAACTGCTCCGTCACAGCGGACAAAAAAATTAAACATTATTTTTTATAAAAGAATTAAAAAGACCAAATACATCAACATCTCATTTATACCTTCATAGTTATGCTGAAACCATGTGTAAATATTATCGTGTCACTATGCCATCATCCTCCTAAGCAGGTGTCCAGAATCCGTACCTCCTTCTTCCCCCTGCTGTAACCAATTTGGCAGCGCCCGATTAAACTGAATCACGTGATCTTATTATGCGCAATGACTTATACATGATTTCTGTCGCAGTGTTGCGACAGCCAATCAGATTGCGAGTTCTTAATCGGGGAAATGCTAACTGCTTATCGCAGGGGGTAAAAAGAAAGAATAATCTGGATTTTGAAGCCCTGTGATCGGAGGATGCTATGCCATTAGAAAGTTAAACAAGAAATGGTACATTTTGAAGTATGATACTCCGGCGCCATTTTCAATAGCTTTTCTTCCCAGCGTAATTGGACTTCAAACAGAAGTGAGTAACCTATGATATATTCATTACATGGAGTAAGTAATTTTGTATGATACAACGAAACATATGAGTTAAAAAATAAATCGTGAAGTATTCTTAGTGTTTTTATGAAAAATAGCATGCTCCGTCACAGCGGAAAAATATTTCGATACCAGCCTGTGAGAATGCACATATCTTGAGTATCAATTTATCACGTGAACATGGTTTCATAGAAAATGGCCGTCTAGCCATCTTCGATTTCCAAGGTGGTTATAACAAATTGGGAGGAACTGAAACCTTGTGAATCAAGATGCGCTAGTTTGCATACTATGTAAAGTAAGACAGATGACCATGGTGCCAATCTCATATACTGGTACAAATGGCACCCTGAGAATGGCATCATGAGAAATCATGGCCTTCTATTAGATTATTTCTAGATAAAGGCAGAAAGATGTGATGAGTATCGATCAGAATGCTAGAATTTGAAATGCTGCGTCAATGTACCTACAATGTACATGTAAAACATGCAGCTTGCTCGGTGTGCCTTTCTCCATTCACTTGAACTATATCTGGCTTACTCTATTGGCATAAACTCTTTAGACTCTTTCTCTATTCACGCGAAATCGTTGCGGCTTACTCTATTCATCTGAACAATACGGCTTGCTCTATTCACTTGAGCACATCTTTGGATTGGTTTAACAACACGCCTCTTTAAAGTATAGAACTTTATTTATAAATAACTTAGGCCAATGGATTTTTATTCTTCGTTTCCTGAACATAAAGTCAAATTTGCACATCGTCTTGCAAGCACGGGAACAGGGGGAAAACAAACACAAAAAAAGCTTTTAATCGATATCATTTTTGACATCGTTGACGTAGAGTGGGTAAACCTTTTCGAAGCGTTCGCCAGAAGAACTGGAACATCTTTGTGGGTTTGTGTTTTGAAAAAAGGGCTACTCGTTTATGCACGCTGACGGGAAACAAAAATTAAGTCCGCTGGCCTTTTTGAAGATCTCGAATAACTAAGGAGAAGCCTTTCTTGAAAAAGACCTTTTCCAATATTCATCCATTCTTGTCCATTTAGGTCTCATGGCTTCCTGTTGGAATCTCAGCAAAATCGTCTGATCAGCATTTCTCAACAAAATAGAAATTGTTTAATCAGTAATTCAACTGGATAAAATTCATAACGTTGATTAAAATTTCAAAAACAATGATCTAGCTTTCGTCAGGTTAATATGACCAGTAAAAAAAATAAAATATCACATTGGCCATTTTAAAACCAATTTGATGTCGATCTCCAAACGAACAAGAACTCAATGAATCTGATAGGACTTGAAACTGTTGATACTTATATATCGGGTGTTCCCAAAAAATGAGGCAGAGCTCTGGTATTGGAATTTTTGACATGATATTTTGAAGTTCTTAGTTCTCACAGAGAATTTAGTTGCTTTTTTAACAACTTGCTAATGATACTCTTAGGCTACCTTTTCACAAATTAGTGCATTTGGTTCATGAATTGCCGAGAAAATACTTGTCAAAAAGTGTCTCATTTTTGGGACACCCGGTATACTGTAGTCAGCACAGTGTACTTTAAATTGTCCTGGCGTTGCTATGTTATTATATCCTTTGACTGCTTCTTTCTTATTTTTCTGGCAGTGACATATGAAACCGTACCGTGAGTTAAGGCCTGTTAAAATTGTCAATACAATTGTTGATAAACATTCATATTTCATATTGTTTGAGTTTTTACATTCAAACTAAAAATCTAGGTTACAATTTACCGATTCATAAAAATTTTAATCGATCGAATGCCTTACTGTAAGCATTCATTTGGCAATAGCTTTATTTTGGGTTGGATTTGGCGATTTTATAAATTAGCCTAACAGAATCGAAAAAATTACTAGAAACTTACAAAAAGTAAGATTTGAATGTGAGATCCAGTGCAGAAGGATATCGCACAAGAATCTTTTCAACTCATCTATTCGTTGTTAAAATGCTCGAAAAAACTTGAAAGGCCCAAAATGATAAATTCCGGTCATCAAACCAGGTGATAAGCTGTATTATCTTAGTTCTTCAACATCCAGAACTTCAAATTAATATTTGTTACTAAATTCGATCTCCATTTAAACTCTAAGTATAAAATATTCACTTCAAGGTTTTGTACATGGATATTTCATTAATTCTGAAATTTTTGATTGGAAGATGCCTTTAAAAATTAATTTTCTTTATCACTGCTACCCACCTAATTACACAGACGTATCGTCGGTGTATCATGGCGGAACTTCCTCCGGGACTAGGTTTCGGTAAGATTTTTTATTTCCTGATTTACACCTACTTATAAGTAACGTTGTGGATAATAATTTGGCTCGAAGTTAAGGAAGATAGTCTAGTTTGAGAATATGTCGATGGTTTTAGGTTGTATATGTTAACAAAGACACAATTCACGTATTTAGTCCCTCGCTTTTCTTACACTGACGATCGGCATTAATATTGCCAATATTACACTGATATTGGTCGTTCGTCAGTGTAAGAAAAGCGAGGGACTAAATACGTAAATTGTGTCTTTGTTAACATATAAAACCTAAAACCATCGACACATTCTCAAACTAGACTATCTTCCTTAACTTCGAGCCAAATTATAATCCACAACGTGACTTATAAGTAGGTGTAAATCGGGAAATAAATAATCTTACCGAAACCTAGTCCCGGAGGAAGTTCCGCCATGATACACCGACGATACGTCTGTGTAATAGGTGGGTAGCAGTGTTTATGCAATTTCAAGATCAGTTTTAATTCAACTTGCCAAAACTGAATTAATATTTATATTTCTTAATACTTTTGTATATTAATCAGAACTGAACGTAACGTTTATTGTTGCCTTATGAGTTTTAAATCTTAGAACTGCGCCGTTCCAAGGCATATTAAAAGTTCCATACCATAGCTAAAAAGACTTGAATAATATATAATTATCATAATAGTTCAGGTGAGGTCAGGTGTTCAGGTTTATAGTAATGCCATCAAAACATTTTCGTTTAAATCAAAATGTTGTCCCACCAAAAATGTTATAATTCGTGTCATGGTACATTATCATGTCTAGATGTGACAGATGAGAGCATTTTATTGCACTTCGAATGGTAAACGTCGTTTTTATGTCACCGCCACAAGTGGCGATCGACATATTGTTATTGTCTCCAACTTTTTTGTGGACGTTCGGCGGTTGGTGTTCGGAAGTCGGCGTTTGGTTGCCGGTGTCTGTAACAAATGGCAGGTGTGGTGACATTTCGCATGTTAATGCATTGTTCACAAATGTTATGTGGATTCATATTCAAATCAAATCGATCACCTAAAATTTGATGGTCAAATACAAGATTCTCAGGTTAATCATATATAGATCGTCTCTCAGAAGTTAACATCTTCTTATTCACATTTCCTTGGTACCCTGGTTTCGAAAAAAGCTAGAAAATATCACATGGAGAAATCAAAGGTCGGATTATAGAGCTAAAGTAAATAATCTCAAAGAGCCTTTATTTGTCAAATGTCTGATTGTTCCTTTAAATAATCCTTCAAGATTGGGCTTCACTGTCATACAGCAGCTTTTGAATACCCTTGGACCAAAGATGCTTTCGATTGACCAGCAATTACTCTTGACAGACCATTTACTTAACCGTATTTCTAGCTCTGTGTTTGTTGTTCCTTTGTTGATTTTCCTGTGAATAATTCCATAGAGATAGTGTTGACATACACTTTCCACATACAATCAAGTACGAGAGGATTTTACTCAAACGTTGACTTTCTACTTTACATTTGACCCCGTTGCCAATGAGGAGCACAAAAGACCTAAACAAGCCGATTTGATATTGATCCCCGGTTTTATTGATTCATATATACTTAACAAAATTGAATTTCGCCAAAGTTTGACAACTTAAAATGTCACTCCCACTTGTTTAACATTTATTGAGTCTGGTAACGGCTCTGTTCTTACTATTTCATAAGAACCGTATAAATTATTTCATATCACAATTGTAATGATTGCTATGATGGATCAATTGTTCAAAAGTGACTTGAACTCATCAGTGCTTCATTGGATTATTTATGTAACTAACTATAGATTTATGCATGTACTTTAATCCTCATTAATTGATTATTACATCATCAATGTATAACCATCCCTGTTGATACTAAATATCAATAATCTTTGTAAACACTGCATTTAATATAACATCATTCTTCTGAGGATTACACAACGTGGGGTGGAATTCACTATATTGATCGATTAAATTTTCTCATATTTACTGTCTCTAAGAGGCTCATCCTGACAAGAAAAATGTTATTAAGAATACAGTAATTTAAATCGGCTTCGAACACCGAGACCAGCTCCCGGGAGCAGATATCTCTTGTCTACAACTTGGTGACAATCATCCGAAAAAGATACAAATGCATCCGAAACCGAATCGATATTCTGTACAAATGTGTGATACTTCCTGAGGCCCTGGAAAGCCGTCGTACACAATGCGCAATTTTTAATCAGAAATAATATTTTCTTGGCAACATTCGCCATGTGTCAGTCTATTCCTTTCATTAGTCCGTGTACACAGCATACACAGAGGCGGAACAGTTCACGTTTGAGTTTGCGAATGTGCTTGTTGCAGATGTGTCAAAGTTAGCGTCCCATACACATCTACTGGCAACACGCACATCTTGTCCAATATTCTGGGAAATCACCGTGTGAACAATGATCTTGTATCTTGTGTAGTTCAATTTCTTCACTGCATCTTTAATCTCTTCTGTTAAGACCCTTGACATCATGAGAGCAGCATTGGGGGTGTATGCCATATCCGAAAGTCTATCATTAAGGATCTCATCCATTAGGCGTTTCACCTTTTCATCGTTAAACACTTTATCCGGTTCGAGGCGATATGTTGGTTCTTTTTCTTTGCTGACCAGCGCGGCTTTTGTAGCACGTTTTTCTGCAACCTTTTGGGCTAGTCTTCTTGCGTATTTTCTGCTTGTCCATACTCCATATATAGACGCTCCATTAACATCCAAGGATTCCTGTGATCTATCATTAAGTCGAGTCGCACGTTTATCCTTATTCACGTTCAATCGTTTGAAACTTGAGGTTTGGTCCGTTGTTGGCAACTTGATTTGTCTTGCATTCGAAGCAGAAGCTACAGGCACTATCTTAGTTTTTCCGGTGACATACTGTCCCTTTGGTTCGGTCATAGGCCGAAATCTCCCATTAGATGGATTCATCACCGTGTTAAATAGCTATTCACTCCTAAATTCTTTTATTTAATGTCTTCTCAGAGAGGCTATGCTTTTATACTTATTATTGACTTGACCTCATATAACAAGAGTCTTCACATATCGTAATGCAACTGTTATATCAATGATTAAATACCGCAATTAAAACTGGTAACCCAGTGCACGCAACGTCAGAATAATACATTCGGGTCAGCCAAACAGTAGTTATTATTAAGCTTTTGAATTAAGATAATATTGACGGAGCAAAGACCCCACTTCCGAAGTGTTTATTCATTGAGAATTGTTCAAACCATATGTTTTGGGTATGCTATGTTTTGTTAAGCAGGGGCGAAGGTTATGAGAGGCAATCGTGGCATTGGGCTACCGAGGACCTCTTGGTTCGTATTGAATTCGTCACGGTCTTTTAGAGAACAAATATTTGATTTTTCACTTTTGTTGGGGTCATATTTTTGTGAATAAACATAATTTACATTAGCGACTTTTTTTAACTAGATCATCAAATAAAAACACATTTTCTTTAGCTAAATAATTGTATTTACAATTTATAAAAATAGAAGATGAATCAGATATTGATTGGCATACAATGCAAGATGAACATGCAAACACAATGATACAACTAATAGTATTTAACTAATAGGATTATATTTTCTGGTCTGACTTAAATCCTTTTCACATAACATGTTTTTATTTTTGGGAGAAACCCCCTACGATTTCGGACTTGCTCATTCGTCCATTTCTTCTCTTGCAAACCATAATATTAATGCAGTTGTTTTGGTTTACTTCAGGAACAAACCTTGGAATTTATATTGGGTCATTTCGAACACACATCCTCCAACTATCCCCCCCCCCTTAGTAGGTATGATGAATCCCTCACCCATATTTCGATTCCGATGTAATTTCTGGCAACCCTGTTGTGACCGAGGGTTCGAGGGATTCGTGCGAACAGGGCTTATACCATGGTCAGAGCTATATCAGGAATTAATATAATAGTGATAAATCACATATTTGGGACAAGAATGATAATAGGATTAGAGGAATGATATCAGGGATGATAATAATATCATCCCGGGTAAATTCAAAATATTTTCAATTTTTTCAAAAAAATTCATTTTTTCAAAAATTTCATTATTTTTTAAATTTTCATATTTTCCCGAAAATTTTCATTTTTCTTGACCATGGTATAAGGTCGTTAATCACCTGTCGGGATGATATGAGGAATCAGACTGGAGAAATACCCCTCTGATGATATCAATATTTCCTGAGGGAACGCAGCATCCTCTTGATATTCCCCATATCAAATCCCTCCTGGTGAATAACTTCTTTATATGTATAGGAAAGTTCCATTAAACTATTCAACAGTTCTAGTGGATCAATTTTTATACCAACCTTATGTCTCTGATAGTTATACAAAATTAGGGTTCTCACCAGAAAAAAGTTTTAGACCCCGGATTTTTTTGCGTCATCAGGACAAATCCTCAAGCGTATGACTATAAACTTATACAAAGTTTGACCTTTGACATCTCAAACTTTGAGGCATTATATCGGAAACACTGAAGAGTATCTGGTAATTTGATCACAATACGCATTTCAAAAAGACGTTTATATTCTTTGTATCTATTTTTAAGTATTCTCAAGAGTTTTACCACAAATAATGTGACAAGAATGTCAAATTAGACTCAGGATTTTTTTCTGAAACACTTTCGATTACGGTAGAGCTGTCGGACAACGGTGGGAGAGTCTGGACTCATTAGAGAACGGTGGAGCTCTGAAGTCTAAAAGCTTAGTGAGAACCCTGCAGATGAAAATATGTCTAGTAAAGCAAAACATTATCTGTCCGATAAATGAAAAGATATCTCACTTTGTGTGATTTTAAAACATGTGTGGGGAATCTCCGAGATACTGAATTTTGATAAAGTGGTATAGAATGCCTGGTACATGATGATGTCCCTGGGATGATCAATGTGCGAAAACCTGCTTTAACTGAAATATACAGCATATACAGTGGTCGTGCAGAATACTTCGCTGTTCTGAAAGTTACTGGTCACAAATGTGTCAACACTCGGGTCCCAAACACACCTGCTAGTTATCCGCATGTCCTGGGCCTTATTTTCGCCAATTGTCACGTGTACTATAATCTTGTATCGATCAAATCCTAATTTCTTAACCTCATTCCTTACTTCCTCGGTTAAAACTCTGGACATGATGACTGCCAATTTTGGTGTGTATTTATAAGTTGCAAGTCGTTCTTGCAGTATCGCATCCACAACTTCTTTCGTTGCTTTAAAATCAAAGTTTTCTTTGGGTTCAAGTCTGTAAGTTGGTTCCTTTTTTCTTGCAGCCAACGCCGCAGCTCTTTCCGCACGCCGTTGGGCAAACTTTGCTCCAATACGCTTCGCAAATCGTTTGCTAGCGAGGATACCGATCAAAGATGGCGCGTATGGCTTGGGTTCTTCAACTTTAGGTTCTTGTTTCTTAGGCATTCGCGAACCTCTCCTGCCCATATTGTGTCCATACGTAGAAGTCCTGCGTCCACCAGATGCGGCCATATGGCCGGGCTGAATAGGTGGCAGCGTCATCTCTCTTCGTGTAACAAGCCCCTGCTTTCCCTTATTTGGCAAGGGATTCATAGAATGCCGCCGCGATTGCAACGCTGGTATCTTTTCGTTCGTCCCATTTGGTTTGTGGCTCATTTTGATTGTCTTATTCCGATTATGATTATCAACTACTAATATGATAAATTATTTAATGTAGGCCTATAGTCTCATCCCGGGAGTTTCATCGAAAAATAAATCTCACTTAGAGGATTCCTTGATCATATCCTATGTAATGTCGATAGTTAAGTATGATCCACCTTGTTGATCTATAATGCAAATATGACCAGAGTATGGTTACTTTGTTCTTACAACTTCATGTCAATATAAAATGTTGATCCTTTAATGGGTTGTGCTATCAATATCCTAGATACTACAACTCTATCCTTTGTGTATTTTTAACGTCTGTGTTTTCCTTGCATCCCTGGATTCCCAATTCTGGACTGCAATATTGCTGATTTTTACTTACTAGTATTCCGTTTCGCACTGAAGATGGTATAATTGCCCAATAAACCTGTTTAATCCCAAGGGGATTATGGAGTTCTCGTAGATTGTCTCTGTGCAACAAATAGATCGATACATATAGCTTATTCATTCATTCCAACTGTCACTATGACGACATGGTAATAGATATTGAAAATCCATACATTTAACCTCATTTAAGTCGTTTATGAGATATTATGAACAAATAGTAATGTTGTCCGTCTGTTCATGGGGTTTCCGTAATGTTTTAGTTTCCTGATCAAGCAATCAGATCTCGCCTGAAAATAATGATTTATTTTAAATAAGGAAGAATACGATTGATGTAGAACAAACATAAATGCTTTATAATTTATGTTTGTCTACAGGTATAATAACAATTGTAACCCATTGCAACGGTTGTAATTGTACTCATTATGCCCTGTATTTAAACTTTACATATTATTCAAATTCAGTTTTGAAATCGATAGTTTAAATTATATAATGACATCATTTGGTTTTGAAAGGATCGAATAAATTGAAAAAATAAATCAGTACATTACCACAAAAATATGTCACTTGTCGTTTTGGTGCTCCTGGCAACGTTTCTAAGGAATAACAATTTTTATGTATTGAAAACGATGAATTGTCCATATAATTTAAATAAGGGTTCTTGAACAATGCCTTTCATTGGCTTTCATCATTTCCTTTACCTTAAAGGTAGCATGAGCTGCTGACAATTCTTCTTAAGACTTTTTTAATTCCTTGACCAAATAATTCTTTCTATAGGTTTTAATTTGATCCATAGAATGTACTTTCATTTTCAAAGACACATCAAGCTCACTCAAAACATGAATTGTTAAATAATATTTTTAGATTGGTGTTTGTAAACAGTTTTGTTGTTTGTATAACTAAAGCACACATTTGTATTGGAAAATTGTTTAATCAATTCAAACTATGTCCACATATACTTGAATAAAGGGATCTTGAAGGGCCATTGTTTTGTATAATACAATTTAAACTATTATATTTCTTTCAACATGTTTGACTTAAATGGACTAGGAGCACCCTGATTGTTTATTTTTTTACGCTGAACAAGTGAACTTAGAAAACTTCAATTACAAAGTAAAAATACGACAAGACTAGCGTCATATCAAATGCGAACATAAACCTGAATAAAGACTCCGGATGTGATTTAACCCAGTAAATGCAACTAGAGTTGTAGTTAAACTAGGCCGTTGAACTTTCTTTCATTCAAGACTAATGGACATATTTATTATGCATCAAATCATATAATATCCGTCTTTATCTATTAATTGTAATGACATACTTTTACTACGGCTCTTTCCTATTTGTATATCAGCAATAATTGATTCTGTATCGTTATGAAACTATATACATAGAGAACATGGGGAAGAAAATCCAAGATTGCTTAGCTAAAAGAAATAAACATTAAAATAATAGTCATTCACACATCGCAAGGCAAGGTGTGTCCGATTTCAGCCAATCCGAACACAGGATTTAATATAACTGTACTGCATTATATAAACAATAACATACCCAAGGTCATTCGTTGAATGATTGTCCAAGTGACAACTTGACTCTTTTAATAGATTGAAATTGATGCTTTGCCAACTTGACCGACCCTTGCAAAAAGTTTCACTGAAATTATGTTCTATATATGTTGTATTTTAGTGATTTCGTAGAAAGTATTTTGCAATGTGTGAAAATAATCTAACCACAAGACTTGATGTATTGTGGCTGATTCATTCCAATCAGGCGTTATTTCCTAAACTGTGCAAAGGTTGAAATAACACCTTTTATGAGGAATGATTCAGTCCACATTGCAGTCTGGGCCTTAAATCTTGCACAGGTACGAATATGACTCTTAATTAATGAAATATCTACCTTTTCAGACATCATTGGGTTGAATAAAGCAGATTATTTAATTTATTTTAAATAATTTATTATAAATATGAACATTCCATTTCATTTCATTCAAGACTTTTTAAGACTGTTGTCAAATGTTCATTTATGATTCCATTCAAATCAGCAGATATAAGCATTAATGTCTCAAAGTTCTTTTTATTCTTTAAAATGCCATTTGGATTTGCTAATTCATCGGATAATGTTTTATGAACTTGGCTTATATTTTGGAAGAACGTCATATCTAATGGCATGGGAACCACTTTGCAAAGTTCGCTAAAGTTTGACAACCAGTTGTAGTACTCCTGCTTCCCAAAATCTGGATGAGCTATGAAATGTACAGTTTCTTGGTTTGAGACAATCTCTAGGGCATCCATGCTGTCATTTCCTACTTCAGTTGTTGTATTAGTTGTCTGAATTGAGGTATCTGATGGGAAGGTAACGCATTCCTCTGCACTCAGCTGATTGCTTAAAATGAGAGTCTCATTAGACTGTGGGGCTTCACTGGGGATAAAGTTTACAGAAATCGAGCTACCATCTGTGGTATCAATTGTTTTTGCTTCCCTTGGGTTTCGAGTAGATTCTGGATGGAACTCATCCACGGTAACAGGGACATTGACATCACTATCACCATCCACATCTCTCAACTCATTAGCAATCTCATTTGGATTATCAGCTATCTCATATGAATCTTGAACAACCTCATCAGTGTCAGCAATCACTTCATTAGAGTCCACCATGACTTCTCCAGCCTCAGTTATTACTTCTTTAGAGGTAGTTATCTCTTCAGTAGAGTCATCAATCACTTCATGAGAATCAGTAATTGTTTCATTAGAGTTTATTATCACTTTGTTAGGATCAATAGTCACTTTATTGGAGTCTGATGCAGCTTCATTTGAGTCAACTGTAGTTTCCTTTGAGTCAGATATCACGTCCTTCGAGCCAGCAATCACCTCATTTGAGTGAGCAATCACTTCATTTGAGTCGGCAATCACTTCATGCGAAACAGAGGGTACGATTTGAGAGTCTTCCGTGAGCACGACAGCATCAGAGGGAAGGTCATCAATGCTACCTGGAAGACAAAAATGTACTTATAAATATAGATTTGTTGAAGATTTTAGATGAAGAAAGTTTGATGGGTAACTGTTCTCTCAGTGTAAACTTTTCAGCCACTGTCCACAAAAAGTTGGAGACCACAACAATATGTCACCACTTCAATCGGGGGCATAAAAATAAACTCCTTCATAGTAGTTGCAATTCTTCAAGTTTGCATGCTTCAAGTTTGCTAAAAAGTCCCCTAATCAATTATCCTTTGTTCAAACACAATTAATCGATTAATTCTATTTTACCATATTTTAATATCAATTATAATTATGAGATAAATCAGGATACCTTGAATTTCTAGAATCTGTGTATGTTTTTCACCAGTCGCCTCATCAACAGTCTCTATGACATGGTATACACTGATAGCATCATTTTCTCCAAGGAGATCAAGGGCATTTGAGACAGTGGTGACCTCTGGTGTTGACACAGACTGGGCCTGTATTGCAACTCCGTCTTGTACTATAAAACTACCTGCCGGGCCAATCTTTGTTGTCTGCAACACAGTTAAACAATAATATGAAACACATACAAGCAAATTCCAAAGTCTGATAGAGCCTTAGGAAATATGGTATTGGATTCGTTTTCCTGATATTGTCCCGTCCCTCAGGACTTTGGTCTCGGGACAGGACGGGACAACCCTAGTGTACCGAAGATTTCAGTCCATGTTCGGGATATACTATTTCTCCTGTATATGACCCTAAAACTTCCCAAATGCACAATAAATATGATCTCAACTTGAATCTTTTTTTGTTTTTACAATTAATCTCAGATTAAGTTTTTGCGCAACATGCACAGCCCTCCTCTTATGACGTTCAAAAGATCTGCTATGCATAAGCATAACAGGAAGTAGACGGAAAATGTAAGTTGTTGAACTGTTTTAAACTTAATTAACTATTTCATTGGTTATGTCCCGTCCCGAAATGGTTATTTCCCTTCCAATCCCAAAATATTTTTGTTCCGTGACATCCCTAGTTGTAACATTTGATGGATAGTTGCTTTGATGTCACAAAAACCCCAAAAATTAAATCAGAATGAAAATGAGTTACTTAGGACAACACATATTCACATGTGCAATCATATCATTTATAAGTTCTATGATGATAATTATTCTTATATCTTTCGTGAAGAATTACTGATAAATATGTCCATACCAGGAACATGTAAAACACAAGTTACTGTAAAACCTTTACATATTCTGCGTTAGCATTCATAGACTCGATTTGGGAAAAATACCTCAAAAATATTCCACTTTCTCATGCAAACAAGTCAGAAGTTTTGAAAATAATTTTTGCTAATAAAATAAAATAGGCACTAACATGCTAAATATCACCATCTGCCATTTGTTAGACTCTGACTGCTGAACACAAACTGCCTTACACCATCCACAAAATATATGATAACAATATGTCACCACTTCTGATGGTGACATAAGAACTGATCAATGGCCACAACTAAATTTTAGATGTTTCTTTCAAAAAAGATCACCATGGCATGTTGCAATCATTTTAAAAAGGTAGGACTACCAACCTCTATAGATTGAAGAGCTTCCTGAGTCTCTGTATTATCAGATGCTGCGTAGACATACTGGACTTCCCCATTGTTATCACTTGAAAACTCTGACCAAACTGCATGCTTCTTGGACAGGTGTACCTAAATGATGATGATGTATTATATACTGTACATGTCCTACAGCTCCTTATTTATTTTGAAGCTAGAAAAATATATATTGTATTTTGAAGCTCGAGAAAAATATGCAACAACAAAAACTTTCTCTTGGCTAAAATGGCAAAAAAGTCAATTTCTTCTAGATTAATTGAAGTTGTTGTCACATATCAGCGATTTGGTGATTCTATGAGCAAACCAGCTTCTGTTTTCATTTCACTTTTGATTTAGAATATGAATGTATGATCTGCCAGGTGTTCTGCTTGTTTCAGACATTTTTTCTAATCATATTAAATATACATGTATGTACCTTTAACTGTCCACTTCTTTTGAAGCCTTCCTGACATAGATTACAGTTGTAAGGTTTCACTCCTTCATGTTCCTTGTAATGTCTTCGCCTGCTAGATGCATCACTGAACCTTGCATAGCAGATATCACATGCATATGGCTTCTCACCTAGAAGTGAACATTGTCACGTTGAATTGAACGAAATATAAATGGGACATGAGGAAAATAAATTATTTTTATGATTCTGATGGTTTCTCCCGGAGAGACAGATTGATGTTGTTATCGACACTCGACATGGATATTAATTGGGAAGCAGGTAACAACTAGTGGTGTAACGAGTGACTTACTAGAACTCGAATGAGCCTAGCAAAATGATCAATCGATTGAAAATTTGTAAATCGTGATCCTGAAAATTTCTGAGAAAAATCGAGATTTACCCTTTAAGCAAGGATTGTAGCTGCCTTTACATGTTTCTATTAAATTACATGCTTCTGACTATATTCTGCAGATTGTTTTGTTGATTGAAGGGTCAGTTGATGAGAATAAAGTTTTAGAACTGTATTCATTGTTTTTTAAGTTTGTTTATTTCCCGTACATTGAATATGCATGCGCAATGAACTTTGACGGAAGTGGGAATTTCAAAGCGAGAAAGTCGAAAAAATCCATAAAAGGCTTATATTCGGTAAATGTACGTCTAAAACATCCAAAACGGAACTCAATTTGTTCAGAACAACAGCAATGAGTGGTCAAGAAACCAAAAGTCGATGTAAGTATTGACAAATGCCTTGATCTTCCAGGCTCTAATTTTCTCAATTTTGTCCCTACTATAAGAAATTATCTCAATGTCAAGGTAAGATAATGATTTTGAGACATCGCACATATTTTGCCAAAACTGCCTGATATTTCTTCTATATTGGGCTTTAAGTATTTTTATAAAGATAATAAAATATATTAACTGACCTGTGTGAACTGTTCTATGTCTGTTGAGGTCAGATCTGTGAGCAAATCCCTTGCTACATACAGCACATACAAAGGGCCTCTCACCTTAATGGTAGAAGTAAAAGGGTTATACTATGAGAAATTTGTAAGAAACTGTAAGAAAAATAGGGTGTGAAAAGTATTTATAATACTGTACAGGCCAAATTTTTTTTCAAATCGTGCAGTTTTTCACTATTCAGAGCATTTTTCATGTGATTTTGGGCCAAATTTGTCAAAGTGAGCCCTCCTGGAACTTTTCTGAAAAGTGAACCTCCCTTGCCAAAAGCTGGCTATGCTGCTGTACAGCAATCAACAGATATTTTATTCATTTTGATTTGCATTTAGTGGGTGAACCTCTTGCCACATATAAGGCAAATATGTGTCATACCTGTATGAGACTTTATATAAGATCTGACATAAGCAGCCTGAGTGAACCTCTTGCCACATATAAGGCAAATATGTGTCATACCTGTATGAGACTTTATATGAGATCTGACATAAGCAGCCTGGGTGAACCTCTTGCCACACATAGGACAGGCATGTTTCAGCTCACTCTGGTGGGTCATCAGATGCCTGGCAAGGCAGCTAGCCTACATAAACAAATTAAAATTTTAATGTATTTCCATTATTTACTGTCACAGTTCTGTTCAATACAAGACTTTGATACATCATATGGCCGGCTGTGATTGAGCAGTACTTGTACATGCAATTTTATAATAACTGTAACTTCATATTCTCAGTGCCTGTCTGAAGCGATAATAGGTATATCACTGTTTTATACAGTGAAACCTGTAAAGGGGAACACCTATAGAAGTAGAACTCTTCTGTTAGTGGAACACTTCAGAGTCTCAAAACCAAATGACTTAAAAGTACCAAATGTGTTCCACTTAGACAGGTTTTACTGTTTATTAATCTCATATAAATACAAATATTAATATGAGTTTTCTTCGATATATATATATATATTTCTGATTTTATAAAAGTACTCATGATAATTTTCAAGTTTTACTTGTGGTCAGAAATTCTTATGAATCTCCTGTATCATTAATGGCCTTGAAACATAAATCATATGTCAATAATAACAATATAAAGCTCACCTGTCTGAAAGATTTCTCACAAACGTCACATTTAAGAGGTTTCTCATTGGTATGCAGATTCATGTGTTCTTTCAAGGCCTGGTTACTGGAGAACGACCTCTTACATTCACCGCACTTAAATGGCTTCACACCTGAAAATATATTTGAAATACCCTAACTTATCTAATCAAAGGGCATTATACCCCTCCTATCAAAGCCAGCTTATCTGCCATGGGCTTTACTAATACTAAGAGGGCCTTAGAGGGGTGACATATACAATGCACAACATACACATGTCCATTAAGAGAAAGTTATAAGAGAAAAACTCTTCAAACAAATGATCAACAAAATAAAACACCCAAAGCCACTTTTTTAATTTGACACATTTTAACTATACTATAAAATAGAAACAAGGCATTAACATGCAAAATGTCACCACCTGCCATTTGTTACAGACACCAGCGGCCAAACACTAAACGCCTGATGTCATGTCATGTAGACATATACAAGACATTATAATGCCCTAAACAAAAAATGGTTTACCATCATGTATAAAATTATGCCTCCTCAATGATTCCTTAGAGCGGAAAGCTTTCTCACATTTGGAACATGGAAATGGTCTCTCAGCTCGATGAATTCGCATGTGGACATTGAGGTTTCCTGAAACGAGAAACTTTTTTCGATAAGCTTAAAAATAGATTTTTCATTCACTGATTGTAAACAATACTAGGTCGATTGGATGGAGAGCTACTTTCAAATAATAATTACAAAATCACATGTAATCTTCAAAATGCAACATTTATTTCAAATTGCAACATGAATATATGCTTTGCAGTGGTTATATCAACCAGGAGAAAGAGATCATTTGAAAAAGTTGTAGGCTATTTGAAAATGTCACAATAAATTTAAATACATGTAATATCAATACAATTAAGTACCTCTCAAAGAGAAAGTCTTAGTGCATTGAGGGCAGGCGAAAGCTTGCTTGCCCCTGGAGGTAGTCTTGGTTACATGTTGATTAAGGTCAGCTCCAATATCTCCACTGTCCCCTATTGTCTCCTCACCAACTTTACCTGGACCTAGGAAGAAAAAACATGAATAAAGGATTCAATTTGATCTGAAGGCCAAACAAATATTGAATCAGACAATTTTGTATTTATTAAAATTGCTGAAGTGTTTGTCATTGATACATTATTAGCAAATTGCAATTGCACCTGCCTTGTGCCTTGTCTGGGCATCATCAACATTTGAAGATTGCAGTTTAATTAAACTAGTTAATACTGATTTAATCTGATTAACAATTGTAATACCTGTGAGGTCTTTGTCTAGTTTAATATATTTTCTTGGACGTCCTCTCTTCCTGAGAACACTGCTTTCATAGTTTGATGTATCTTTGTCACTGTCTTCACCTGGTTCATAATCCTCATCATCATAATCTTCTTCTATGTTACCATAGTCCCTGGAGACAAAAATTATAATTCTTGTTTCCTTGAATCCACATTACCCAAGCACACTTCACTATAACCACAACAGACAATATTAATTTATATAAGCACTCTTAAAGTATTTCAGACTAATCTCACGCAGGGTGTTCCAAAAGTAATAGGACTGGTGTTGGCATATTGTGAATTCTGTACATAGTGTCTTCAATTTTATACAAAACTAAAGGTTACCTGAATTTAACAGGGATGATCCTCTTTCTGCTCGGCAGCTTGCTTCCAGATCGTTCAATTTCATATTCATCAGCTTGAACTGCAATGCTCACATTAACCCCTGCATCTATTATATTATCAAGCACATCTTGTTCAATTACATATGCTTTTGCAGCTGTGTTTGAATTAACACTAACTGAATCATTCTCAGTGGCATCACCTGCATTTACATTAGGGTGACTTGTGATATGATCATCCTTATGACGAGGAGTGCATTCATTTCCACTCTCTGTGTTGATTTTTACATGTTCTGTGTTGGTGGTTTGTGCTGCACTTTCTGGTTTAGTTAAATTGCTTGGCTCACCATGTCCAACTGTTTCTATTGTTTTTACTCCTGTCTCTGACATTCTTTAATGTTTATAAACCTGAAGAGTAGAAGGCATATGAATGATTGATGAGACAAATACATGTATAACTGGGGCAGCTACAAACAGAGAATAACATGAGTGTTGGTAAAATTGCATGTGTATGGGGGGGGCACTTTTCACAAACAGGGCAGAAATAGATTTTTTAAGGATCGGGATCAGAAGGGGAAATTGAAGAGAGGATATACATGTTTAGTACATACTAATAAAATGCAATTCTAATAAGACTGAATCAGAATGCGACCCAGCGAGCCATTGATCCAGTGATCTACTATGATACCTGTCATCTTAGTTTCGTGCCCATCAGTTTTTGTACCCGTAATTTCAAGTATTTACAATCACAATCGTCAGTTTTTTTCTTAAGTTTTTGGTTGAAGGCCCTAAATCAAGCACAGGTGCTCCAAGGGTAATACATGTAAGAGTGCGAAGCCCCATGGAACAGATTCTTCTGTTTCCAGGGGGTTACACACTCTTAATACCCAGAGTTGACAGCTCAATTCAACCCAATTCAAAATGTGATTTCAATTTAAAAAATCTGAAATTTTGGAGTTCTAAAGTCTAATGACAAATAACTGCTCTGTCAACCCTCACGCATTAGGAGTGATTGTCACGCATTTGCTGGAAAAATAGAAATCATGCATCAATTTAGCGTATATGATCAAATATCACGCAAATCACGCATTTTGTTGATAGTTTTAAAAATCGTTTTTTTGTGAAATGCCGACACGGTAAAATATCGAACAGCGAAAAAACAGTGAACGCATTCCGTTCGGTCTTTGCACGCGATTGCCGTTTATGTCATGCATTTGGTACAAAATATGTGTATATATCACGCATGTGTTTCGAAAATATGTACACCTACCCCCCCCCCCCTAAGTTGACAGCCCTGAAATAAACTATCAAGAGTCCTTGTCAAACGTGTGGAGCATAGGCCAAGGGAAAACTGTAGGGCGTAGGCTAGTATAACTTTCGCACAGAGCATAGGTCAAGGGTAATAGTAAGATGTATATAGAAGAGACTTCTATATACAGCTCACTATTACTTTTCCCTTGGCCTATGGTACAGAGACAGAGCTGAATTTTTAGATTCAGCTTATAAATACTTTTCCTTCGACCTATGGTATGAAGGTAATATTTAGAATGAACTCAAACTTACAAATATTTGTCATTCACCATGACGAAATTATAAGAGTACCATCTCAAAAAACAATGCAAAATCAATGTGAAACAGTTTGAATGAAAAGTCAAATCTTTTTTTGAAAAAGTGAAAATGCTCCTTTTTCAAACAACAATACTCAATCATTAGCAACTGTTCAGACTGACAAACATCAATCGATCACATCAAAATATAAACTTACTCCGTTCTAGATGATGGTTTATACTTTTATTCGTAAAACAGCTGCTGGTTATGAGATATCGAATCTGTACATTTGATGTAAGCGGCTGCCATTTGGGCCCTGCCATTTGCAATAAAGTACCCGGATAACGTTTCCGTTCAGTGCAGACACAATTTCTGCAGATAAACTCCCGGGACCAAAACTTATGTAACGTGTTGGGCAAGAACAAGAACTATTATTTCGATCGCTCGTAGCACTGATACCCCACCCCACTGATCATTTTGGAGTGCCTAAAAATGGGCCTTTTTTGGGCATGAAATGTGCCCCCCAGTTCTGGAACCGCCAGTGATGTTTACTGGTATACGACTAGCCCTCGCCCCCATACACATCATTTCACATCATATGTATCTCCATTTCTCTTCCTCGAAATTCAGATCCCCAGTTAGTAAGCAATATACGTTTCGCACCGAGTAGAAATTACTTAAGAAATTACAACATTAGATCGTAATAAGTTATTGCAGTTAATTGAGATTATATCTTTAATTAAAGCCCCCATAAGTCTGAGTAACCACTTTGGCTTATATTGTAGTCTTACCCAATGTTATCAAAGTGCAATATGTCAAATTTCTTTTTTTAGTTTCAAAAAGTGATTTTTGAAAAAATCGTGAATTAATTTTTAGAGATCACACATATCTTTTAATATAGTTCTTGATATGCTAAAACATTGCCCCGGCACATTAGATATTTCACTTTATTATTGAAATCTTCGGATTGTTGAAAAAGATAACGGTTTCTGCACTGTACAGTGGGATATTTGATGATTAAAAAGTTTCAACTTTTATTTAAAAAATACAGAAAATTTGAATATTTGAGAAATGAAAAGTTGGCAACTTTTCCCAAAGTTATTTTCTTTAAAAATCTCTAAAATAACTTTAAAAATCATTATAAATAGTAAATGAATGATAAAAACATATTACACGGGGACTTTAAATGACTGGCTCCACTGATCACTCCTTGAAAACACAGTATGGATAATTTAATCACCACTTATAAAATAGCATGGATCTGTGAAATTATCATTAGATTATTACTTTACAAATACGACTTGCAAAAATGTGGCACTATTCTTATTTGATTTTTGTCACCATTTTGTCCTTTACTTGTACCTTTACTGCATCAATAGAGTGAAGCTCCGATCAATTCGTATATGGAGAGATCTTTGTGGCGTGCATGTTCCAAGTTATTAATTCTCAAAACTTTATTTTTAGTAATCTGTTAAGCTCTGATAATGCTTGCACTAGTGTATCTAAATAACACAAGCTGTTATGTATTTTATTGTAGTAATTGAAAGGATAGATCTCATTCACAAGCCAAATCTTCTGAATCAAGAGAGTTTCGTGATTTATGATATGCTCCATTGCTAGAATTCATAGAGTTATTTTAGGATTTACAAGTAACTTGGAAATGATTGCCAGATTTTTTATGCAACAATGATCAGCTAAGAGATAGAACAAAACTTAACTACTGATAAAACGGAAGTTACGACGATGAGGTTTGTGCCCACGATCCAATCAGTCAATAGTGAGACATTTTTCAACAACAAGTATGACCCCCTCTTTGCTTTCAAACCGAGATTCATTTGAAAAGCTCAGTGATTTAATGCAAGACGCAAATTATAACTCTGATGGTATTGATGAAATAAACTCCGACGAGCCACCAAAGGAGCATATAACAAATTACGACGCATCCAACTGCATGCACACCATTGAAACGGCCTATGCATTTCAGTCCCCACTTCAGGCTTGAGCAGAAGAAAGCCCCAGAGAGTTACATTTCACACGTTTGGTCTCCAATGGGACCCGAGTAATCAAAGATGAGCAAGTCACATGAAAACAATGCAATTTTATGATCTTAATTGTACTTCTGAGCAGAACTTTATGATTCGTTAATAAAGAAAAGTTTTGAGAAACGGCCTCCAGTATCCGAATGTTTTACATTCCTTATTTAATGATCAATGTGTTTGTCAGAAGATGCCGAAGAACGACAATCACACATGTAAGTCTCAAAGCACAGAAACTCCAATGGATTTAATTCCTTTGGCCTGGTCGTTTCCATTTTCACATCAGACCTGTGAGCATAAGTAATTGACATTTTTTTACACAGATACTTTTTATAGACCAATCCCTTTGATTTTCCTACCACTGATACATCATTCAATTATCTATCAATTCTGAAGACTTGAAGACAAAATATATAATACATGTTGATATATCCTTATTTCTGTGAAGGAGGTACAGGTACCCCGGGACCGACATTTACGTTACATATTCAGTGTTTAGCCAGTTTGGCAAATTTCAGTTGGATTTGAACTTTTTTATATGCAACTGTTGTGTTGTTTGAAATATTTTGCTGACTGCTGACACATAAACAGTAAGTATTGTGATGTCAGAGTGTTGTATGGTCATGGTTTGCAGGTCAATTTGGGAAAGCATTGTGAAAGAAGGGGTTGGTGAGAGAAGGAAACACCCTACTCCATATGGACAATGCACCTGCCCACAGATCTCAAAATGTTCAGAAAACAATATACCTGGACTTCAAAATTGAGCCCTTGGCCAATGCACCATATTGTCCAGATCTGCCCACATGTGACTTATTCCTATACTACTTATTTCTATAGAGAAGGGACTTAGGTTTATTGACATTGATGACATAAAACAACCTGTGCAACTGCATCTTGCTACCATGTCAGAGAATGGATTCAGCCTTGTCTCACAATCTTGAGTTAAAAGGATGAGGAATTGTGTACATGTAGCACTTGATGGAACCTATGTAGAGGGCCCTGTAGAATGAATGTGGCATGAATACCACACAGTGATGATAAAATATCCAAAGTCAACCATTGCATAACAAAATGGTGTAATTCATGACCATAATGGTTAGTTTTGTTCAGCCTGCATTCAACTGCATTGCATGTTAAACAAGCTAAAATAGCTTCAGAATGTGTGACGTGATGTCGGCCCTGGCGTACCCATACCTCCTTTACGGAAATAAAGATATATCAAAATATATTACATGTTTTGTTTTCAAATCTTCAGATCGAGTTGATAGATAATTGAATGATGTATCACTGGTAAGAAAATCGAAGGGATTGGTCTATAAAAAGCATCTGTGTAAAAAAGCGTCTATTACTTATTGATCACCCCTCGTACATTGGAATGTTTCATAAACACTACCGACAGCAACCACATTGATGACACTGATTCAGAGCACATCACCATACATTGACGGCATTTTCCATTCTCCTTTCGAATGTGCATACCAAGAAAATAACTAATATGTTTTTTTAGTTAGTTACATACTTTATTGTCAAACTATGGTACATAAATTATACATCAACTGACACAACAAGTGTATGCATTGAAGTTTTAGTGACAAAAATGAGAGTTCAATAATAACAGTATACATATTGATAGCATAGTACTATGTATGCATCTAACTTATGGCTAGTGGTGGTGGGTTGTGGCTGCCAATGTGTGTTAACTCTATTTCGGTTTAGGAAAATGTATGGATGGAAAGGTAGATGAGGTGACAGTGTAGAATTATATTTCAGCAATTAAGTTTTTCTTTCTAGTCATTTTAATTGAAGTAAAGAAGGCAAAAATCTGACATGATCTGAGATAGAATTCCAGATTCTTGGACTCTGTAACTTGATTGAATATAACCCTATTTTTGTTTTGTAAGCCCTAGCATGTAAATCATGACTTCTTCTGGTAGGACAATTGTGAAAATATTCATTTTGATTAAAATAATCATTATATACAGGGCGTATCAAAAAACGCAACAAGTAGATATCTCGTAAAATCACAAAACTAGTGATGACTCCATCAATTCATTCAATGTATCATAAAGCCACGTCTCTCCTCTTTGCAATGATATGTCATTCATTCACATGTGATAATGGTTGGGTGAGAAATCCTTCCATTTGCACAGTGGGTCAAAATCGGCTCTGCATCAAGTTTTGGATATTGAAAAAATCAGTGCAAGGGCTAAGTGCCAATGGAAGTTCCTCTTACTTAAATTGTTGTGACTTTGTTTAAAACTTGGGTCCGAGCTGAACTTTGCCCCACTTTGCAAAATTAATGATTATTCGGCCAGAGATGACTCCCTGTGAATGAATGATGTTCCATTGCAAAGAGGAGTAATTTGGCTTTTTGGTACATTAAATGAAAAGGATGCAGTCAGCTTTGGTTTTATGTTTTCTTCCCATATTGCATCGGCTCCGTACACTGACTATTGCGATTTTTATAACTTGCAGGCCCAAAGCTAATTTCGGCCTACTTTGCAAATGGAATGATTACTCGCCCAACCATGACCAAATAGCAATGAATGATATATCATTGTAAAGAAGAGACACATGGCTTCATGGTGCATTGAATGAAATCAATGCTGTTATCACTGGTTTTGTGCATTTTCGAGATAACTATCTGTTGCGTTTTTTTTTTGATACGCACTGTAGTTTTGAATAAACAGGTTCCTGGTAAATAATTGACAATTGACAAAATTTGAAACATGTAGCCTGGTTAACAACAAGAAGAGCAATATTCCTCAATATGCCTATTTTGGATGGTTGTCATGGTAACTATAGAAAGGTATATCTTGGTATGCAGGCCTCTCCAAGCCAAAACATTATGTACTGCACGAAATGCTAAGACTGCGATTGTAGCTCTCTTGGGTATAATTAATAATTGCATTCAACCTTCCACTTTTCATGTCTCATGATGCGTCAAAAGACGGGGAATGCATTCTCGATGTACCTTAGAAGAACCAGGTTTGGGCTCTCTAAGCCTTACCAACAACAATAGTGCCATACTATATTAAGACCTCTATTTCGATCCACCCTTCCTGCAACGTGTTTCCAAACACCGACTATCAATAATTTCGTCGAATTCAGTAGCAACCGCTGACCAAGACCAAGAGGCAAATTAACGAAGATTTTAATTGTCATTGCAACACTTTTCATCATTTTGATTCTTCCTTGTGTTATTACAGATATTCTATGCAAAATCAACATTCATAAGGTACAGAATCGTCAAATATTTTTTGACACTGTTCTTCTTTCTCGGAGCTTGCCTTACAAGTCAATGCATCTCTTAACTCTGGTCAACCGTAGTCATGTCATATCGTCCGTTGCCCTTAGGTATATCAAAACAATAAGTGTTTAATTTGCCAACTTCCACTTAACGCTTGGTGTAGTGAGGCGTGTGAACTCCCAAATGGTGATTAAGCAGTCCAATGTCCAATGATTCCTGAACCTCTTGAAGTGAAGAATAAGTTGGATCCCCGTGCCACTCGTCGGAATGTGTTCTCAATGACAGCGAACTGTAAAATGCCGAACAGCGTGCAGCAGACCCGGAGTGAACACAACACGGAGAGCAGGTACAACAGGAATGATCCGAAAATATTGACTGCGTACATTGTGATAGAGACCTTTATAATCCTCCATGATCTGATGATAGTGTGAAGATAAGATGTAGAGGTTTTCTGTGTATCGCTGATCGAAGTGACCGGCGACTTGTTTTGGACACATACACTGTAGCAACACATACATAGAACACAAAATTAATTCCATATGCTAACAATACGGAAATTCATTTAACAATAACCCGATAAAGTTTGTTTGAACTTCTTGTAAAGAACAATATATTCTGCCAAGTAAAACCGTAGGTCATGACCTACTCGATCAGCAACAACATGCTCTGCTCATTAATTCTTCATAAATATTCTTGCTGTACATACATTGTCCGTGTTATTTTACCGTTTGCCATTCTTTATCCCAATGACATCTTCACATACTACACTTCAAACCGTTCTACTCAGATGCGAGTAGGTAGTTACCAGTTTCGCCACCAGATGGCTGATTTGGGGGAAATAACATGGCAGGGTATTACAAAATTCCCTTAAACTTGAATATGCATCAGTTTTAGTGGTTTACTTTTCATATTACCCTTATGTATGTGATAGTTATACAAATTAACATATGTCCAGTAAAAGAAAATATTATCTGCCCAACACAAGAAAAGATATTTCACTTTTTGTGGTTTTACAACATGGGGTCTATGGGGAATCTCCCCAACCTAGAAGTCACATTTTCAAAGAAAATTAAATTTTCAAAGTTGATAAACTCTTTTCAAAACCACATTTAGTTACGTAATTTTAGATGCAGATTCCAAATATGACACCAGTTTGATCGAATAGTGAATTTTTAATGACGTAAATCAAGATTATTTCTACTCGCATCTAGGGTATACAATCAACACCCTTCAAAAGTAAACAATAAACCAGCCAAACAATCCCTTTCAAGTATACAATATATTCTATTGTTTGAACTTCTCTTGTAAAGAACAACATACGTACTCTGCTTAGTAAATGGCAAGGTCGTGACCTTAAATCTACTCTGCCCAGTACAGACGTAAGTTTAAGGTCACAAAGGTCAAACGGACTAAAGGTAACATGTAGAAAACTACTCCCACCCATCTTATATCCAACAATACAACACTGTCAGACTGTACTTCCGATACTGATAGCATCTCTCTCTCTCGCTCTCTCTCTCTCTCTCTCTGCTGCACCGCAACATCCGGAAGGACAGAGATGGAGAGGGTGTGGTTTACCACGATACAGCACTGTTTTTATCCTTTACTTGCAGAAGACGGCCACACTCCAAGGAGAAAATTAGTCTGAGTAGCTTCACCTACATGGTAAATACCAGAGTAGCTTTGAAAAATTACTGATTTCATTAATTAAAGTGGTCCCTATTGTAAGCTGGATAAATTCCATTTAGTATTAAATGGTGCATATGCACTGGGGAAGACAGCAATTAACCCTCTTTTAGAAAAGTAGGTGTTCCAGGACTGACACTAAACACTTGGAATATTCATTGGAACGGCCATCATGTGCCTATATACAGAGTGGGACAAAAGATTAAAGATAATTATTTATAGATAATTCATCATTGGATAACCAATTTATGACATTTTGAAAAATCAAATTACTGGTAAGCGAACGAGTAGATCAGTAATTGGCAATTACTGTTCCACATTTTTTAATGAATGTAAATTTTTCAAGTTCTAGATCTGTTCCCGCAGATTTGTCGCAGTCTCCAGCAAACCATTTCCTCTCTTTCTCATAGTATTTTTTGTGTCAAGCTTTGGTATTTTCATATTTGCATATATTTCTAATTGTCATTTTAAAGAAATTATACTAATTTGGTAAAGTATAACCGATACGTTAATGGTCATTAATTTTAGAAACATATCCGATATCAAATCAAATGCGTAATTGCTTCATACACAATTACTACATGCATCAGAAATGTTAATTTCATTTTTCGAGAAACAGACAAAATAACAACAGACGTAATATTTGAAGAAAATCTAATTGGCCCACCATATATCTAATTACAGTACTATATTATAGTACTGTACAATAGTTTCATGTTATTACAAATTGTATTTGTAATTGGTATGCTTGACATCTTAATCATGAAGCAATCTCGATATATTTTCGTGATGGAAACGCTTTGGGAATGATGTAATTGTCATACTAGTACCAATGTCAATGTTTAATGTATTAAAATGCAAATAATTTCTCGATTACTATGTCAATGGGGATCCATTTATCAACTAAAAAGTAATCGAATTGCCGCTCGATAAGTTTTATGAACTTTTGCCTCTGTGTTCTTTGACTGATTAAAACATCTATACTTGAAAAGGAGGAAAATGGTTTTGCCTCTAGACTGTATTCACATCACTGAGGCGTTCATCGCGAGGTTGTTGTTTGCCACACATGGCTGCGTTGCGGTGTGGCGTGTCGCTGTGGAGTATGGTGAATATGCCTTTGTCTTCTTGTCGGGCGCCGTTGGGATCATTATTGAAGGAGGATATGTAATCAAACAACGCCGTGGTATTGAAATATCTAAACGGTAAGTAATTCAATGGGTATTGTGTTTTATGTCAAATTCTAATTTGTTCGTTCTGAGAAAGATATTTCTATATAATAACATTTTTATCCTATGCCAAGTAGAGCTTTAGGGAGATAAGTTGGTAAGATAATCCCGTATCCTGATTTTGAGGTTTCCATATCCAGAACCTCTATATCTCCCGCCATATCTCCCGCTTCGGTGCATATCTTCCCGCTTCGGTGCATATCTTCCCGCTACAATGTATTTAAAATTTAAAAGTGGAAATGCAATAAAAATGACTTTGCATATGAGTGATTTGTTTATTTTTACACCTTGTACTATTGAAATGGCCATATGCCCCTGAAATCTCTACTTGGTATAGGATAAAGCATTTATGTACGGTCGGTTTGGATATTGGGTTCATCCCTCGTGAGATATGCACATCTACCTTCGGCCCCTACGGTCCCTCAGGTAGATATGCATATCTCCCTCTGGATAAACCCCATATCCAAAACCTCCCAGTACATAACCCTTATGTATTTTGACCCTTTAGCGCCTGTAATATCTTTTGGGAGCACTATCCTCTCAAACATTAAATAAAGAGAGACTCTGATTAATCAGAATGACCATTCCTATAACTTCTGACCTACATTCAAAATGATGTCGAAGTACTAAATAGCTCCACTTAGCGAAAAAAGAATTAAACTATGTTACCTCGCTGTTGGAACAATAGTATGAATAATTTAGTAAAACATCATTTTTACTACTTTCCGTAATTAGTAAATAGGATACAATAATATACCGAGGTCTCGAGTCCCATTGAATTGATTTATGACTAATTCTAGCCATTCTGATACTCAGACCATCTCTGCTATGCACATTCTCGAGGGAAACTGAGAGAAGGCTGTGATATCTCACGATGAATTCTAGCTATTTTATACTATTCTATTCGTACATGGCATTTTGGCTTTTCCTGGAACACAGTGCATTGTGTGGGATACTCATATTCATTATTTGAAAGTGCGATTCATCTATATTGTCATGACAAGAAATATAGTTTTAAAATAGTTTTAAAACATTAATGAATCATGTATACATTTAAAAGTAATATGTTGGAAGTATATTTTTTCTATTCTCTCGTTCTGTCATTTCACCAATTAGTTTTGGGAATAAAACTTCTTCATATTGTCTGTAAATTTAATTTAAGAATGTCGATGTCCATCATGAATCTTTAAGTTAATTTCGTTAAATCTATAAGTTTATTTTATAACCCTACTTCGTAATTCTACGTTTATGATTTGGTAAAAATGCATAACATAGTAAAACATCATTAACTCGAGGCCTTCCCCCGTAAACCACAGAAATTACAACAATTAATGCTGTTCATGTGATATGCTTTTGTGTGATATATGTCACATTAAATGTATACCAGGTCGATCAATAAGTTCTGAGAAAAATCCTCTAAAATCAAGAGTTTTGTGATTTTTTATTTCAAATTCTTCCAGAATATGTGTTTCCCAGAACCATGGAAACCATTTTAAGCATCTAAACTTAAACATTTTACTAGGACTATACAAGACCAACCTCCATGCGGGAAGAAGCCACAAAATATATTTATAAATTGACTTATTAACATTTTATGCGCTTTACTCGTGCCATTCAATTTATTTGCCCCGCCTAGCCAAAAACACTAGTTGCCATAGTAACCATATTTTGGTCCAATAAGAGGAACGCGCGTGAGACTTGTTACACTTATTGCTGAATTCATTGTACATATTTTATAAAAATTTCAAATAAAAAATCACATAACTCTTGATTTTAGAAGATTTTCTCAGAACTTATTGAACGATCTGGTATAGATGTAAAATAAAATACTTTTTCTGTAGAGGGGTGGGAGTGCCCTCGTTTTTTGACAAATATTTCAAATTTCAGGTTTTGCCCAACGGTGCTGTTCTACCTAATCATTATGATACCTTGCGTTTGGCTCTTAGAGATGGAACGACTCAATCTCAGACAACCGTTCCTAATGGGCATCTTCCACGACCCTAGATACAATGCTACAGCCGATACTCTTGCGGTAAATATCCTAAATATTATATATACAGGGTGTTTCATAATGAGCGTCCTCCAACTACAGCAAATCTAAAATCACCAGTATCATTAACAAGCCTTGGTATGATTGATAATTAGCAATAGAATTTGTGAACTTATGTTTGGTCCGCACTATCAGCCTAATTTGCTGGATTTATGCTCCAATTTCGATAACCAGATAAAAATGATAATGAATGCCCACACCAGTTGAATTCCGTCTGAAATTATGGAACCTTATCCGTGTATACATAATTCACTTTTATATTGCAGAGTATCGATGTGCCCTTGTCCTCTGAACATTTTCGGTTGGCCCTGGAGCAGTCGTTGCTGCTCTTGATGATTCTAGGCAGGTGGCTCCTTCCCAAAGGAGAGATGTCCCGGCAACAAGTGTCACAACTCCTCCTGAACTACCTCGGAATGGCCGCCGATATTGTTGATCTTTTCGAGCTGTTCAGAGAAGAAGGGATTAATCGCGCGGAGGAATTCGTCTATTCTATCCTTACAGTGTACAGCCTCAGTCTCTGCCAGTTCACATTTGCTTTACCGATAATCACCGACGATTCTAATAATGGGAATCGACCCAATCAGCTCCTTGGAATGCGGAAGTATGTTACACCAGAGGTAGCAAGTGTTTTGGTAACCTTATTCATTCACGACGGGCCCTTTCTCTGCGTCCGTTTGGTTGCCATATTCTACTATAACGTTTACACCTATTCAGTAGTATTCTTCACTACGAAAAACGGACTGATGGTGATTCTCCAAAGTTACCGCCTGTTCGGGATATGTCTTCAAAGAAATGATGGCATTGATATAAATAATGTCGAAGAAGGTACCTTTCAAGCAACTGATAAGCAGTTTGAAGCAATAACCGATGAACGAATTGCCCTTAAGACTAGATCAAATATATACCAAGGAATCAATGAAGAAGACCTTTAATTTATTTTTAATCTTGGACCATTATCTCCGATAGAGACCAATGAAGATAGCAGTTCGCGATTTAATTTATAGTCCATGGTATGACTCTGGAATATGCTGAATCCGTAGCACAATATATAGGGCAGCAACATTTGAATCAATATTCAAGAAAGTCCATAGGCCATTGTCTTGAGTTTTTAAAATATTGTTTGCTGAAAAAACGTTTGGATTTTGGGTCGAAAGTCTCTCATCACAAGCCTCAAAACACTGATCTAAGCATATTTGCAATAAATTGGATTAACCATTATGAAAATATTAATTATAATTTTAATGTTATTGTCAGTGGTGTGCTTATTAGTTTTTGTTTAATTTTTCAAATAATGGTCAAGCAAATTCAACATAATTGTGTGAATTATTTAATAAATTCGTAATTTCAATCGTATTAGGTTTTACTATTGAAAGTGTTATTCCTATCAACGCCAGAAGTCAAACAAAAAATAATTTGATTTTTCAAAGTGTTTATGGATTCAAATCTATGTATCAAAAATTTACATGGTCAAAGGTCAAGGTCATCAAACTAAGTCACAAACGTTGTTATCTAAAATGTTCAAAGTTCGAGACTACAAATCCGTGTTTTCAGTTGAAAGACAACTACTTATATATTTTTCTAAAGACTCTACACATATTAGCAATTGATGATTTATTAACATTATGCACCAGTTTTGAGATATAAGAGCTCCAAATTGAAAAAGGTATAATTTCGAAAAATCATTATGATGATATTCTCAGAATGTTAAGTCAGCCACTTACTGAACTACCTACTAGTTACTTACTCAGCTACCTTCTCAAATAAAAGAAAAGAAATATGGACTTTTTGGCCCAACCTGTATTTAAAAATAGTTACCAAAATTCGAAAACTATATTAAAGTCAGACAAAAACTATACATTCCACTTGATTTTTATTTGATTTATATGGTGTCATTTCCATTTATTCGTTTACATTCTTGTAAAGTAAAGCACAATGTACATGAATGGGACACGACACTGAAAGTGTACGGGGCTAATTGCTGTTGATCGGAAGTCCCGTCAAAAAAATAAGTGGGATTTGATGTTGCAAATGAGGCAAATGGAAGTCCCATATGGTGTATTATATCTAGTACAATGTATTGGGCTTAAGAAATTTGGAAATATTGAAATATTCCATATCAACTATTGCAAGAAATTTTGCTAAACATATTGATTGTGCATAGTCTGTCAGATAATTCATGACATTTATCGACCAGGTCTTCTGCCTCTTCTAGGCTGACCCCCTTGAGGTCTACCGGCAGCAAGGATAGCTTCGATGGCTTCAATAATTTCTTCTTCTTCTTCATCTGAATCATCGTCCACATTTGTGCCTGGGATTCTTAGATCATCAGAGTTGTAGCCGTTGGACGTCATAATGGCATGAGCCCTGGAATATTCGCTCACCCAGAGGGCGTTGTTGTTGGCATACTCTTCAACAATAGAGAGAGTTGGTGAGTCGGCACACGAGAAATAGTTACAACTGGACCTTCCGTCAGAATCAACTGTGATGTCTTTAACGAGACACATATCGGAGTTAAGCATCATTGGACCTCCTCCAGCTACTTGACGCTTTCCTCGAGGACCACCAGGAGCACGACCATGTACCCACTGCCACCTGTCTTCACCTGTTGGATTGATGTTAGTTTGAATCCACATCAAGTTTTCGTTCAGGAGATCTCGGTAGTACGCATTGTCGAATAAATCTGGATTCCCCACCCAAGGTCCATTGAAACCAGATGCTCCGGTTCGTGCTCTCCCCAAGGTATGGGCCCCTAGTAGAGCAACAGCGTCTCGTTCACCTAGGTTAAATTCAGACTGGAAGAAATCTAGCACGTTGCCGAGGTTACCGTGTCCTCCATTAGTTGGGAACGCCTCTAAGTCAGAAGTGTCTGGGGATGTGGAACAATCGACTCGTCCAACCAAGAAAGGGATATCTGGGGAATCAGTCTCTGAAGCTCGATCCAAAGCTTCAAGTCCAGCTAACTGCCAAAAATCAGCACGTGAAATAACGTCATCAAAGTTGGCATATACGACTTCGAGATCCCGGATGTAAGGTCTCAAGCCAGCATTATCCGGGTTTGCTAAATTAACACACCTGCAATCAAAACGACAATAAGAATGGTGTTCGGAAACTACATTAACTACTTTAAACAGGTTGAAATTATATGAACTATTGCAATATTAGTTCTTATATCATGACAGTTAACTGAAGTTGTGTCATAGAAAACACTTCGAAACTAGGAGATATCTTTTTGCAAATAAATAGTGAACGTTTTTTTAAACAATGTAATGGGAAGTACATACCCATCGCATCCACCCACACAGTCATGGAAGGCAAGGCGGACTAATCCCCCAATACGTGGGTGATCACCCCCTGGGCCTGTTAGGCCCTCGATGTGTTGCTCAAGAGCTGCACGCATCTCAATAACTTGGTCCGGTGTTGGGGACAGTTGAGCTCTGGTTATCTGAGTGGACAGCGCCATAAGGCAACCAATTAAGCAAAGCATCCGCATCCTGTAGCTTGAGTCTGAATAAAAAAACATCAAATATAAATCAAGGTGAACTAAAATGCAACCTCAAATTTTGTCAGCTCTCTCAATATTTACTGGTTATAAAAACGTTACGTCTTTATGACGAAATGGATGAACTTCCGTCGGAGGAAGGAAGATTTTTATTCAGAATCAGAGTCATAATTTTCACAAAGAAGGAGGTCGGTTTATATCCAAATATTTCACCCGTATGTAAAGAGTAACACCCGGTTACTGAAAAGCGAATCCGTCACGAGTAAATAAACATCAAAGGGCTCCAATACTCGAGTGAGAATTCCTCACTTCAGCAACCAGGACGTTAATAGGCTATAACACAACGCAACCAAGACGTTATGAAATTCATCAGATAACGTCCTGGTTGCTGAAGTGAAGAATTCTCGGGAGATTATTGAGCTGCTGAGAATAGTTGTTCATGACTGACTCGATTTTCATTAACCGGGTGTTACCATTAATATACGGGTAAAATATATAGATACAATCAAATCCTTTCATGGTGAAAATTATGAAAATAAAGATTTCCTCCGACGGTAGTTCATCCATTTTGTCATAAGTGTAAACGTAACGTCTTCATAACCAGGTGGGGACAAGACCAGGTGGGCACCTGGTGATACTATATGCAACAATTATCATCTACACGAGTCTTCCATCGTCACGGTTATTTTAGACGACTTGCACCTGGCACATTTTGTGCGTCCAACTCATCTCAGCTGGGCTAGACAAAAGACTTGTACAAACGAAAGGTTTGATTAGTTCGATCAACACCGACTGCAGGAGTAAACTATTGCCAGAGCCAATAATCACGCCTAACCATCGCGTAAGCAGGCGTCACCGTACAGCGTCAAAAATACAGTCTAGTAGTACAGTTTTCTATACGGTGACGAAAATTAACTGAGTTGAAGCAAAAACTATAATCACTGCGTGAAATATGGGATTCCAACTCTTGACACGTCTAGAAACTGGTCTTTACACGCCGGGTTTCTAGACGTGCCAATTATTTACACCTCTTGACACGCGATGAATTCAACTCTTTACACCTCTTTGCACTTCTTGGCACACGCAGTGCAAAGACGTGTAAAGACCATGTCAAAAAGTCTTTACACGCCCTGTGACAATTAATGGAATCTCTTGACACGCTCTTGGCACACTGAACAACATAATTATGTGTAAACAACTAACCTAATTACCAATAGCAATACATACAGTATTTTAACGATTGCAAGTATTTTCTCTGATACTTTTAATTGATATATTTTTTAATCATTCTTTCGCAGACTGTTTGGAACAAGTACATGTAGCAAATATTAAACAGACTATTTTGTATGTACGCTGACACATTGACTTATTTAAACATTTTGGCAATTTCATGCCGCCTTTTGAAAATATAAATCAGTTACAGGCAATGCTAATCGACGCATTGATCCTAAGTGAAGGAAATACATATCATGATAAGAAAAAGAAAGGCGTTTCAAGGATAAAACGTGCAATAAACTTTGAAAACACTGATACATCAGGCCTATTTATATATTTATTTTGTATTAGCTTAATATAAAGATAATCTTACTTTTCGATGAGTATTTGGATTTCGGAGTAATTTGTTTCAAGTTAAGTCAATACAAATTATCGCCGACTTAACTTGTGACCATACATATGATAAATGAGGGGCATTTTAATACACAATTGGGCAAAACAAGCATATTCAATCGAATGTACCATTCTCTCTGCTGTTCTTTCCCAGCCTATCCATAAACAGACAGGTACAAGTTCCCATAGTTTTCGCAACATCTAATTCTATGATCAATTGCTAGACACAGCAAATATACTAATTAATTGTCTGATTGTGATTCGGGAACGTAGGGTTTTTACATAAACAGGATACTTGGCTGTACATAGCCTGAGAACACTGGATTGACCCCCCCCCCCCAATCGACGCCTAGGCGCTGCTTATGTTTTAATAAGAAACATTCCCTTGTAAAGAATTATCGGGATATGAATTGATACAAGGTCAAGTATTCTGCCCCTTTTGTGTGATAAAAATATGTATTTAATTGGTGCTTTAACTTTTTGAACAAAGAAATGAAATAATCGCACTGAATGTCTCAACATAAATCAGTGATGTTTAATTAATAAATGACGCTATTATGTCAGTCTACGCACTTCATGGACATGGACGGTGGGGGGTGTGAGTTACCCATTCTAAAATGGTTAAATTTTGTATTAAAGAGTAATCAATAGGTCGTGAACTCCGATTGATAACCAACTGTAGCATACTGCTTAATTTGTTTGACTATTGATATTAAAAAGGAGTGAATTTATGATATTCATAGAGGTACATTGTATTGGTATTAATATAATAATGATATTGGGGACCATAAACCACTTTGTTTCGCAAGTAGCTTTAGGATCGCGGTTTTATCTTCACATGTTGCCCTTTGTGCAATTCGAAAATGAAATATTTTAATCTATAATTTATATATCATTTGCAAAATAAATGTAATTAAGAGACATGGGGGAGGGGGGGGGGGTTAACGGCCAGAATTTGGAATGAATTTGGGAATTTCAAGGATTGATTCACTTAATGTTGTTCACTGGAGTCGATACACACACCTGCATAACAATCGGAGACAAAACTGACTTAATCTGATATGATAACAAAAGATTAATAACTTAGTCTATGTTTTTGTTTTTATAATTGCGGAAGTGTACCAAAACCACCTTGATTACAGAAGATATCGTCTAGGCTTTAGATTTAATGAATAGATTTTTTGCCCTAGTCTCATTTAATAAAACAGGCTATTTGCGTATTTAATTAATATTTGTGACAAAATATTTCAGTTAGACTCAAAATCAAAACGAATTTCTCCATTATAGCCCCCCTTGCAACTGTCCCGAGTCTGCATCTGTTTTTCATGCTTCCGATCCACCTTTGGGATAGAGAGAATAGATGTAGATTTGTAATTTGGGGGGGGGGGGGTGGCATTAAATGTGTTCTCATACAAACTAAAATAAACCCCAAAAAGCCATATCAAATGTCCAAACACAAGACCAATGCCATGTCAAACATCCAAATATAGAACCAATGCCATACCCCCGGGTACCAAATATCCAGAATATAAGACCAAGGCCATTCGAAATATCGAATGCCCCGAGAAGAAGGCAGATCTTTGAGTAAAATGATCATAAAACAACCTCAAATGAAGGATATGTGTAACAACTAGACCAATGCCCCGGGACCAATGCCGTACCACAATTGAGGGGTAACATATTTTCCACACCGATTCTTATACCTGAAAATGGAAAAATCTGTCTTAAAATGTGGGTCCATTGGCTTGACATACCAAATGTAAAAAAGGTACCCCACCTGAGCCGAGTGTGAACCCCCGGGGTGAATGGTGAACACACGGGGCAAGGAATTCTTCGATTTTGATTCAAGTAATTTTTTTATAAAATTCATACTCATGTTAACAGCGGACGCCTTGGCCAAATAATCGTTCAAATCATGCACTTTCCAAGTGATTTTGTAGCAAAATTGTGATAATATATGAACCCCTTGGAATTATTCAAAGACGGACCCCCGCCAGCCCATCCCCCATTCTTACCTATGCTAAACACTAAGATAAACATATAGAATGGTATCTTACACTTTTTTCTAAATGTTGATATCCAAAAAACATATCTTTTTGGTTTATCAACACATACCGCTCACAATATAACAAGTATACAGATTGTAACATAGATAAGCGAATTGGGGAAAATTACAATCCCTTTGATCAAATTATTATAAGATTTAATCTCCAGCTGAGGTGCAATCAAAATGTTGATACACATAATTAGCAGTCAGAAAGATGCTCTTACCACTGTAGTTTTCAATATTCCCTTTGTTGTAACATCTTATTTCAAAAGAATGGATATTGCAGTGGCGTAGCGTGGCAATTTTACTAGGGGACGCAAAATTCCAAAATTGGGATGGGGGGGGGGGGGGTTTACCCGATATGCATTCATTTCCACTTGAAATTTACTCATAAGTACTCATTCAAACATGACCGTGCTCTATTCGAATTTCTCAACCAATCAGAATGCAGCATAGCCAATATAGAACGTTCTCTAATTCTCCATAGATGCACGACCATGCTCTATTCAATCTGCAATTTGCATTGTTTTGAGTGACGTCACATCTCAGCTGCACATCTGGGGCTCTGTCCGGGGATAGCTGTTCTTTTTTACTCCCTCCGTAACTACTGTAACTATTTAACTATGGCTGACCATGTTTGTATACACCGTATAAAATCTAAAACGGGGAGTAAAATAGAACAGCCCAAACAAATTCTAAAATTTTTCCGGCCGACTTCAGAATCTTGACAGCATGCGTAGTCTTCCTTCATGCCCGTTCCACAGACACGGCTTTTACTATTTTTTATGTTTGAATCGGAATAAATAATGATAGGCCATTCAATATGGTGAAATTCAGCACTCGTTGGACAGAATGTTAGTACAAATGCACTCACCTTCGGTTCGTGCTTTGTACAACATTCTGTCCAACTCGTGCTGAATTTCACCAGATTGAATGGCCTATCATTATTTATTCCTTAATTATAAGTCTTGTAGAAATTCTTGTAGACATGTCGGGACTAAAATAAACACCCAATTTCTATGATTGAACCCTGTTCAAAGATACGAAATGATAAGGTTGAACAATGGCTTTGCTTATTAAAACTTAAGAAATTTAGAATTTCCAAATAAACATTGGATTGTTCCAGTGGACGCATTTGCGTACTTTGCGTAAACGACGCTACGCCACTGTATTGATGGTTGTATGGAAGTATTCATATCAAACATTCACATTATAGTTTACAGTGGAATTCCCTCCATAAATGCAACATATTTACCATTTAAGATTTCATATTGGACTTTCCGCATAATGATAAAATGTTGACGATATAGTTTTCGATAAAACCCCAGGGCCGTAGCCAGCTTTCAGTCGGGGGGAGGGGTGATGCAATCACCAAAATATTTTAGGTTTTCAGTCGGGGGGTGCGATCGTGACATAAATGAGGCAAAAAATATTTGTTTTGAATTTTTACGAAAATGATGCAACTTCCTTCAAACCTGAGCTAGAAGCTTCAAACAAAAAATCAATTTAATGCTCTTTTCTTCCTCTACCTTATGGTACCTTTTATTGCTTGTAGGAGGGGGTGCGAACCCACCGCTTCTCCTCGTTACGCTTATAAACCCAATGACGTATTCCCAAGGAATCGACTTTATTAATTTATATGTGAAAAATGAGCTTGCATGTAAAAATTGCATCGTATGCAAACCTTCCCCTGACCGACCCGGTCATGTTTATGTCTTTTGAATGATGTCTACCCCTTGATGCATGCATCCTTTAATAAGTGGTGTTAAGAATATTGGTGTAGGCCCTGGTGAAGGGATATGTCATAAAGATTTCACGTTATCGCGATATACATGTAGCCGCGTCCCCTTTGTCTTTATCCTTCCAAACGCAAACGGCAGATAAGAGGGGTTCTTAGTGATTGATCTGATGCTTAATAAGCCACTTACAAGATACAGTTTAAAATATTGATATTGTGCAAAGTTTTAACACATAGGCGTAACCAGGGGGGGGGGGTGCAATTCGTGAATGATCGCACCCCCCCCCCCGCTTAACCAATAGAGAAGGAAGAAGAAAGGAGCTTTGAATGGCTTTCATTTGAAACTTCTAGTTCAATTTTGAAGGAATTTGCAATGTCTGGTTCACATTTGCTCAAATTCATCGTCCGGCCTCCGGCCGATTGAGTATTTTGTTTAAAATTGTTTTCATGTTTGAAAAAACACTCAATCGGCCGGCCCCCGGCCGATGAATCGGAGCAAATATGACCCAGGCATATGAGGGGCAACATTTTAGATATAGTATTGTTTGAAATCCTGGGAAAATGCACTCCCCCAATTTTGCAAATCTGGTCTGCGGTGCTAATGAACCCTCTAATTTGTTTTCGTTTACATGAGCAACTAACAGATATGTTTATTCTCATTCTGTCTCAGCTTGATTTTAATTAAATTTTACCCCCACCCTTCGAACGTCTTTGTCTCTCTCATTTTTGCAACCCTACATTCAGTTTCTTTTTAAACCAAATCAAGAAATATCCGTCCACATATCAGATATTAAACCAATAGTTGTTCATTATAAGAACAACCATATATTATATTTATAGATCATAAGCTATTTTTAATTTCAGCTATAAAATTAGTCCTCTCTCCCCTCCTCTATCTCTAGATACGCAGAGTTTCTAGACCGGCTAAGCACGTCTAAAAATTACTAGAAATTCCACAATTTCCCGGGCACAATTTATACAGTGATATGGATTTCATGTTTCTATTGAATCCCTTATTTTGAAGTCTAGCTAAATAATCGAGTTTGATTTTAAACGTTTTCGGGGATCCGGGCAGAACTCAGGATATAGTACTTGAGTACATTTGCATTCAAGATAATTCAAAATTCAAAATTGCAAATATCATGGAAGTTGATTGCAATTATGTTCGATGATCGTCAACATGAAAGAACAATATGTCTGAATAATTAGCTATTAAACATCTTTATCAAAACTTTCCTACACTTTTAAATGTTGATCTTGTCAAAGAGTACTCTCCATCTGAGATTCAGATGTAGATCGAAAATCAAATTGATTTCAAAGGTATTTATAGATGGTTTACATGAGGGGTTCTGTCCATGGTGTATTCCTTTCATAACAAAGAGTTGTTTTGCTTCCGGGGTCCTAAATTATTCAATTTTAAATAGTAACTAATAAGATTAAACAGATCAAAAAGACTCGGGGCACTGCCGTCGCCCCATCATGATCAATACAGGTGACAATAAGCGACACATGTTTCAGCGTCATGATAGTAAACCATGACATCTCAAATCTTCCCAGCCCTTGATTTTTGAGATCTTTCATCCCAGCTCATATTTCATCTAATTGGGGTCATAAAACTTGTGTAACTGTGCCTGTTGCATCCTCGCTGGAAGGGTATTTTACAAGTATAAATGAAGTCCTTTGAAGAAGGATGTGCCTGTTGTTAAATACATGTACAATGCCTTACTACATTATGTAATGTATTGACATTAAGGTAGATGATTACATGATAACAATCACACTTATTGACATTCATAACTCTTCCCATCTGATATGCTCAGATCACAGAATATGCCTCATTATATCAGAGCATGTTTCAGGCGTTTCAGACCCATAGCCAGGATTTGCCAAGGGGTGGGTTACTTTTTTAAGAAATTCCAGGGGGAGTTTACTTTTGGCAATGTTAGTTCAAAAATGAGCAAAATAATTTAAAAGGTGCTCAGTATGGGGTAAAAAATGCAATTTTGGTCACGGAGGGGGGGGGGTCGCTAGAACCAATCTATCCCCCCTGTATTCGGGCCTGCATGTGCTATCTACATATTTGACAATTTGATTGACACGGTTCAAAGTGGACTTTGTTAATTATTCAAACTGTTTTAATATCTAGGAATATGCGTCCAAGTTAAAATCACTCGAAATCAGGGTAGATAAACCTAAGAAAAACACATTTCTTGTTTTCATTTGATCTTTAACATGATCCTGTAAAAATGTCAGATTTAGCAAAATACATAGGCGATCTCCATCTGCACACATCTACTCATTTCGACTAAGCTATTGCCTATACTTACACGCACACGCATACTTTTAAATTAATTTTATTTTGATAATGATTTAAAAAACACAAATTATTATTAACACGAAATTAAAATGATTGTTATATTCCAATCCTAGTAAAGTATAATTAAGCGCGACTATAGGGCATAACAACATGTGGCCGGTCTAATTATACTGTTTGTTTTGATAAGGCTGTGCAAAGAGATATCAAAACTCTTGACACGCTCTTTACACGCGAGGTCTTTGCACCTCTTGACACGTCTTGGAATCTCTAGATACGCGGAGTTCCTAGACTATCTTTGCACGTCTAGAAATTGCTTGGAATTTCACATTTGACGCAGTGAATGAGGGTTTTAACTAAAAATTAATTAGATGAAAATAAATATGATTTCGGGTGTAATAAAAACAGCCTTCTCTTAGGCATGGTTTTAACTTTCTAATTACAGTATGATAAAAGTTTTTCGAGCAACAAATACTGAGTTTTTGGTTTCATGATCCTTACCGTATCACACATTTCCAGTAACCTTCCATTAAGCGATGGAAGATATCGTTGAACTCTAGCGCCCATGCACTATATGTGAACAAATGATCATACTCCAGAGTTTCCATTTCATATAAGCTTAGTCTCATTTAGTTCATCAAAGCATAGCGCCAACTATAAAGAAGTTTAATTCGATGAAAACTAAAAATATCGAAATCGACACTTCCTGTCCGCGATCTTAAATGCAAAAGTGACTGCAGTAACTTTCACTTGATACTGATCAGTTTGACAACATTTATACAAAGGAGACTTGATTGGATCAACATTTGAACTTCCACACCAAAACTTATGCGATTTGAAGTAATGAATTCTTTATATTACTTCTCACAAATTATAGTGAATCGTCACCGTACAGCTGTTGCGTCACCATACAAATTTGATCTTTTTTAAATATACATAATGAATGGTTGTTTGCTGAATCTTCGCCCGTTCTAAAATGTGTAGTCAACAAATACATATTCTCATCAAAATAATCCATACTCTCAGACGGCAGGGAAAATAATAACCAAACGAAATGTGAAAAAACTACCTTTTTTCACTCTGGTCGATTATGTGGGCCGATTCACTCAGAAAAAATCCGAACAGTGCTCGTAAAACGTTTATCATAATTAGAAAGTTAAAACCATTTCTAAGAGAATGCTGTTTCTATTTCACATGAAATCGTATTAGTTTTCATCAAATTAAATTTTCTAAACCCTTGTCATAGTTTTTGCTTCAAATCAGTTAATTTTCGTCACCGTACAGAAAACTGTACTCCGCTATCTTTTGACGATGTACGGTGAGCATAAAACTGGTTATATTGGATCAAGTTTTTCAAAACATATTTTAATTTCAATTATCTGAACTGTTTCATTAGTAATCTTCAGTGGTTTTACATCTTCAAAATATCTGTAAACTTACCTAAATAATGTTTGTCTCGGACTTTTCCGTGTGCTTCGTGAATCAATGTTCATAAATTCTGGTCCTTGCGCAAAGGGTTGAAGTTAACTTATAGCGTCTCAGTGATTTGAAAATGTTGATTTAAGGCCACGTCCTTTTGTAAAAGGGTATTAAGGGATCGTGTCTTGGAGCTTAGTGTTAAGCCGGGAACAATCACGTGCTTATCAAAATTTCTGGTTTTGGAAAGCCATGGATAAAGGACCCATTACAAAACAATGTCGTGCAAGGAATCTGTGCTTTAGTTGCTCATAATGCATGTGACGATGCAAACAAATGTTTATGTTAGGAAATACCCTTATCAACAAATACATTCATACCCTGGACAACGACTTGTTATGCTGAATAACAAACATTGGGCTTTATGGCTTGAAACTCATATTGTGTCAACGTCTTGCACCTTGTGCTTTTGGTACAGATGCATTGTGCAAGAATCAGTTTCAGACTTGCTAACATATCTGGACTTGTTTTGATGTGTGTACGTAAATTAGCCCAAAGATCAGGACAAACGGGAATTAGAAAAATAAATACCAATTATTCATCTGACTAGAGCAAGGTGTAAAAACATTCCTTCGTCATCTTCGAATTTCCCAGAAACTGTACATATCGTATAGTATACGACTAAAAAGTTATTGATTATGTCCATGCAACATACATAATATCCAAAAACCGTCTGTGAAATGTCTTTAATACCCATTCATTATCCAAAATAATAGTATTAGGCACCAGGGATTAGGCTTATAGAATGATAACAAAGTCAATCCAACATACTTTTTCAAGGGTGTTACCTCATAATCACAAAAAGTGCAATTATTTTTACAATGTTTAATGCGTTACTATTCTTTATTTCAGTGTATCAATTAGTTCTTGAAAGGAAAACTGAATTCCTCTAAGATTAGTGTTCCCAATGTTATTTTCCCATTGAGAAAATCGTCCTATCCATCGGTTTCAGGTCATTTTGGTCATCCAAATTCAATATTTTTAAAGTCCCTGGAGAAATCCACCATTTCTTTTGGGAAATAAAATATGTCTCAAAGCACATTATAATTATGCATTCAACATTATAATAAAAGGTTATATTTTTAGTGAAAATTAGCTCAACATTTTTGAAAAAGTATGTTGATTGGTTCATTGCCCTTTTTATATCACTTACTCTGATTAACCAAATGATCATAATATATACATTTCTTGAATAAGAATGAATGGATCTAAAAGACACTCGTATTCATGATCAGAAAACATTTATAATTCAAGTTACAATCGTTTGAAATTGTTTGTGATAGCTCCTTTGCGTGCATTTTCAAGCATTTATCAAACTTTATCTTTTTCTTCGTCCTAACCAAAAATGTACATACAATGAAGAAACTTCGAATTTCAGGATAGTTGCATTTTCATAGTATTCCATGTAAGTCATTTTACAAAAGATTAAAAATGTACTCTTTTAAAAAGTCAAACACGTAAAAAAATCAATAAAACAATATATCAGACTTCAGCATTTGAACTTTTATTAAACCAAAATTAATGAGAACAATGTTAAACAAGGTGCCGTTCAGATGATAAACCAAATCTATGGGGTGTCAGGAGGAAATCAATTTGAAAATGAAGACAGAAAGACTGAATAAAAATAAAATAAAACAATACAATGAACAGTTCTGATGTTTCCAAATAACTGTACAAATGGAATCCTAATAAAACGTTGATGACGTGTCTAATATTTTCATTCGTTATTAACTTAGCGGATATAGATAGTTCCATATGTTCTGATTCTGAAATATATTTATATTTTAGTCTAATTGGGTTCCTTGAACAGGGATATTCATGTTTAGACTGTCGTCTGATTATCCCCGGCGTCTTCTCCCTCCTGCACCACCTCTTCCGGGGCCGCCCCTTCTTAAACCTGAACCTCTTCTTCCTCCTGATCCACCTCGTGGAGGTTGTCCTCCTTCATTTGTACCGCCTGTTATGATTGCATCAATCAATTCCTCCTCCTCCTCTTCTTCTTCCTCTTCTGCTGCTGCTTCTTCTTCTTCTACTTCTTCTTCATCTGTATTTGACGGTTGTTGTTGTTGTTCTTCTTCTTCCTCTTCTGCTGCTGCTTCTTCTTCTTCTTCTACTTCTTCTTCATCTGTATTTGACGGTTGTTCTTCTGGATTCCCGACCATACCTGACTCTGCGACACTTGCAAGATCACCTTCTCCATATCCGTTGGACGTCATAATGGCATGAGCCCGGGAATATTCGCTCACCCAGAGGGCGTTGTTGTTGGCATACTCTTCAACAATGGAGAAAGTTGGTGAGTCGGCACACGAGAAATAGTTACAACTGGACCTCCCATCAGAATCAACTGTGATGTCTTTAACGAGACACATGTCGACGTTCAGCATCATTCGACCTCGACGACCACCACGAGCACGTACCCACTGCCACCTGTCTTCCCCAGTTGGATTGATGTTAGTTTGAATCCACATCAAGTTTTCGTTCAAGAGATCTCGGTAGTACGCATTGTCAAATAAATCTTCGTTCCGCACCCAAGGCCCATTGAAACCAGATGCTTCGGTTCGTGCTCTCCCCAGGGTATGGGCCCCAAGTAGAGCAACAGCGTCTCGTTCGCCTAGGTTAAATTCAGACTGGAAGAAATCTAGCACGTTGCCGAGGTTACCGTGTCCTCCATTAGTTGGGAACGCCTCTACATCAGAAGTATCCGGGGATGTGGAACAGTCAATTCGTCCTACCAAGAAAGGGATATCTGGACGATCGGTCCCTGCAGCTCGCTCTAATGCTTCAAGTCCCGCTAACTGCCAGAAATCAGCACGTGAAATAATTCCTTCAAAGTTGGCATATACGTCTTCAAGATCCCGGATGTAAGGTCTCAAGCCATCATTGTCAGAGTTTGCTAGATTAATACACCTGCAACAAAAATGATAAACAACCTTTTGAAAATGATAAATCTCATTGCCGGGTACTCAGCATGATGTTCAAAACACATCATTCTCGTTGCTGGATACATAATTAATCTTATGGATAAACTATGAGTATTGGGTTTCATGAGAAATAATAGTTTTGCAAGAAGCAGAGAAAGAGTCTGAGGAAGAGTCGTATCATTAAACGGGGCTAAGATCATCGAAATTACATACCCATCACATCCACCCACACAGTCATGGAAGGCAAGGCGGACTAACCCCCCAATACGTGGGTGACTACCCCGTTGACCTGTCTGGGCTTCAATGTGTCGCTCAAGAGCCGCACGCATCTCAAGAACTTGGTCCGCCGTCGGTGACAACTGTGCTATGGACATGTTGGTCAGCGCTAACAGGCAGCTGATAAACTTTAGGATCCTCATGATCAACGTTTTTCCTTCTTTAACTGTAAAAAAGACAATTAGTTAATGATTGGGTAGCAAGAAGCATTCCTTCAGGGCACCAACTAGAATGTGGGTGCATCATAATACAGTCCAACCCTTGGCGAGTTTTCAATCAAACACTATGTTATATATGACTCTTAATCAATAACATACTTTTGTTCTTTGTTATACATTCAGCCCCATAATATCTCAATCTTACCCCCCTATCACACCAAACTAGTTCTTACCCGTTCTTGCCAGTCCTACGAAAACGTCGTAAAACGGGCTCAATCTGGCTGTGGTCGGGAAATATGTCTGAAATAATTAGCTTCTTCGTTCTTAAACAGTCTTCAATACGTCCATCTCGTTCGCAGTTCGTTCAGGTCGCACCACGTCGGTGTGCAACGTCGTAGAACGCGTCCCTTAGTTTAGAAGGTCAACATGACCTGATTACAGAACGGTATGGTCGCCATCGAACTTTGAATCGATTCAAAATTCTAAAATCACATTCCCGTCTGAGAACGTTCATAAAGTTCGTAAATAGACCTTAGAAAGTTGCAGCTACGTTCATTCCGTTCGCACATAGTTTAAAACCAGTTTTGAAGAACGCAGTGGCAACTTGTTTGGTGTGATAGCTATATTTTTGCTAACTCGTTCATAAGCAGTGTTAAATACGTTCTTAATCAGTTTAAACCCGTTTGCAATTAGTTCTACGTCGTTCTCAACACGTCCTCAGACAGTTCGACTCGTTGTTAAAACGTCCCTAGTAGGATTGAAGTACGACGGTTCCGTTCGTAGTACGTCCAGCTCGTCGTTAGTACGTTGTCACTCGTTCTAATTGTAGAACGTGACGACCACGAGAAGATCTTGAGCATTGTCTAAGTTCTAGAGGACCTACCCGTTCGAGTACGTTCGATGAAGTTTGTAAATAGATCTCAAACGGTTCTTAGTAGGTCCAGTCCGTTCGTACACAGTTGAAGCCCGTTTTCGAGAACGTAGTGAGAACTAGTTTGGTGTGATAGTAGGGTAACTTTGTTATGAATCAAACACTTACGTTATACGTTCAATCCTCGTACACAAACATGAACACCATTGGGAAATAATTGGTTTGAACCACAGATTTGATGAATTTGATCTGATAATTGTGCAGTATCAAGGGCGTAGCAAGTGTAAAAGCAAATAACACTTTAATGTGACTCCATCAAAGTTCAAAGTTCATCTCGTTCGCAGTTCGTTCAGGTCGCACCACGTCGGTGTGCAACGTCGTAGAACGCGTCCCTTAGTTTAGAAGGTCAACATGACCTGATTACAGAACGGTATGGTCGCCATCGAACTTTGAATCGATTCAAAATTCTAAAATCACATTCCCGTCTGAGAACGTTCATAAAGTTCGTAAATAGACCTTAGAAAGTTGCAGCTACGTTCATTCCGTTCGCACATAGTTTAAAACCAGTTTTGAAGAACGCAGTGGCAACTTGTTTGGTGTGATAGCTATATTTTTGCTAACTCGTTCATAAGCAGTGTTAAATACGTTCTTAATCAGTTTAAACCCGTTTGCAATTAGTTCTACGTCGTTCTCAACACGTCCTCAGACAGTTCGACTCGTTGTTAAAACGTCCCTAGTAGGATTGAAGTACGACGGTTCCGTTCGTAGTACGTCCAGCTCGTCGTTAGTACGTTGTCACTCGTTCTAATTGTAGAACGTGACGACCACGAGAAGATCTTGAGCATTGTCTAAGTTCTAGAGGACCTACCCGTTCGAGTACGTTCGATGAAGTTTGTAAATAGATCTCAAACGGTTCTTAGTAGGTCCAGTCCGTTCGTACACAGTTGAAGCCCGTTTTCGAGAACGTAGTGAGAACTAGTTTGGTGTGATAGTAGGGTAACTTTGTTATGAATCAAACACTTACGTTATACGTTCAATCCTCGTACACAAACATGAACACCATTGGGAAATAATTGGTTTGAACCACAGATTTGATGAATTTGATCTGATAATTGTGCAGTATCAAGGGCGTAGCAAGTGTAAAAGCAAATAACACTTTAATGTGACTCCATCAAAGTTCAATTGAAAATAAAGTCTGAATTTATATTTTTCTGTACAATTTTGGTGAGGCCTCGCCTGCTTCCGCTACTAATGAACTTAATTGACTTTACACTGTACTTGATTATGATTCTATATAGGTCTACCGGGTGGGCCAAAAAGCTTTTTTATATAATGATTTATTTCAGGGAATGCAGGTAAAACACACTACCGGTTTAAAATTGATATTTGACATTACAGTTTTACAGAGATCTTATTCAAAGTTATGCCCGTATATTGAAAACCCATGGACGTTTGAAAAAGTTTTTCAGAGAGAAACATTATACATGGTGCTTTCACAATTTTTTATTTATATTTTAAAACTGAAACATTGGGACTGTAATTGAGAACAATAAGGAAGATTAGATGAACTATTTAATATCAAAAGAAATTAAACTGGATGAGAAATACATGAGTCAGATGTTTAGTGAAGAAGACAAGCAAAATATTAATTAATTAAGATTTTCCATTTCCTTGCTACTGAAATTTTTTCCTTCATCTTACTTAATTGTCTCATGATACTTCTTCCATTTTTGTCAGAAAATAATTATAGAATACCCTACCCTATGTGTCTTTCTGACACACTGTAGGATGTTAATATTAACCTGTCAGCACCTGTAATTTCATTCAAGACTTGCAGTGTTTATATGTACCATTTATCTCTTAGTACAATTGTAAAACTGATGCATCTCCAACAAAGTGTTGTTTTTTAAATTATGCATTTATTTATTTTTGATCGTCAAGTATATATCAAGAATCTGGAAAGTAAAATCTATTTTGTACCAATATTTTTATATCTACTCACCTCAGTCTCTCTGACCTTGTTGTTCGATGTCCCGAAATTATGCTCTTGTTTCAGTGTCCTTTTTTATTTAAATGTCATGACTGAAGTGTTGATTAATCGTCGTCATTGTGTGCAGTGGTATAAAGGAAGCTTACTCGAAGCTTAGTGTTAAGACGGGGATCAAACAAAAGAGTCACGAATGTTTTATGTCATAAGAAAGTTAGAACACGCACTAAAAGTGTAACAGTTACTCGCTGTATCTGCTAAAAATGATTGCTTTAAAAATATGAACACTTATTTTATACTTTGGGAAGAGCCCATGCGACAAATTCATGATTCCAGAATGAAAATATTTGACCAAAACTTTAAAAGATGCTGTTATTCAGTTTGTCACTTAAAGGTTTCACCCAAAATGTGCATTCCGAAGTTTTAAGATATTCAGAATGGTGAAAATCTGGATGATTTTGAAATGTTAAACAAGGTGCCGTTCAGATGAAAAAAACAAATTTATGGGGTGTCAGGAGGAGATCAATTTGATAATGAGGACAGAAAGACTGAATAAAAATAAAATAAAACAATACAATGAACAGTTCTGATGTTTCCGAATAACTGTACAAATGGAATCCTAAAAAAACGTTGATGACGTGTCTGATATTTTCATTCTTTATTTACTTCAGTGGATCTAGATAGTCGCATATGTTCTGAAATACAATTATCATTCTATATTTAAGTCTAATTGGGTTCCTTGAACAGGGATATTCATGTGGAGACTATCGTCTGATTATCTCTGGCGTCTTCTCCCTCCTGCACCACCTCTTCCGGGGCCGCCCCTTCTTAAACCTGAACCTCTTCTTCCTCCTGATCCACCTCGTGGAGGTTGTTCTCCCTCATTTGTACCACCTGTCATAATTGCGTCAATGACTTCAATCAATTCCTCTTCTTCTGCTTCTTCATCTGTATTTAACGGTTGTTCTTCTGGATTCCCCACCATAATTGCCTCTGCGACACTTGCAAGATCACCTTCTCCATATCCGTTGGACGTCATAATGGTATGAGCCCGGGAATATTCGCTGACCCAGAGGGCATTGTTGTTGGCATACTCTTCAACAATGGAGAAAGTTGGTGAGTCAGCACACGAGAAATAGTTACAACTGGACCTTCCATCAGAATCAGCTGTGATGTCTTTAACAAGACACATGTCGGAGTTCAGCATCATTGGACCTCCTCCACCTGCTTGACGTTTTCCTCGACGACCACCAGCACGACCATGTACCCACTGCCACCTGTCTTCACCTGTTGGATTGATGTTAGTTTGAATCCACATCAAGTTTTCGTCCAGGAGATCTCGGTAGTACGCATTGTCAAATAAATCTTCGTTCCGCACCCAAGGCCCATTGAAACCAGATGCTCCGGTTCGCGCTCTCCCCAGGGTATGGGCCCCAAGTATAGCAACGGCGTCTCGTTCACCTAGGTTAAATCCAGACTGGAAAAAATCTAGCACGTTGCCGAGGTTACCGTGTCCTCCATTAGTTGGGAACGCCTCTACATCAGAAGTATCCGGGGATGTGGAACAGTCAATTCGTCCAACCAAGAAAGGGATATCTGGACGATCGGTCCCTGCAGCTCGCTCTAATGCTTCAAGTCCGGCTAACTGCCAGAAATCAGCACGTGAAATGATTCCTTCAAAGTTGGCATATACGTCTTCGAGATCCCGGATGTAAGGTCTCAAGCCATCATTGTCAGGGTTTGCTAGATTAACACACCTGCAACGAAAATGATAAACAACCTTTTTAAACAGATCATTCGCATTGACGGACACCCAGGGTGTTAAGAACACATCATTCTCGTTGCTGGATACATAATTTTTCTTATGAATAAACTATGAGTATTGGGTTTTATGAGAAATAATAGCTTCGCAAGAAGCAGAGAAAGACTTATGGGGAGTCTGAGGAAGAGTCGTATCATTAAACGGTGCTATCATAATCGAAATTACATACCCATCACATCCACCCACACAGTCATGGAAGGCTAGGCGGACTAATCCCCCAATACGTGGGTGACCACCCCCTTGACCCGTCTGGGCTTCAATGTGTTGCTCAAGAGCCGCACGCATCTCAAGAACTTGGTCCGCCGTCGGTGACAACTGGGCTATGGACATGTTGGTCAGCGCTAACAGGCAGCCGATAAACTTTAGGATCCTCATGATTAACGTTTTTCCTTCTTTCACTGTAAAAAATACAAATAGTTAATGATTGGGTAGCAAGAAACATTCCTTCAGGGCACCAACTAGAATGTGGGTGCATCATCATAACAAAGTCCAGAAACCCTTGGCGAGTTTTCAATCAAACACTATGTTATATATGACTCTTAAATAACATACTTTTGTTCTTTGTTATACATTCAGTCCATGATATCTCAATCCAACCTTGACTTGTCATGAATCAAACACTTACGTTATACGTTCAGTCCTCTTACACAAACATAAACACCATTGGGAAATAATGGGTTTGAACCACAGATTTGATGTATTTGATCTGATAATTGTGCAGTATCAAGGGCGTAGCAAGTGTAAAAGCAAATAACACTTTAGTGTGACTCCATCAAAGTTCAATTGAAAATAACGTCTGAATTAATATTTTCTGCATAATTTTGGTGAGGACATGTTTGGTCCCGAAATGTTAGGTCCAGAACTACCAGAAAGAACAGTAGCGTCATATAGTACTATTTATTTGAGAGATGTTTGATGAAGAAGACAAGGAAAATATTAATCAATTAAGCTTTTCTATTTTTCTTGTTACTGAAATAGTTTCCTTCATCTTACTAGTACAATAACGTCATTTATAAGGGCAACATAGTGAAATATTGGACCGAGGGCCGAAGGCCTTCGGCCCTCGGTCCAATATTCCACTATATTGCCCTTCGAAATGAGGTTATTGTACTATTGTTGCATCAAATAATTATAACATCCTGCAGCAGCACCTGTAATTTCATTTAAGACTTGCAGTGTTTACATGTACCATTTATCTCTCAGGTACAATTATAAAACTGATGCATCTCCAACAAAAGTTGTTATTTTAAATATATGCATTTATTTATTTATTTATTTTTGATCGTCAAATATATATCAAGAATCTGGAAAGTTCGTACCAATATTTTTTATCTCTACTCACCTCAGTCTCTCTGACCGTGTCGTTCAGTGTCCCGAAATTATGCTCTTGTTTCAGTCTTCTTTCTATTTAAATGTCATGACTGAAGTGTTGATTAATCGTCGTCATTGTGTGCAGTGGTATATGTATATAGGAAAATTACTCGAAGCTTAGCGTTAGGATCAAACAAAAGAGTCACGAATGTTTTATGTCATGAGAAAGTGCGAACACGCACTAAAAGTGTAACAGGTACTCGCTGTATCTGCTAAAAATTGATGGCTTTAAAAATATGAACACTTATTTTATTCCTTGGGAAGACCCCATGCGACAAATCCATGATTCCAGAATGAAAATATTTGACCAGAACTTTAAAAGATGCTGTTATTTAAAGGTTTCGCCCAATATTTGTGTTCAAAAGTTTTAAGATTTTCAGATTGGTGAAAATCTGGATGAATTTGAAAGAATTTCTGCTCAGGGGGAGGGGATTCCACCCCCCCAGCTCCCCTGGTTACAGGCCTGATATGTAACTTACACTATCGACATGGACATTTACCATTTTTAAACATTTGCCATTTCTTAACATCCTTTAGGTTGAATACCTTGAATACAGTTCACCGAAGTAATCGTGGTACCATTCACAATGTCCTTGTCAAGCTTCATTTTGTTATAGGGGTTATTTTGTGATTTGTGTTTTCGATATGTTGCTCCTTGTGTTCTGCCTTAATGATATGTTTGTATATTTTTCTATAAGTGGTCAGCATGCTAATACGGTTATGAGTAAAGACAAATATACCCCTAAAAATATATTTAGGATCACGTTGGATAGTAGTTCACCTTAGTTATAATTTAATGCACAGAATGACCTTAGTTTTAATCCAAATAATTTACCGTAATTTCATTTTACTAATGTTCACAATTGATAAAGTAACCATTGCCGTGCTTCATTTAATCAAACTTTTGGGGGTAGATTTAATTACTTAGGGACACGGGTCCTTTTTCATATTGGCGCGAACTCGTGCATTTGTCAAAGTTATTAGGTTTCCCAGGTGAATGTAAATATTATATTCTGTATGAAAGGTATTCAGAATTGCAGCGATTATGTACATTCTTATAACTATCAGATCAGTAAACTATGATTTGTTAATCCTCGTGTACCTTAGTTCAATATGTTGTAGCTATATTAAACATTTGGTGATAAAGTGTTTTGGTAGAGCTGAGAAGAATTGAGATGTCATGTTTTATCATGATGCTTTTTCGCCAGTTTATAATACTGGTCAGGAACCATCTAACTGATAGAGTTTAAATGTTAATAATATGAAATAGTACAGGAATAAAAAATGTTTTATCATGAACAATGAAATGAAATTCTACAAGTTATAAATTAAACATTTTCGATTGGTTTTACTTAGAGCTATTCCCCGTTTTTTAAAAATTAATATTCCCAAAGGCTTAATGTGTCAGGAAAGCATCTAAATTAGTATTTGAATTTCTCAATTTCTCAGTTATTCTAAAGTTGATAAAATATTTTTAGAAAACATCAATTTACAAGAATGCAGACTTACCTATATTATTGTTAATATTAAAGGCAAACATTTTCATGTAATGAACTGGTAACATATACAGGGTGGGCCAATGAAACGTCCATATTTTTTATTTGGTGATAACGCTTTCAATAATACATATACCAAAAATGATTCACAAATGATACCATATTTATATACTATATATATATACTTAATGTAGCTTAATATATGTAAATTATTTTTGCTCAAGATTGCTTCTGAAATGGGATAAATGAATCAGCGTTAGCGTTCTGAATAGGAAAGGCGAATAGACAGTAGTTGCCAAATTGAAAATGTACAGTTATCAAAACAATATATTCAAAACAACAATTTCACACACATATTGTTCATGCGTCAATTAATAGTACCAGATTGACTGACATACCATACAGTCAGTCACAGAGGCATGTTATGTATGATGTTTACACTGTTGTAATGTATATCTGATAAAAATTGGAAGTATTTGGAGTGTATCGAGACTATAATAGAGTAGATTAGGTGGACTTGTTTAACATCAGGAGAAGCGGTGGTAAGCCGAATTCAAGATGAAAATGATGTTCTCCTTTTGGTTAGGAAGATAAGAAAAGTATTAATCTGAATCTTGGAGGACATTGAAAAGACAAATTGTTTAATGTGTCACCAAACTGATCTTCCTCAGGGACAAATACAATTTCGGAATAGATTTCCCCGTACGGGTAGCTTTTCCCAAATCACCTTTTTTTCTTGATGCTAAATCAGTTTTTCTTCATCTAACGAGTATAATCTAATTGTGATACTTCTAATATTCCATTTTATGTGACAATAATGTGTTTATGTGACAATAATATCAAAATATACTGCCCAATATGTATCACTGACAGACTGAATAATATGTTATTCTGGTATTAATTTGAAGCATGACTAATTTCAGTGCAAAATTGTTGCTTGGAATATCATACTAAAATAGGTATATTTTCAATAGACCCCAGTGTCTGTTTACCATATTATTCAGAAACCCATCTATAGAGATTTATTTAATTCATTTCAGGAAAAATTTACCATCAAATGTGATTTCTGCATCCCCTGTAATTCCATGCGTTTTTAGATTGTATTGAAAAATAAATAAACTATTTTGGCCCAGCCTGTATAAATATACGATTATTTAGCAACCAAACAATAAACGTTTTCATTCTCAAGAAATTGTTGGACGTTTACATTAATTCAATATTTTGTTACAGGGTGATAACGCCAGTATTATATTAAATACATGGTTAAAGCATGGTATTCTGTCACGGGTGTTCCACTGTGTATATCACAGTGGATGGGGCGTATACAGCAAGAGGTGCTCACTCGGCCGAGCCCGACCTCGCAACCGGCAGGCACTCATCAATCATTTAAGGGGGGTGTAAATGGACTTAAGAAAGTTTTTCCATCAAATCGGAGCAACTTTAGCGTCTCATACGTTTGTTTAAACAATCACCGGACATTTACCACTATAAAAAGCGATCTGTTGACATTGTGTCGACACCGGCCAGGTCGATAGATTTTAATTTAATTTACAGGCCTACAGTTTTACAATCACTTAATTTCGTTTATCGTGAGATTTTAAGAGATTTGCCTATGACACCTCAAATTACTTACTTTGCCTTCTTTTAATGGCATATTTGAATTCAGTGAACTGTTTTCTACAAGAATAACTTTGATTTATACAGTTATGTTATTAAAATCATTTTCCATGACTTGGGTCAAATCTCCATTAATGCAATCTTTAAATTCTCTAAAAACCTTGGTTTATTAGTTTAACAACCCTGATGATTACACAATGAGTCACAATGAGTATGTTAAAAGGGTCATCACATGATATATCAAGTTTTAAACAGATTCAACCAACACTTTTTGATAAATCATAAAATAAAGTCACTTTTCGATCTTAATATGGAAGTCTGGCCCATGAAAAATTCTGAATAAAAGATGGCAGCACTGGTTTTCATTCCTTTTTCAGCTATTTCTGAGTTCACATTCTTCCTTATCCATTATAAAGAGGGCAGTGTCGTCTACACCAGTCTACACAGTCCTTGTTGATCGCACGAACATGAATCACCCAATAGAAAGCACTGGGGTTCATAAATTTGTTACAGTGAATTTGGTGCCTTTTCTCCAATCCCTAAATATATTTTCATTTTGGGTCGAACTTTTAAAAAAATTTGCAATTGCGCTTGCTTAATATTCTAACTTCATAGAATTGCAAACTATGATATAGTGTTTACTCATTTACTCATAAGATAAATGAGTAACACTATCGACGTCTAAAGAGTATTATATATTATAAACGGCGGTAATGATAAATAGAATCAACGGCTTGAATGCAAAACAATGAAAGAAACTTAATTTACCATCTCTGAACAATTGTTCACGCATCGGTTACTCTATTTAAAAAAAGAAAATTCACACTGATTCATTTATAATTTTTATTTTAAAATTCAAAGGTTTTTATTTTATTATGTTATGTTTATTTATATTATATGGCCAATGAAAATGTTAATCAGAAGATACACTCTCGTGGTAACTGTCCTCTACATAGATTTAGAAACCGGAAGTCTTATTTGATTGCGTGTTGAATCATTATTTTGTTCCTTTATTACCATTATACGGAATTAATTTTTTTCAACCATAAACAGGATCTTCCAGTTGTTTTAGTTATAGAGTGGGGTGTAAGGTACACATATTCATCATTATAATTTGTCATGTTTATTTTCCCCTATTTTTGGAGACAAATGGTATTTAATTACAAAATATGATATTACATAATGCATAGTAATATAAAGATGACTTCAATACACATTGTGTTCACGGTCCACTTCAGTCTTATGATTGATGTTCCTTGTTAGGCAGAAAAGTACGTGGATCCCTGCACGGTTGGTGAAGTGGTTGGAATCTCCTGGGCCCTGGTTGCCCCCCCCGTCCCCAAGAAATCCCTCTGATCAACGGGTGGCTTGTTGAGTTGCACTTGTAATTGTGGTCAAATATATCATAAAATAAAGGTTTACACAATTATTTGGTGCAGTGATTGTTTCTTTCTTTTTAAACATTTGTTGCTCATGTGACAATCACATCGCAAATTACTTCCCTGCCCTTGCAATATACATCTTCTTAACGTCAACAAAAATGACTTTCAAATCAGCTAACGTCAATATGATATTAGTACATGTAGGTAGAGACATATAAAACATAGCCGATGTGTCTTATTATGCCCCTTTTAACATTTAAAATGATATAAACTTTTAAATGATTCTTCAAAAACATAATAAACACCACAGGCAGTGCAGGAAGTTGATCTTATTCGCCTTGTAACACGAGTAAGTTAAGTGCTTGGGTCATAAATAACAACGAAAGTGTATCTGTCAATGTTTTCTTGTAGTCTGTGCGTCTAGAGTTTGGTTTATAAGTTACACTGACCCTAAATTTAAATAAAAAATTGATATTATCACAAGGTATTGCACAAATCTGATAAAATGAAAAATATACTACTCTATCAATGCTACACGTACCCCATCAATTCAGTATAAAAAGTAAATGTGTGGTTTATATTACGATATTGCACAAAGTTGAAAAATTCTCGAACCTCCGGAAACACGTTTCACCAAAAGTGTTTTAGGATATTGCACAATACAAGGTAAAAACTAAAAGTTATCGTAATTTCTCACGGAAAACCTCAAAATCGAAACGACGACCTTGATAAAATGCATATCGTAATTTCCGTTTTTTATGATCGAAAACTTTCACAATTTATCGGCAAGTTTCAAAATTTCGCAATCCGAAGTTGACATTTGCTGGTTGTTTACGAGTTATAAGAAATGTGTTTGAAAGTCAAGTAAAATAAAGTAGCCGGTTCCGGTCATTTCAGTTCCTTATTCTAGTCTATTTTCACACACAGTAATGTTATATTATTTTCAGTTTTCTTAGGCTGTACGAAATAGGGATATTGTCCACATACAGTCTATCACAAAATGATTTATACCTTTAAATCGCAACTCGATTCACAATGTTTCAGTTATAACCACCTTGGAATTCGACGATGTTAAATCGCCAACCCCAGAGTTATTCATTCTATCTTCTCCCTCCATGGACTTCTAGAACTCCATGCTCCCTCTCAATTATTATTCAACCTAGTCATTTCTTCATCCTAGCCCAACTCAGCCCTGTCTACACAGGTGCTATAGGCCTTTATATTAGATTGGGTTATAAGGGTCTAATGGAGGAATAAAACAAAGTAGTGGACAAATACCTGAGGTCGACCCTAGGTCTAGCCGAGATAAGATAAGTAAGTATTATAGTGCCATAGTACAGTTTGGAACAAAAATAATGACACATGGATTTGCTGTTCGCATGTTAAAAAAATAAGAGAATTTCAAGAGGTCATACATCAGTGGATGAGAGAGAAAATCCACCTGTCATTTATTTTGTTCCAAACTGTAGAAAAATAGTTATTTCTTTGTGGTCGGGGCTCGTGGCTTCCTGTCCCGGCCCACTCAAGATAAGCCTCATAGACCCATGGAGAAACCCCGGGGAAGAAACCAAACTCTGGGGAACTGTTAAGACGTCAATAAAATGACCATTCATTAATTTCAATACAACTGTTGATTTATATGACAAGCAATGCGGAAGTAAACAATACCACGTGGGGATAAAAATAGACGAAAGGGGAATTCCCCATCAATATTTTATTGTTATCAATAAGCCCACTGAATTATAATGACGTCGAATTCTAGGAACTGGTTTTGGAAACGACGGGTCATTAGATGGGAGTGATAGAATGTCAAATATCATGGCCAACTCAGTGTTACTATTAATAGAAACTGACTGATGACTGACCGGGATCCCTAATATCTTAGGATTTCCCAAATTGAGATGTAGTTGACTATAAAGGATCAAGCAAAGCGATGTATGTCATTACTGATCAAACTTAAGCAAACATCAACGGTTAACAAAGCAGCTACTTAGCAGTAAACAATATTTGATTTAAAAAAGACAAAGTCAATAGCTCGAACATAAAATATCACAATTTATATTGCTCGCTAAGGAAAAGATTATTACAAAGCTATCAAACCGAAATAACATTAAAAGTAAAATTTCAAACTCATTAAAAACAATGGCATTTATTTTCGGTAAGTACTCTAGATTTGCATCTTTGTTTGAATCCAATATAAATTATATCTCTCAATATTTCAATTCAAATTCTACTTAGATTGTATGAAATAATTCATAGTCTTGATCTCATATCATTCAACAACGCATGTCTTAATAACAAAATCACAACGATTGCATTGTGCTCATATTTCAGACGCTGCATTAACTACGATGGTGCTGGTTGCTGCCTTATTCGCCCGAGTCTATTCTGCGCCAGTACCGGGGAATACACCAACATGGAACAACCCATGTGGAGATGGCACATCCCTAACGGACCCCGACACTACCGCTGATCCAGCTTGGGCATCTGTCGCACCCGGAGACGTAACACATTCAGAGTACTACAACGAAGTTTCAAAAGCAGCTGGCCGAGCCAAGCGAAGCGTAGAAGACCTTCAGAATCAATTTGTAAGTACTTGTTCTTTTCAAACAGCCAGAGACATAAAACATGTTTATATACAAGAATAGTAGTTTAACTAGTAATGCACAATTGTACACCATGAATCCATACTGTATCATTTGAATTATATGAACATGTATTCTCAAGGGTTACTCAACTGAGTATAAAAATCTACATTCTATTTATTTATTTATTTATTTATTTATTCATTTATTTATTACATTTTTCATCTATTTATCTATTCATTGTTATCAACATGAGCATAATCGTTCTAAGGGAAAAGTACATGCTGAAAATCAGATCAGCTGTTAATTCATAGAAAACGTTAATAAATTGTTGGTACTTAGAAATGGGGAAATAGTACAATAGGATATTGTAAATGCTCAGTCATTCTAAATGTCAACACGACCGTTCAGCACTTAAATATCAACTAATTTATATTTTTGACTATTCAAAATACTTAACATACTTTAACGCAAATATCAATCTTACATTTAAAGGTTGTGAAAGGACGGATCAGTACAAGACGAATAAGCAGCATCGCAAACATGAATTTGGACCACATGCCTGTTGCCCCGGCTCTCTCCGAAGCCAAGGAGATGGCACATGTAAGTATTTACGATAAACATCATATTGCTCATATTGCCATATAACTTTTGCTTCACGTGAAAACCAATCTTTAATTTTAACATAAATCGTAAATGACATAAGAAATTCCTTCAATTTAAGGTATATTTCCTTTTAGTGCTTTTAGTAGCCTATTTGAGTGTTTTTGCAGTCATTTTTGTTAACTGAGAATTTTCAAGATTTGTCTGCTTATGGCTGGTTAGAATAACATAAACAAGGCAGCGATTAGCACATTCGTTTCCTATACCCTGCCAAAAAATCCACATTAAAATTGAATACGTCGGAATTTACAAAATATTTTAAAATGGAGTCATCTCAGGCTATGTCAGGATTGGCTAAAATGTTGAGATGATGTCAGGCTTCAGTAATTCAAAATTAAGACGCTTGAGGTGTGAGTCACGATCTTATACACCCCCTTGATGTTCGATGTTGCAAATTTCGAATACAACACCGGCTTATCGAAGCTGCAATTGATATATATAAACAGACAACGGCTTAGGACCATCGCATTGGTCTGTTTGACCAGGAAGTTCACTACATCTGGTCACTATTTCGGTTTCACACGCTCCATGATCCAAACCTCATCACATTTTTGACATAACACAAATTACAATGTGTCACCCCGCGGTATTACAACACGAGATAAAGATAATAGACACGTGTCCTGAGAACAATTTATGATGCCCTTATGGAGGAATTAAATGTAATTTTCACATTAATATCGTGACGAACTGAGACTTCAACCTAAGCCACCTTCCCACGTTGTTAAAAGTTATTTGATTAACTATAATATCATTATTACATCCGGATGATTATCAATATTATCTTTTGTGTTTTCAGCATGAGGATTCATTGAGAAGAGCAAGAACGGCCCTATCTGAGGTCAGTGTTTTCGTGAAACACATGATCGAGGAAGAAGAAAACGTGTTTATCGGACATACCGCCTCGTCCCTTTTGGCTGAAATGAAATCACTCGAACAGAAATACTTGTACGGCGGAGTAATGTGCAATGTTCACCACACCATGATTGCAACTAAAGTAAGCCACGACTTCGACTTTGCTCACGAGAGTCAAATCAGAGACTCGATCGTAGATCTTTTAGGCGAGGAGGAATACCGTAACATGGTAAACTTCATCATATTAAGAGACATGGGGAAACTTTTCGAATTCCATGAACTGGAGTTTGTTGAATTGGCAAAGATAGCCGCTTCATAGACAGAAGCAAAATTCATGCTTTCATTCCACAATCTCCATGGTAATATGGACAAAAACAAAATGTACATATATTTATTTTATTTATTTGTGTAAAGCCCAACAGTTGATGCGGTTCTATGGACCAAGATTATAATTTATACCAATAGAAAATAGACATTTCATTTCGACGTCCGTATTGTACAGTGTACACATACAATCGGTAATATTTAGTAAGTAAAATATGACTGTCCAAATATGGACTTTTTAGAAATCTAATAGCGACACCTATATTGTTCAAAACCTCATCAACGTTCAGCCGAGTGCAAGTAATGCACCTGAATCTAGTACTACAATGTACTAGAGTGCGGGCTTTAAATTACAAGTAGATCATATTGGTCGAAATATTGTAGAATCTCCTTGCATGTGTCATGTGAGGAGGATTCATATAAAATGTTTTGTATTTATTGTAGTCATAAAGTAGAAGTAGATAGTTTATTTAGAATAGTTATTTAGATATTATATGAGTGATTACGTTGAACTGATATCATCACATATCTCACGGTATGGTGATTACGTCATAATCAGGGGAAATTGATATATGTAAGGATTCCTGTGGTATCATATGATTCCGAGTGATATCACTTAGATATAAGTCTGTTGTATGTTGATCTGATATTCCACGATTTAGGTTCATAATCATGAACCGTAACCGCATATATATAATATTTAGTAATGTGGTAGTAATATGACATATGTAAGATATACTGTAGTTATTTAATTTTATCAACTTATTTTTGCACAATCACCGAAAATGTTCTCACAAATATATCCACATATATTATTTATTTTTATAAAAAATGCAGTGATATACTTTTAATACATGATAAAATGTATCCATTTTTACAAATCAGTCATTTATATTATAATATATATTGCAGTGATATTACCCATGTAGATGTAGTATTATAGCCTATTGGCACCATCGAGTGCTTGAAGTTCATACTATACATGTGCAATGTATTATTCAGATAAGATAACTTATTTATTTAATATATAAACTATTTTAACATGATACTCCTGTATGTATAACGTATAATTTATATATTAAGCGGTACATGCTGTACGTTTATACATATTGATCAGAGATATTGTTTGCTCAAGGAACCAAAGTGCGAAAATGTTTAGTCACGAGTTTACAGTAAGTTGCTCATTATGGCTTGTTGTTATTATTTAATTGTCATACACGCACAAATGACATGACATCAAACTGATTGTACATATCGATTAAATTATTTACTTGAAATAAATTAAATTTAAAAAATGTTACACTGAATGATGATTCTTACTGTTCAAAAATTATGAAAATATGAACACAAGGTTCTATATGGAGGTTTTGTGTCTTGTTTATCTATCCCATTGTGGGATCCACATTTTCTAGTACCCCTTGGAATAATAAGCTTTGGAGAAAGAGAGACTGATAAATAAGAACGCATTCATCCATGTGTATTCTTATTTTTAATTTGTTAATTTTCTCACTCCCTTAATAAGGTGAAGATATACATACCCTCTGTAACGAAAAAAGGTGCATGGTCCTTTATCAGTCATAACTTTTTCAAAATTTTGTATAATATTACTTAACCATTGGAGGCACATGGCGTACATATTGTGAATAACTAGTAGAAATTTAAAAAAAATAGATGAAAATTTAAAAATGCTAGCAATGAATATTATCTCACAAACTCACTAATATGACTTTTCCTTTTAAAGTGTGCGCCTGACCCGGCTACGTATAGCACAGAGTTTATACTGGCGGATTAGACTAGTTCATTTTTTATATATGTGTGAAAGCTTTCTCTTATTTGCGTTTTTTCGTTTAGTACGGTTTTGTTATAATTGCCGAGGTCATATAACCGGGATAAAACAATGATTATCGTTGACTGCCCACACACAAAACATACGTTGAGTGAACAGTGTTATTACAAACAACAGGCTTTAGAATACAAAGCGTAGTGTGATAATAAGCTGTACACTACCACTGCTGCATGTCCATATTACTAATTTACTAGGGCTCCCAAAGAGTGGATAGGGAGGTTGTGTTTGTCACTTTTAAATTTTACATTTCAAAATTGTCATAATTTGTTGGTTTCATTCGTTTAGCCAATCAAAACATTGTAAAACAAGAAATTGTTTGTTACGTACAATCAATTTTGTTCAGTTTGGATTAGTTGTTAGAATAAAGTTACGTTCATCTGAATCCATGTATTAAAACAAAAATCCTATTTTCAATTCAAAATACTTCAGTGAGATGAAGGCTCGGAATTGTCACATGCAATAACTTATTGTCGTATTCGTTATTTTATCTTCTCGATAGTAGCATTTAGTCGCACATTTGATGCCAGGTCACCTTGTCGCGTACCTCTTGGGGAACCCCACATTTATGTGTGTACTCATGGAAGTAAATTCCCCGGTGTAGCCGAGAGCCACAAACTTTTCAACAGGTTCGAAATGACCAATTTCTCTCATATATACTCTAAATATTTTATTATTTAGCACCTACAAAGTATTGCTAATAACCATATGTAATTTCAATAAGGAAACTTATCTGGCTACATATAAATTCAATATCAACACTAGCTGTTCTCTCAACACGTCCTGGCTTACCTTGTGGTGACAAACCCTGGATTTTCGCTATTTATAGTTTATCAACACCTGGACGCATGCGCATTTTATAGTTTATCGGGCACTTTAAATTACGTCATAAAAACAATTTGCTATTATACAGTGCAATACATTTTCCTCTAAGCCTAGGACATCATTCTCTATGTGTTATAATATATCCTTCATACCATTGTTAAGCCCATCCCAAACCGGCCATAACTGATAGGTTTGAAATAAACATTAAGACATTGACAGAAAATTATGGAAGTGCCAAAAACCCGTGTGAAACATGATTTTTAGGCGGTTATACGCCTAGATAAATTTTTTAAATTTCATCACAAATTGTTATAATTAATCAGACTTTCATGCTATAATTGATATTTTATTTTATTGTTAACCTCATGTCTCAGAAGATTCCCTTCTTGAGCACATTATAGGATTTCTCATATTTATGACGTCAATTAAGGGTAAAAAGTCACATTCATGATTTTAGGAGCTGTTCTATTTATTCTTTCTTTCTCCGTTTGGTCAAACTATATACTACATTATACCTCTGAATGTTTGGTGTGATAATAACGAAAAATATTTTAAAGATATGATTGGTAAAGGACCATGCACATTTTTCCTTTATAGAGGGTACAAGTGAAGATGTAAGTTTGAAATACGAGGCAATGATTCAGCAGGTTATTCCAATTTTTTATTGAGCTTAATTTGCCATTTCCTTTTATATGAGATGAGTAATTGTCAAATTATCGAAACATGAAATGATTACTCGAGTCGATTTAAAAAAATTATAGTTCTCTGCATGATGTTTGGTCTGCGGTTTCACGTATTTATATTTGATGTAGAGAGCGAGAAACGTGACATGGCGATTTCTTTGTTTCACTCCTTGAACGTTTCACCTAGACTGTTCACCCGATTCATCCTCTGGATGTTTGACCCATTGGACGTTTCATACATTGACCCATTGGACGTTTCATACATCAGACGGTTCTCTTCTTGGACGCTCCATCTTGATTGTTCACCCGATTCATCCTCTGGATGTTTGACCCATTGGACGTTTCATAAATTGACCCATTGGACGTTTCATACATCAGACGGTTCTCCCCTTGAACGTTCCATCTTGATTGTTCATCCGATTCATCCTCTGGATATTTGACCCACTGGACGTTTCATACATTGACCCATTGGACGTTTCATACATCAGACGGTTCTCTTCTTGGACGCTCCATCTTGACTGTTAACCCGATTCATCCTCTGGATGTTTGACCCACTGGACGTTTCATACATTGACCCATTGGACGTTTCATACATCAGACGGTTCTCTTCTTGGACGCTCCATCTTGATTGTTCATCCGATTCATCCTCTGGATGTTTGACCCACTGGACGTTTCATACATTGACCCATTGGACGTTTCATACATCAGACGGTTCTCTTCTTGGACGCTCCATCTTGATTGTTCATCCGATTCATCCTCTGGATGTTTGACCCATTGGACGTTTCATACATTGACCCATTGGACGTTTCATACATCAGACGGTTCTCTTCTTGGACGCTCCATCTTGATTGTTCATCCGATTCATCCTCTGGATGTTTGACCCACTGGACGTTTCATACATTGACCCATTGGACGTTTCATACATCAGACGGTTCTCTTCTTGGACGCTCCATCTTGATTGTTCATCCGATTCATCCTCTGGATGTTTGACCCATTGGACGTTTCATACATTGACCCATTGGACGTTTCATACATCAGACGGTTCTCTTCTTGGACGCTCCATCTTGATTGTTCATCCGATTCATCCTCTGGATGTTTGACCCATTGGACGTTTCATACATTGACCCATTGGACGTTTCATACATCAGACGGTTCTCTTCTTGGACGCTCCATCTTGATTGTTCATCCGATTCATCCTCTGGATGTTTGACCCATTGGACGTTTCATACATTGACCCATTGGACGTTTCATACATCAGACGGTTCTCTTCTTGGACGCCCCATCTTGACTGTTAACCCGATTCATCCTCTGGATATTTGACCCACTGGACGTTTCATTCATTGACCCATTGGACGTTTCATACATCAGACGGTTCTCTTCTTGGACGCTCCATCTTGACTGTTAACCCGATTCATCCTCTGGATATTTGACCCACTGGACGTTTCATACATTGACCCATTGGACGTTTCATACATCAGACGGTTCTCTTCTTGGACGCTCCATCTTGACTGTTAACCCGATTCATCCTCTGGATATTTGACCCACTGGACGTTCACCCCTCGAAAGTTCCATCTAGACTGTTCACCCGTTTCACGTTTCATTCCCTGGACGTTTGACCCACTGGACGTTTCATCCCTTAGACATATCACCCCTTGGACAAGTCACCCTTTAGACGTTTGGCATTAGGAGAAATGTACATGGGTGAAATTTCGAAAGGGTGAAATATTCACGAATAAAACATCTAAAGGTGAATAGACAATCAAAAGTGCCTAAACGTACAAGTTGCGAATGACTTGATTCGAAACACAGCTATGATAACGTTATAGTGGTCAATGATGTCTATCATTGAAAAAAGAAAAAACACATTTTCCCAAATTAGCAGATGAAAAGTCAAAGAAGCCTTTACAGATCATTTTCGATATTATGTTTATTAATTCGTCATGTTGGATTAGAGTAAAGATCACAATGGGATTATATTAGTCTGTGGAATTACTGACACGATAATGTGAATTTCCAATAACATTCAATAAAGTTTCCAAAAGCGCAGTGTTATTTACATTTTTACATTTTGCCATTTGTCATTTACATGTATGTCATAGTGTTTTTCTGAAAATCTCCTAGCTTGTTGCGTACACTTACACATGACCTTACATATTTTTTTAATATTTCCGTTAGTTTTCTAATTAGCATGAACCAGGCTAACGAAAAACTGTATTTGAAAGATATACCCTCTGTGTATTGAAAAGGTACATGGTGCTGTATTGATCATATCTTTTTTTATTTTCTGTATCATCATACCAAACATTCAGAGGTTTAACGCATAGAGGGTATTTATTATCTTCTATATGGTACTTAGAAGGAAATTCTACTTGAAAGCACTGTATCCTCGTTTGCCCTAGCAGTAAGTTAATGTCACATAACGCAGAAAACGCAACAGTTACCAAATAATATATACAGGGTGTCCCGAAAGTATGGGAGCCCCTAGGCAGACATATACCAATGTCTCCATACATGGAGTATGTCATATATCATTTTACACCAAAGTTACATTGATTTACCAAGTATCATGGTTCGACTCACAAATGGGAAAGGTACAAGCATTTCAAAATTTAGTGTTTCAGTTTTACGCCAAATTAAGGGTCGATCCCTTTGCTATATGTAATAAACAGCAGCAATTCTTTTCAGATAAAACCTTAAATGCGCTTCAAAGTGACATTTTTTAATCATCATAAAACCTCGCTCCATAACATTCCCTGTCTCTCTATTCGAAGATCCTCCTTCGTAAATACAATTATATATTTTAATATGCAAACTTTTAACTTTAACATATTTAATTTGTTTAAAAAACATGCAATAATTATCCGTTAATTGCGAATATAAAAGTACCATCTGAAGTACATGTTCGAAATGCGTATTTGTACAACTTATTACTAAATACTTCTAATCAATTGAACATGAGCATCATGTGAAACAATCTGATTCTTATCATTAATAACAATTACCTAAATGTAAGCATGCACATTTTAACACAAATTGTACTGATATCCCTCCTTGAGAAGAGTGAACATTTTAATTGTTGGATTGTTGCAATGTTTTGTTTAAATTAATATAAATGATACTATGATTGTACAGTATCTTACATGTGGGAACGCACCATTTTTGTGCCGCTTTGGAATGACACCTGTTTTATTAACTAAGGAATCCTTTAATTTTAAAACATTTCTGAACAGATCTTTCATTTTCGTTTTCTTTATTATTTGAAAACTACATAGTTCTATGTAAGTTCATCTCTCTGGTTTATATATATTAAAAAAAACTTTATTCATTTCTTCTTTTGCATATAAAAAATCTCTGAAGAAATGAATAAAGTTGTTTTAATATACATTATATAGTCTATATTATATATTTAACTTTGTATCGTAGTGGACTTGTAATATGGACATGTAAAAGGGGTATTTGAAATTTTTAAAATAAATTTTGCATATTATACGTTAACGAAATTTTACTCAACAATTAGGAATTTAAATGTTTAACACGAACATACAGTTCCCTACAAAAGTTGGTGACCCCATCTCTTGTTGACCCACAACTAACCCAATGTACCATTTGTTTAATACATTTTATGTCGCTGAATTTTCATCAAAGTCGTATTTTCGATCCTTGGTCATTGGTAACAGATTTGTCTAATGGGGAGCCGAATTAATGTGTCAACTATTTGGAGTGGAGTGTAAATCACTTATTGTTGTAAAGTTGCCCACGAAAACACAATTGATCGAAACCAATGCAACGTATTAAATTGATTCAAATAATTAGAAATAAGTCAACATTTTTGTTCTTCCTTGTTTGGATGTTTCTTGTGATTTAAATTAGTATAAACAAAACCGATAGAGTTTCACTAAACTATGACGTGAATGATTGGATGAAATTTCATCAAGCAGGTATAGGCCTGGGCCATAAGGAACCACTCTTTGTATAATGTGTTATAATATATAATTATGTTCAATATTGTACGTGTATCAAATAGAATAGAGGAACTGAATTTGAAATATTTGATGACGCCACATAAGGAATAAACCATTTGTGTGAATCATTTTTTTACCAGAGCTAGTATAGGCGCGGTATATTTCAGCCAATCAGAACACAGTACACGAGTATACGAGTATTAAGCGAATAATATGCATTCTATATGTTTCACCCAAATATGATTATTTCAGAAATTATGATATAAAAGCATCTTAATGAACAGAAAGGAAGGAGGTCCAACTATGGGAAACCCTTGCAAAAATTTCCTGGTTGAACTGCATTGTTTTATTCATATTAAAAAAACCATTTTGCAATGCGTGAAACGAATTTAAGCACATGACTCAATGAATTGTGTGTGATGTAATGCACTCATGCCTTATTTTCTGCAATCCCTCAAAGTCTGGTACAAGACATTCGTGCTTAAATGCATGTAAATTCTTTTAGTACTGGGCTTAAATCTTTTAATATATTATCGATATCATCATTCTTTGTGCGCTACTTCCCATATGTGATATGTGCGTATGTAACACGAAGCAGTGGTATATCACACTCTTTACAAATACTCCACTCTACAATATTTTCAATTTAAGTATACAGTGTGTTGTTTGGGACAATACTGAGTTAACGTTACTTCTGACAATTATAGTCGTTCAAAAAGTTTAGTATTGAACAACACGAAGTTCTCAATGGCGACTGGAAGATTGAGGTTGTTGTATGCTTCGGCTAACTCTCTATGGTTGTTTCTCACCGACTGACGCACGGCCCATCGGCAGAGATTTTGCAAAGAGTTTGGGAAGGTTGACGCATCCACAAGTATTTCTTTCAGCTTCTTATTTACATCTAATGTCAACGGTCCTGGGATGTTACCATTGTGGTCAATAATGTTGACTTGTCTACTCTCGTTCAGTAGTTTCTCGATTGCATTGGAGCAGCTAGTGACATCTTTTAAAAGGCATAGAAATAAAGGTGTCTGTCCTTGGTTGTTGGTTGCCTCGATAGTAGCGCCTGCATTTATAAGCATGAATATGGCACTTTCCCTTCCGCTCATGCAGCTGAAATGGAGAGGTGTGTTTCCATCGACGTTTTGGACGTTCACTTTGCAATCTGGCTGGGCGAGCAAAAATTCTACCCATTCAGACTGCGACGAAGAATCAGCACTGGTCGTATAATGAACCAATGTGTTCCCACGAGAATCTTTTGCGTTTATATCAGCTCCGAGATGGACTAACGTTTCCATTGCTCGGAAACGTCCCAGTTTGGCAGCTGTCAGCACGGGAGTCATCCCGTTATCATCTGACGCCTCAAGATTCACACCATACTGAAGTAGTATTGGAATTGCTGGAAGAACGTTGTATTGAACGCTATGATGAAGGGCGGTGCTTCCACGATGATTAAACGCAGCATTTACATTAGCTCCAGACGTACAGAGTGCTTCCAGAATTGTCTTACTTTTCCCGTGTTGAACTTTCAAATATGTTTGGTACTCAATCTCCTCTTTAGTAAAACTACTTGGTATTGGGTCGAAATACATAAGACGAGGCCAATAGCTCAGTGTAAGTTGCAAAGGACATCTCCCTAGCTTGTCAACACCATTTGGGTCAGCACCATGTCGCAAAAGCAGTAAGACAATTTCTGGTCTCCGGTAAATGCAAGAAACGTGCAATGGTAGTGCTATTAATTCCCTTGAAACGAGTTCCCTGTTGATACAAGTCACTGATCTTGTCGTAAACCGCATAGGTTCGTCTGGCTTAAAACCATCACGCAATAGCAGTTCACAAGCTTCAAAGTCATTACGAACTATCTTGTCGTGAAATTCAAGTGCAACATCTTCTTGGACAAATTCCATGGTCTTCCCTTCGCCTCTTTTTCTTCTTGATATCTGTCAACTGTAACGTTCTCTGTGTTTTGAATGCTTAAAATGATTCTGGTATGGTATCATTGTGAGAACTGTCATAGTCAATGATTTTAGAAACGAATACACCTGGTAAATAATACAAATGACACGTCACAAATATCATACTCACAAAGTGTCTTGGTAACTATCTTTATTTTAAAAAGTCTATAAAACAATACTGAGATAAATACATCGGTATCAAACAGAACCAAAAGTGGTTTGAGAAGAGTCTCTGAACATGTGTCTAGTTTTGCTTTCGTGAATCTCTTGAAGTGTTTGCTTGACTGTTATTTCTTTGAAAACATCCCAATTTAATCTCGTGTCTAAGCAAAGTTTCAAGTCGTCTTCGCTCGGATAAGGTGGTAACTGGAAAGGAAAACAATGTAAAGTTATACCATATATAGTATTATTATATAGGTCAACATGATCTATTTCAGTATTCTGTGAGTGTTAATAGAGTAACGAACATAGAAAATCAAACTTTCGACCACATGAATATGTTCAATATTACTTGACTGTTTGACTCACATTCAGGCGAAGCCTCCTCCATAACTGCTGAGGACAATTGTCTTTGAAGAACTTTCTATTGAGCATGATACATTCGGCGCCGTTACTGACCAAACAGAAACTCGGCTGCTCCTCAAATATCACATGTCTCAAACCCTAAAAAGGCAATTCAACAAAAATACAGAAAATCTGATTTATATGTTCGACTGAATACTGGAGTAGCAGGTGTGAAAGAAATGATGGTCCCCCAGGGATTATGGTCCACTTTCTTTAATGGCCCTTACTGGCCCTGATTGCGTATAAGATAATGAGGGAAAGAGTTGTATTTAGGTCACCATATAAATCAATGGAGAGTAGGACCATAATTTGATAGGACCTCCTACCCTTTTACACCGGCGTGTATACCGTTTCGTGACATCACTGTCAAATAATAACACAAATGATAGGACAAACTGTACTTACGAATGCCGATCCCTTTGTAAGTGTTTGAACTTGAACAAACATCGGATGCTTTTCAGGTTCTGTATGCTCTTGATCCTGCAGATAAAAGTAAGAAAACGTTCCCATAAGCTTAATCGATAAAATTTGTCATTTTAATTGTTGTTTGTTTGTTTGTAACCCTCTTCTTTTCAAGACACCGAACGTAATTACGCGCCTTGTATTTTCTAAGTTGATTAACTTACATAGCTGGCATCTAGGTCATCGGCGAATGTCCTCCTTCCTTTTGTCTTCGCCTTATGGCTTATACCACTTTTCTCTGAAAGAAGCAAACATTCACATAACAAAACTTAATCCTTTAATTTTATTGATTATTTCCATCTTAATATAAAAGTGGGCCCAAATTTATAGATTTCGAGGCCCATTTTCTTCAAAATTTGGCCTGAAATTTTTGACTTTTTGAGGTCTTAAAGCCTTTTTTGGCCGAACATTTTTTCTGGGCCCATCCAAGGGGGGGGGGGGTATCCCCAGCCCCAACCCCCCCACCCCCCCCCCCCAGATCCGCCAGTGTAGACTATATGTACGATAGGCACATACCCTCTTTCTTTGCATTCATATGATCATTCCTTTCAAGCGTTGGCTTCTGCGTTAATTGTTCTGCGATTGATAATTCCTGAGCGGACTGTACAACTCTTGGATCGTCCACGTTCATCCAGCCTTGTACACGCGCACCATCCACACTGTCTAGTGCACCGGTGGTACTATGACGTCTGCTTAAATACACATCCATAGAACTTTCCGGTATGGCTGAGAGTCTAGTGTCTAAGTTACTTAACGACCGAGCTATTCCCTTTTCAGTGCTTGGTTTTTCAGCTTGATCATCGGCAGATGAGTCTCCCGGTGATTCTGTGAATGTTGGACTTAAAGGTGGACTAAGTTCGTTGTCCTCGATGATACGCTTGTATTCATTGTTTATAAAAGCACTATATAGTTGCATATTGGCTTTCCTTGGAATAAGTTTTCCGCTTTTCTTTGAGACTCTTGGAGATCGTTTATGTAGTTTCTTGAGCACCCTAACGCTTCCCTGGAGTAGATATATTATATAAACGAGTAATAGAGAGAGTTAAATGCTAACATGGACCTACAGAAACTTTTAGCACATTTTATTAACCCATGATGTAAATCAAGGAATGGGGAATATACTGCAGACAAAATAAAATACAGACACACATATTTACATAGGTGAGTAGTTACATGCAAAGTTAAGTCTTAAAAAGGCTCATACCTAATATCAATAGAACCCCCCTAAAAAGAAAATGCATCCCTACTGATTTAATGATGAAGATCCAATTATTGAAGTTGCTATCCTTCACCATTACCGCGCCGCGCCGATAATACATGAAGAGAAAGTGTTCAGGGTTCGAATCTAGCAACTCCATAGGCCATCCACGTAGGAAATCTATTTTTCTGGAAATGCAATGAATGAAAGGAAAGTCATTCAAGGAGAGGTGTCTATTGCAATGCATGGAATACGCGTGTTGTCACGTTCCCCTGATCTGGCCATCTCTTGAACTAAACATTCAAAACTAGCTATAATTAGATAGAGGGGGTTTCCAAGGTTCGAACGTGGAGCAATATACTGAATTATCATTTTTGACGCTGTTAAAGTCAAGCGTAAGTGCATTACAATAAGCAATTGGGTCAAGGTCACTTCTGGAAGTCAAAGGTCAATTGCAAAATGTGAAGCAATATTTTGCAATGATCAATGAACATGAACTCTAGACCGTACATTTTTTATTAGGAATAAGCATAATTGTACACAATTCTATCAAAGACATGTGTAAAACCCACCTCATGAAATCGTTATGGTCAGGGTCGTTGAGATTCCTGGCTCCACCTATCATGAAGATTTTCTCGTACGTTTGTACGGAAATACTGAGTAGCTCTACATATGTTTTAGAAAGTACGGTAGACTGTCTCTTTGATTGGTTCATGATGGCTAGCTCCTAAAATAAAGTGATGATATTATCGGGGAGGGTCAAACATACAATTAAACTTTACTAGATAAGATGTAGTAGAAGGTTTCTCTATTGCTAACTGTACACTTCCCACCCTTTCATTCGTTCCAAAACCTTGTTTCCATGGACACAGTACAATTGCTATTGCTATCGTATTGTCGTCTAACAGTAAATATAACACAAGTAGCTTAAACTTATACAACCGCGATAGTATTTCTGTATTTCAAAATTTATGAAGGGGGTGTACGTTTCTGAAATATTCATTATCAACATACAAAATTGTTACATTCTTCACAAAACAGGAAAGAATATGTTGATGCCATACCCCAAAGCTATCTCCCTTGCTGAGGTAGCATGCAGTCGTTGCCCGGACGGCGTCTTCCTCCAACAGCGCTACTACCACTGGAACAAAAACGGTTTACGTTTTAAGTAAAATGTGTGTACATGTAGTTATTAATAGAGGCAAATTTTCACGATTTTCAGGGAGTTCTAAGAAGAGTTTTCTTTTTCAGTGATTTTAATGTTGAGTGCTCCAAATATATTTTTATAGATATTATTCAAACAGAAATATTACATTGTTTTACAATTCAGTATTTTAGATTTTTCATTCTACATAGTGAAATGTATGCCATCTGTTCCAAAATGGAAATAAGTAATTATTAAGGTGATTAGAATAACTATTACTAACCTGTTCCGTCCAGCAAGAAGTAGAATGCATCGGCAGGATGTCCTGATCTCACAAGCACCCTCTTTGCTTCATAACTTTAATTAAAAACATATCAATATTCGGTCATAGTTTCTATATTGAATAAAGCTAACATAATATATGTCACCCCTATTATGCTTCGTTTTGGTTTGGCAACACTGCCATAGGCTTCCATGTTATTAACTTGCAATAATTATATAATCACATGATTTATGAAAAAAGGTTGAACCTGTCTGAAACTCAAATGGCATGCTATGGGATGGTCCTGCCAATGTAGTCGTATAATGTGATTGATTATGAATTTTTGGGTTGTCAAAAGAATAAGCCAAGGATTTAAAGAATTTAAGCATTGCATCAATGGATATTTGGCCCAAGTTTTTTTTTAAAGTCATGGGAAGTGTTTTAAATGGCATAACTTTGTAAATCAAAGTTATTATTGTAGAAAACTTTTCACTGAATATGCTATTAAAAAGAAAGAAAAGTAAGTCATAGGAGTTTGAAAGTGCCAATCTCTTAAAATCTCATGAAAAAATGAGAATCAAGAAGATTTCAAAGCAAGATAGAAATTCCTCTAAAACTCCTCAAATATAATGCCGTTTTACCCCAGCTTCCCCCATTACATTTGTTAGACGAGCTGTGCAGAGGTACCGGGATCGATACCCGGCAGCTCCAAAACTTTTGGCACTAAAATACGACCGGCAGCTCCAAAAAATGTGGTCTTGTTTTGTTTCAAAATTTTATGTATTTGTGGCTGTTGTTGATACTATGGAGGTTAGGTAATGCCTGGGTCACCTTTGCTCCCATCCATCGGCCGGCACCCGGCCGATTGAGTGTTTTTTCAATATTGTATCAATTTTGAACAAAAGACTCAATCGGCCAGGCGCCGTAGTGAAAATCGGAGCAAATGTGACCAAGGCATCAGCACTGTTTTGAAGTACGAAACGTGCATTGTGAATTACTTTCACCTCACTGATCTTTATTTGCCCCATTGAGCACGAACCGTGTGACTTATATTATCAACCTCATTGAACCGTATCCTACGAAACAAAGAAAGCTTTCTTACCACTCAAACTGTCCATATTGCGCCAATTTCTTTTGCATGCGGACAGGGTAGTCAGCAATTAGACTCACCCCTCTCAATGCAATAGTGGCCTATAAACAAAATAATGCAATCATTTTTTGGTCATTTACGCCTTCTTAATTCTGCCATCATAACCGACTCTACATAATAGATTTGACACCTTTATATGATTTCATGAATATGAGCAGTAGTGTCACACACTCACATAGTTTATTTCTTCAGGTGTTCTCTCCGCGGTAGGCTTTTGTAAAATTCTCTTCGCCTCCAAAGACATCCTCATCTGAAAAGTCAAATAAACATCTAAGTTCAGAAAATACCCTAGGTTTTAAAAAGATTGCACCAAAAAATTCAAAAGCTTGTGCACGGTGGAAGTCAAGTCAAACATATTTTCTAGGATCCCATTTAACCGTCCCTCCCTCGATAATTTGTTTATACGATTCTATGAAGATTGACGAATTTGATTTGACTTTTGCAAAACGTAACTAAACATTTACCTGTTTGTTTGCCTTGTATTCACTTGGATCAAAGTAAACAAAATGGCTGCTCTCTTGTTTACCGCTAATTCCCATGGTGGCATCTATAGCCTGAATCTGAGGTTGGTAGGGACTTCGGAAGTCACAACTGCAAGATAAATGTGAACATGGTACGTGTAACTCGTCGATGCTCATCGTATTTATTGAAATTGAAAAGAGATAATAAAACATGAGAATAACAGACAAAATGCTATCACCTAAAATGGTGAAAAATATTTTTCACTTCAATTAATTTTTGATTTCCATAAGTCTGTCAATCCAAACTCAAAGGAATTCTCATGCAACACATCGCAAGCACTTATTGTTGCAATAGAATAAAAAAAATAAAAAACAAAAAGTGTCCACTGTAGGTTGGTGTAATACTGGAGTCAATGTGAAATGTGTCTTGAAATGGTGTTCACTAAACACAGATGTTCACTAGAGAGAGGTGTTCACTAAGACAGGTTTTACTGTTTATTTCAATTATACTAATTATGTGCAAACAGATCTATGATGACATTACTCTGTCACCGCGATCTGTCAGTTTTGTTCAAGAAAGAACCCAAAAACCATAATAAATTCAGCTAAAATGAGATATAAGCGTCAAACTAATCTAAAGTCAAATAATTCTTACCAGGTACGTTCGTGGTAGGAATGCCAATTGTGAAGTAAAATGATAAGCTTAACTGCCCTCTTGAACGTCTTCTGCAGTCTATCCTGAAATGGAACACACATTTTTTGTACGACACCGGTGTTCTTAACCGGCGTTTGCCAGGGGCACGTTTATCTGTAACTAACTCTTACACTTTTGTAACCATTTACATTAAGTTACCAGGTAGTGACATTTTGTCATGTTATATGTGGCCATGTTGCCATAACTACCTTGCCCGTTGCCAGGATTTACCAAGGGGGGGGGGGGGGCTTTTCCTCCCCCTGGTAAGTAAGTCACTAGTACATATTTATGACAAATTAAATACCAATTTCTGACTCATCATCGATGCACAAAAATCAGTATATACTTTCTTAACTATAACTAATACAAAATAACGTAAGCCAATATATTAACATATATCAGAATATTCTGATAAAAGAGCGTCGTTCGACACTAACTAATTGGTATTTAAGGAATAACTACATTGTATATGACTATATTTTCGACATTACCTTTTCTTGTTGAGTGAAGGGACGATCAACCCCAGCTCGAAATTTCAATTTAGACCCTGTTCTTCGAAGATTTCTTGCAATCATCGTGATGTCTCCTACGTCCAAACTCATACTTCTTTTACCGTCTGTCGAAGGGATAGCAGAGCCCCTTCTACTGACATTTCCACCAATATTAGACCCTGTGGTTGCTCTTCTTGTGATTGAATTTGAAGAGGGCAGTCGAGTAGACCGTGTTTGCCCATTTCGGCTGCTGTAATTCAAAGTGGTTATGAACTCCGGGTATAAACTATTTATTTACAGTGTTGCTTGTATGCCATGATGTGAGACTAGCTAGGTTGGTAGGTATGATAAGACATTTGATTTGCGTTATTTAGTACCTCAAATTTTGAATGTACTGTTCCAACAGTTATAATTCATACAAAAAGAAAAAACATAGCAAAATAAAAGTGATGTGTTACAATTTGAAAACAATCAATCATTCGCTGTCAAAATGAAAAAGAAACTAAATGTTTGGTCACCAGGTTAGGTAAATCAATCTACCTGTTTAAATCCGATCGAGAAGCAGTTCTTCCCTCTCCGTCCATCTTCATTTCTCCATCTTCCAGCACGCCACCGAGTATCGGATTGAACGACGCCTTTTGTGAGGTTCTCTTCTGCACTATCTTCCGCAGTAACTTCTCGGCCACCGGAGTTGTAACGTAACTCACAGCACCTGACATATTGAGTTGAGAAAAGGGTGAATCTCTTATGATATATCTCAAACAATTTGTAAAATTCCAGGGTATATATTTAGTATTTTATGTATCCATCCTGCTGAAATTCCAAAACCCCTCAGATACGACTGCTTCCATGATTTGAGAGACGTTCAGTAACCATAGCATTGATATCACGTGCTGGTGATTTTATTTCATAAAATGTGTCCCTTATTTATACCATTTTAGAGATGTTATGTGTGTCAATTGAATTTGCCCTTAACTTGTGCCATGGTTTGTTTCTATGCGCTAGTATCATTTCTTTTGCTTCTTTATTGAAGTGAACGAGCATAACCAGCTTGGTCATAATAATAGCTTACATCCCTTACTTCCCTTACTTGATTTTAAAGATCATTGGGTTGTTATTTCTGAACATATTTCAATGAGATGGACATTAAGACACTGTTCTATGGTGATTTTTTCATACTCTAAATGCAGTGTCCGTGGTTTATGAATTATCCCTTTGTATTTAGCGATTTTTTGTTTTAGAATATCATTATTTCGATATTTTAAAGACGGACTATAACATTCGAACTGATCCGTTCTCTAAACGTCCCGAAGGCCTTATGAAAGAACTATTCTACTTGCATTTAGTAGAAGTGTGTTCTATTCAATGAAATATTGTTTCTATGGATTACCGATTATGGTAAAAATTCTTGTGCCGCAAGGTGAATTTATAGTACAATTAATCCCAAAATCTTTCATTAAAATATTATTTTGATCTTGGAATAACATTAAAATGAAATATATGATAACTGGTTATGACTTTAGCTTATGTGTAAATAGTCTTATGGGTTCACTTACCATAAGGATTCCAATCAGTTCTAAAGATTCTTCATGAACTCACGGCCATTTTTGAGGTAACTACCCAACATCCGATTGTTTTGAGATTCAGTCATCAATTTGTGTACAGTAATTTGACTTTGAACGGTAGCGCAAATATGTTCGGCAAGCTTAAGTAAAAACCTATTATTGACTTGTGATCATTTCTAAATGTTTAAACTTCATTATAAATTCTAAAATTATTTCACTCTCCAAGAACGCGAAATAGTGTTTTCTGCCACGTTAAGATTTTAAGTGAACGAGAATAAACATTGGAAACTTTCTGATTGGAGTTTATGCACTCTTTCTTGTCTGGTTTTATTCGCCTCGTACTTGATCATTCGTCTATTAGCAGTGCGAGCTTTGAACAATAGAATAATATTGACAAAAATAAATTTCGTAAAGTTCTTCTGCCATATTGCACGTTCTTCGCTTTGACAAATCAGCTTGACATTATGACACAAGGGCAAAAATGTAAATATGAAAGAGCGAAAAACAATTTTTTATTGTTGGAAGCAAACTTTTCAAAAAGCATGCAAATGTATTTCTGTGGCTTCGGCTAAAATTATTTTGTCCCTTGTTAGATATTGCTCAATTGTGTATGAAATTAAACAATCACAACACAGCGTAAATCACAACGAATGAAAATGTTTACGTTTTTGCCACATTGTGATGAGAGACATATTTCGACCCAATTGCCTGAAGTTTTACAGCAAACTGTATTTTGAAAAAGTCAAGACATGTGGACCTCCTTAGGTATTGGTTCAAGTTTTGATGCCCTTTATTGTGCTACGGATTCTTCATATTACAGATTCAAACCATGGACTATTACTTTCAACTCGTCACTGGTCTTTGTCGCCTCTTTAATGAATAAAAGTCTCATACTCGATACAATAAAATAAATAAGGCAAAATTCCTTTGATTGTGATGTGGTAATGCCGTTCAATGCTAGCACACAAGACCTTATTTCGAATAAAATCAATTTCTAACTTTATTCATACAATTACTATTAATAGCAAATCAAATGTTTAAATTGGAACTCGTGCATGATTCTCTACCTATTTGCGATACATCGATGTCTATTATTAATTCGAATTAAGTTTCTAGAATTTGCATCCTTAGTTCCATAAGCAGACTGAGATAACCAGGCATGATATTATTTTGATATTGATTTGTAACGTTATCCCCGGGAAATATGCATTTGGAATGGGAAAAGATTCTCCAAGTTATAATATATTTTGAAACACTCACTTCGTCTCGTTCCAATACGGAATTTATCGAGCAAAATATATCCTGTATTGGATTTCATGATCAAATCATATGTACTTATAATATTGTGCAAGATTTTACACTTTTAAGTTACAAAAAGTCAACGTAAATATAATGCGAAGTTCTACTGCTTTCTTCAAATCAGTTGCAAATATTTTGTTGCCCTTTAAGTCAGAGGAAGAATAAAAAAAAATACACCGAACAATACAGAACAAAGTTCAAATTTTCATAATTTGTAGAGCCTTTATTATCTTTCGAAGAAAGAAGTAATTGAGTATTACTACTCTCGCAAGCATCAGATAAAAAATGACTTGAAAAATCATAATAACTTTTGTAGCATCGGGCCACAATTGAATTTAAAAAATCGTTTGGACAACAACGTAAAGATATGACTGTCAAATATGATTGAAAGGCTTTAACTAAACTAACAAATAAATATTTATTGAGATTAAGCATATATAGATATGTACTTTAGTGAAATCGTCAGCGTCAAATGATATTGACGAATGTTTATCGTTTCACAGAATAAACACTTGTTGAATTACTTCAAACATATCCATTTAATATGTCGAGATGTTTTTTTTAAGTTCTTTGTAGTTTTTTCATTGTGATTAAATAGTCAAATACCAATTGAATTATGTCTTGGGAGCAGTTTATTAAACACTAAAGAATCTGTACGAAAGTAAAAATGGATAAATATTAATTCATTTAAAATCGAATAAATAGCAATATATCCATGGAATTAAGTTTGGGAATCATTGACAATAAGCTTGATAAGTTCGGAATACGTTGACAAAACCGAAATAGAAACAATTTTGAAAAATATATCCACCTCTGAAAATTATACATTACTGTCACGTGTGTACTTACCTTCATGTTGTGATATCATTAATGTAACAATCATCTCTAATTAAACGCTAGTATCATCACTGATAAGAATTATCATACAGAGCATGACTACGGAGAATTGTCAAATATTAATCGATTACCTGTTTCGAGTCTCCAGGCCCCTTGTTACCAGCAACAGCGGAGCAGACAACTTTCCATCATATGAGATACAACTCCAAACACCTAAAACAAACCTTTAGCAAATTGTACCAAGATACATCAATCTACAATCGTTGTGTCTTTCTTAATAAGGCCCTAATGAAGCATGTATACATTTTTGTTTCTCCACTCTCGGTGATCTTGTGCAATGAAAGTACATAATTATTGTATTTATGTTAATTTTACACAAGCTAAACTGACAATATCCGAAAAGAGAAACATAAGTTATTAGAATTTGTGTAGGATCTGTAACTTACTTACCCTTTTTACAATGCACGAACCACATGGAAGTAAATTATATCCAATAAATAAACTGCACAAGTCTAACCATTTAATTTCTAAGAATAATTTGATATTCTTACGATATAGATATATAACATGTTATCATAAAGTAGTCAAATATATTTATAGTGACTCTCCAATTTTGATGAGATCTATCTCTATTGATTGGAGTATACTAGGCATGCAATTGGAGAATGCATGATGACCCAAGGAATTGTAACGACTGACATTTGTGAATACGAATATAAAAAAGAACAAGCAAGGGGTGAATCTGAAAGTCAATAGGGAGGGTGGTCCAAATCCCGGTGTGAAAGAAATTATGGTCCCCCCTTTTTAAAGGCCCTTGCTGGCCCTGATTGTGTATAAGATAATAAAAGAAAGAGGTCACCATATAAATCGATGGAGAATAGGACCATAAACTAATAGGACCTCCTACCCTTTTACACCGGCCTCAATTTTGAAATTTTGGGCCCAACATCTGAAAATCCCCCATCGCATATCCGCCACTGCCAAGTATACCTGATGGGATATGACAACGTGTCTCTTCTTAGTATCATCTTCACAAGGTCAAAACTAAGCATGTATCAGTTATACCATGGGCTTTCAAGAGACAAATGACCACTACTGAATAGTACAAATGGCTTATCAGTCAAGTTTAATAAATAATCATATTATATCATGTACACAAACAAATGATAGTGTATCGTATCAGTCTTGTGAGGCTTTTCCAAGGCTTTGAATTTTTTTGTTCTTGAGTTTGTAATTCTTGTGTGATGAAGTATTGAAGTGAAGGATCATCTTTCAAGTAGCACTCTGGTGATATCTTGAGTCACAGTGACATCTATTTATCTAATAAAAAGTTTAAATCACATGTTCAAATAGTTTAGGGACATCTATTAAATGAATGATTCGCCATGACTGTAGGAGTCCATTCTGATACTCATCACATCTATTTCCCTTCAACTAGAAATATGCAAATAGAATGGCTATGATTTCTCATGATGACAGGAGTCAGTCTAGCACCAAGCACATTTCTAGATGCATCAGAAACAAAACATATTTTAGCCATCCATTTTTAAAATTAATTTAAATTAACTAAAGACATGATTGAGAGAAATGTAAAATTGTCAATTAAACTCCATACTGGGAAACTTAAACTTCATCCTGCTGAAAAAATCATACCATCACCATTTTGAAAAAAATGTTTTTGTATTCAAGGTACCACAAAATATATAAATGAATACAGCTGACTTGTATTTGAGTAGTTGTTGAGTGGATGGATGAACTGAATGACTATTATAGGGCTCCACTATACACCCCAAATCCACACTCTAAAGGCTCTAAAATCACAGTACCGTAAGGTATATTAAGAGAATGGTATCACATGGAACCGTTTGAGTATGATTCTGTACACTGTTCATGATAAAGTACGGTACTGTTTTAGTCTACGATACTATATTCTATGGTACAAGGTGACACAAAAAAGTGCCACCCACATAATGTTAAATAACTTTTTTGTCCGTGTGATTCCGGACTTCTTCTTTTCCACATTAAAACTAGACTTCCACAAGAAGTTTCAGATGATTATCTTAACTGGGCCCACTTTTATAAGTGTTATAAGATGTTCTCTAAATGTCAGAAACAACTGGATTCTATGGGTAAAGTAATTGTCGAATCGAGCACATTCCCAAACATAAATGGCCCTGATCTCTCTGGTGATCTCTATCTTCAGGTGTTCTATGGTTTGGTTGTCAGAGATAAAAGAAATTAAGGGATTATGTCAGGTGAATGTGGTCAATAACTTTGCCAGTATAGTTTTCATGTGCAAAAGAAGAAGTCAGGAATTATACGGACGAAAAGGTTATTTAACATTATGTGGGTGGAACTTTTTTGTGTCACCCTGTACCATACAGTACTGTTGGAGATTGGAGAACTTTCTTTAATTTTGGATAAGAATTGTAGATCACTCCATACATAAATTGTATCCTTTCACTTCTATGAACATGCTTTAATTGTAAAACTAGATCACTAACAAAATATTTCAATCTTCCAATGGAGGCATATAATTTAGTATCCTATTAAGTTCTGGATAGATACACTTGTAAACCATATAAAATAGAAAATAATTTGTTTTAGTTTTCATATACATGTATTCTAAATGTGATTATTTATACCATATATTACATGTTCACAATCATGAGTGCACCATACCTTAGACAGTGTAAATAAATTGTTATTATATACATATTATTTTATACATGGAATTACACTTGGTTTATACAAACATGGTCTAATCATATAAAGAAAAATTGGAATTAGAAAAGTTACAAATATTCTGTAACCAAAAAGTCAAGGCCATTTTGAAGCAGACCTTCACGATCATGTTGTACATGTACAATGAAAATAACAAAAGCTGCAAAATATGCTTGTTATGCTTAATTTTTTAGACATCTTAAAAACTTGCCATTATCATATTATTGGCTGGAGAAAAGCCAATATGTTCACAAGTAATATATGTTAGCAATCACTCCAGCTAATTTGAGACAATAAGAGATTTTGGTAGATTTTACTACCGGTATGAGTCTTGTTGAGTTTACAAGAAAATATATCATTTTGTAGCTCAATAAAACTTTATACAAAGTGGTTCATGAATTAATAACTCCAGGTGCCTATGATCCGCCAAATCATGACTCCAAATGTCAGTGATTCTGAATTATGACTTCATGGATTCATGACTTCACGAAATCTTGATTCTCAGTGTCTTTAAAAATACGATTACCTGTTCAGGAATATAGGTCATCATGATTCTAAATCAAATCGTCATGTCCATGAGATTTTAAATCATGTATCCAGGTGCCCATGATACTATGAAATCATGACTCCAAGTGCCCATGATTCTAAACATAAAATGCCTTGACTGTTCGGTTTTTTATACATATACAATTATCCATGTTATGTGAGTCAGGGGGCACCTTGCGTTACGCATTCTTTAATTCACTTCCAATTTTATAGCTCAAGATTTTGTTCCAGTCGATCTTAGTACGTGTAACAGGCAGTTGACGACGTAATGCTTTGAACGTTGTTTCTGACATAGTTACATAGTTCTCTGATATTGCCCTCTGAAATCATATAATGTAGAAACTGAAATGTTGCCCTGTATAGTGCTAAATGTGAGGACTGAATTCAATTCAGAGCTCTTTACATTGAAATAATGTTGGAAAAGATCTCAAATGTGTAGTTTCCCAAAGAGATTAAAAAGCAAAATATTTTGTATGATGATCATGTTTTGCATATAAATAACCTCAGACACACAAACCTCAAGTTCTATACTTAACTTTCATCATCTATGCAAATCCCTCTCAGAAGTCTATATAGCTTTATGTGACAAGATTCTTAACTAATAAACCAATCTAGTAAATAATTCCACTGAATGATTACGATATTTCTTACATTTCGAGACAGAAACAGGATAATCGTATTGATTATTTTCAAAAACCTCTATCAATTTTGTTTGAAAACATTGCCACTGCAAAGTGTGAAATCACGAAACAAGACAATAACCCTCGGTTTTCCTGTTTCACTAAAATAATTTATCGACTCGTTCATTTTTCAGCAGATAGGTGTCTCTCACATACCTGGTATTCATACTCTGCATCTGCCACAAGTTTACAAAACTCCTTTGCAGTTTGGGCCTCATCCTACAACAAAATCTTTTTAAATGAACTTTTCACAATAAGGAAATATTGCCCTCAATATTTTGCACCGCATATTCACTATCAGTTGTTTTTAAATTGACAATTTTAGATATGGCACACATTTTGACTTCACTCTAGATTATGATTTGCTAAAATTCATTATGGGCAGGAAATAACCAAAATTGATGACCCCAATCATTTACCATATGGCTATTATGGGGCCACGTGGAGTATCTAATGCTTCTAAATGTGATAAGGTCTGGTGAGTATCATTACAAAGTATGCAAGCTTTGATCATGTGATATAACATATTTCATCATGTGAAATAACATCAACCTTTAACATTGAGTGAATTCTGACAATTTGATTCAACATGGGGTGCAAGGTCAATTAACAGTACCATGATCAACCAATACCAAACTTAAAAACAGTTGTATTTGGGTATAGGGACCATAATTTGATGAAAAGTAAATGATAAATTGTAGCTAAGTACAGTTAAATCTGTCTTAAGTGGAACACCATTGGTATCTCTAAAAAGTGTCCCACTTGGGAAGTGTTCCACTTATAGAGGTTCATTTAACATTAAGTCAGTTGATCTTGGGACTCTAAAAAGTGCTCCATTAAAATAGGTGTTCCAATTCTAGAGGTGTTCCATAGAATTACTTACAGAAATTTGTAATGATTCCTTCACTTCTTTTGAACTAACTAGCTGAACATTTCCATCTTCGTAATAGTGGACCTAAAATAGCAGAAAGATTTTTTAAACATTTCTACATGCTCTTATCCTAATTTTGATAAGAAATGTAAATGGTTTTGGGCTGGCTATGCATGCTTATATCTTCTGAATATGTACATGTATATGTGATTGAAAATAATGTGCAGTATTTACACTTAAATTCTAACATGGTCATTGCAATACTTAATGACTTTTGCATATTTTTCATATAAGAAGATAAAACATAAATACAACAACAAAACAAGGTTATTCCAAGTATCCTTAATCCCTTTACTTTATTCAGCAGTTCATTTTCACCGTTCAATTTTACATCAACAATAACAATATTATTCATGTTCTCTATACCTGTACTTTGAGAATACCCTGCAGTTCAGCAGTACCCCCAGACTCTGAGAATGTTACAGTGAATTTGGAGCGCCAGCGCCCATTCCTGAAAACACAAAATTATAGTACATGAATCTGTCAAAAACAAGTTTGAAAGCCATTCAAAGCATTTAAAATGTATTTATTATATTGGCAGGTTTGGCCAAAATACAAGCAAAAATTTTACTTGTTAATATACAGTGATGAATATAATTGCAAAATGTTAAAGAACGCAATTATTTTTTATTAAACACTTAAAAATATATTCTCTGGATTTATTTTAAATTGGGCAGTAGATTTTTGATACGTATATGTACCCTCATATTAATCTGTATTAAATGCCAGAAAAACAATAATTTTTTTTAATATTATGATGGTACAGAATCAGAACTATAACGTCACTGGATTACAAATGTACTGTATTTACTTTATTGCTTTTACTTTCTATTTTCCTTGGTTTTTTAATAAACAAAACGGAAAAAGTATGTACAAACCAGAAGTTTTTAGGTTGGAATTGATGACTCTCAATACAAGCAGTAAGGGTTATGTTTCCGTTAGCGCTAGTGCCATACACTGAAGTGACACCATATTTATAGTGCATGTGGCAATACTCTGTGAAGGAACTTTCTAACGCAGAACGCCATGATTCTGCTGCATTATCTACGTTGGCAGGTTGGACATCGCTGGCTTCTTTTCGTAAATGGTCATATCTTTAAATGCAAGCCATAATAATTAATTACCAGAAATCATAGAGAAAAACATATCTAAAACAAACAAGCAGTTTATGAAACAATATTACTAGTTCACATAAAATGTGTTAAAAATATTTGTTGAAAAAATTACACGGTTAAAGTAATCACTGACTTGATAACTTGAGAAAAATTGACTTATATAATAGTACTATATATATAATATAATGACTTCTAACTATCCTGATTATAGAATATTTAAATCATCTCTATTATTGATAAATATAGACCCCCAAGGACAAACATCATGGGTATAGGCAGGTGAACCAGTTATTTTACAGAAATAGTTTTCGTTCCAACATTCAATTAAACAATCAGAAGCAAAGTCCAATTATATTTGCCTATATTAGCCTCATATATTTCAATTTGCCTCACATTCTTTAAGATTCTGACCACACAGTTGTACATTCAACTTTTTAGAGACTTACTTGAATGATTGTTTTGTTCTAGGGTCTAAAAATCGGCCACCTCCTAAATCTCCATGCTCAGTTACTAGCACCTGTCGACACAAAAATATGACATGTAATACAGGGAAATCTATGTATGTGAACATTTTTCGAAAAAGAACATGTGCACACTTTCAGTTTATTAATAAAACATTAATCTACTGATTGGTTAAAATTCACAGACCAAAGCAAATGTAAAGCACAAGGCAAGGCCACATAATATTTCTTTAAAAGGAAGCAAAATGAACTAGTTGATTTGGTTCATATATATGCACATTGCAAAAATACATGTATTTAGTCTTGAAACAATTTACTCTTAAATTAATGAAATATTGAGGGATTAAGTAGAACTGTTACCCACCTGTTCATCAGAGCCATCTATCCTGCAAGGTGTGAACTGATCTTTGTTGTACTGGGAGAAAGCCCTAAAATATAAGACCCAAATAACATCACAACAGCAACGATACAATTAAACATAAATTTAAAAATAACAATTTACAATATAGATATACAATTCGTTATGGCCATTTGACTAACTATTTTAAAACATTTCAACTGTACACCAATATCTTTTCTATATTCATGTATATTTCTCTTCAAAAATCAACAGTTAAGATCAGCCCAACTACTGCTCTTGATGCTATTATATTCAGCAACCTTCATTTAAACATATGTATTGTCAATTATTTGGACAAATCATACATAAGGGACACAATTAAACTCTCCCCCACGTGACCTTTTTAGACAGGTAGAATATTACAAGTATAATCCAAAAAGATACTCACCCTGAAGCCTCTCCTTTGAGCAGGTTATCATTGTTTAAAAGTAATCTCACATCTGTAATAAAATGTGGTGCACCGTCATTTTGATGTTTTATTGTCTTTATAATATATAAGGAATACACTATAATACTGGCCACAATGTTCCTTGTAGACAGGTGTTCCTGTATAGAGGTTAATTAAAATGAAACATGGGACTCGGTTACATGGGTGTTTCTCCCATAGGGTGTTCCATCTGATGGGTTTTACTGTACTGTTTTACATACAATACTGGCCATACAAATCCAAATTGTGAAAATGTTTTATCATACTACAGCATATGGTAGCAAATAGTTTATTGTACAGGGGTTTAATTAGAAAAGCCACTTTTCTCTGGTTGTTTTGACCAAAATTTGCTGTTTTGAGAATCTTAGCAACAGTAGCCCAATTTACACTACGCGCAGCATTCCAAGAGTTTTGGCTAAAACGTTTTAGAAAAATTAAGTTGAGTTTACATTAACATTTTCAAGACGTCTTAGGAAATAGGATGGAGTTAACACCCGTTTTCCTAAAATGTCTTAGAGATATGTAGGTATACATGTAAAATGAAAAAATGTAAAATGAACAAATTAAGCAGAACTAGATTATTACTCTCCCTGTTGTGAAAAAATATTGGAAGAACACTGAATCACCTTGGCTCCACCTTGTAATGTCACATAAACATGGTTGAAGAAAAATTGTTGAATAGCAGTATCAGGGGTTTCAATAGAATTTCTCACAACAGGCTAAATAAATGAAAAAACAACAGTCAAAATTAATGGAAATCATAAATTTAACATGGAAAAGTTGAAACATCCCTAAAAACAACAGGCGATTTTGTGAAAACAACCGGTAAAAATTGTCCGTTGCCTTCTGCTAATGAAACCCCTGAGTATAGTCTTCAATCGAAGCGGAGAGTTCATACAGATCTGTATGTGTATATAAGGCAGTTCAGGTACAAGCTTGACAAAATCTGACTTTTATAAGAGGCTGAGCAGTATATCTAATGTAATGTGATGGGTACTTACCATTAAAAACCTCATTGAATTCACCAGGTGGAGCGTGCTTGATGAAGTCTGATGCTATTCTCACCTGCAACAGAAAGAAAATTATAACTCTAGACATATTAGAGGTATATACTATATATATATCTATATAAATTTACCATCCCCTTTAGTGATGTCGCAAGGTGAATAGAAATAACATTTTTTTAAATACCCTGTGTGAGCATTCACCAATAATGGCATCATTTTTTGTTAGTCTTAGCAGCTCAATTACATGGATTCTATGCTAGATTTATTCATCTTCAACACCCAAGGATTTTTCGATTGTATGTTCCGACTTCCCACTACAGACTTTGTGGAGGGAGGTGAAGTGATAAATATCAGGTATAACAGACATAAGATTTTGATCAATGTGTGGATATGGTGGATTGTCACATCCTTTTCATTTCTATTCGTGCAATATTACATAGACTGGTATGGCAAACAAAAATCTGTATATCACTGGAGGATTCTTTTCTCTTTATAGCGGTTATTCTGGGCAATTTCACACTATAAATTGTACCATCCATGTGGACAAGTGTATTTTCATCTGTTCTTGACATATGAGATCTGTAGATAATTTGCGTGAGTTTCCCAAAGGTCTAGTGCCTTCTTTCTTGTGTACACAAGATGAAACAGTCAAAATTCCGGGTAGTGGTCAGGGCTTGCATTAACGGCGTCCCGTACATGTTAAGGACTCAAAAATAATTTGGAGGATGCAAAAATTGAAAATATTTCCGTGTTTTGGACGCAAATTTTTTTTAGGTTAAAACTACAATGTGTTTACAACGATACCTTCACCTTTATTTGAATCGTAAATAAGGCTCAACATGTTGAATATTTACAAATAATCATGATTCTCTCGAATTTTTTCGACTTTTGTTTATTTTTAGATTTTTAAACCATGACACGCCACAGTTTTTCCTATTCAGAAACAAATATTAGGTTATTCATGAAATAAAATGTATTCATTGTCGAATGAACGAACATGCATTTATTCAGTCTGTACTTAAAACGTTTACTTCCATTTTAAATTCGCAGCAAGAAATCAAAAACTGAAAGGTGTTTTGGTACAAAATGCTTTTAAAATTAAGTTATACCTCAAAACAGGCTAGAAATAGGGGACACACTTTTTTTCAAAGGACATACTTTTTTTTAAAAATTGTGTCCTTGGGACATCAACTTGTATTTCCCCGAAATTCAACTTCAAAATTGAAAGTTGAATTCCAAGGGGAAAAAATTTTAAAAAATATAGGAAACAAAATTCAAACGTACAGTTTCATAAATTCTCATGATTTGTTTTTCAATTTCTTGATTTAATTAGCTGAAATATATATGTGACATGTGTATCGTAAAGGGCTATTTTGAGGAAAAAGAATGATATATTAAATATGGCAGTATCCAAACCCGCTACAGCATAAGGCTGTTAAGAACGACTATGAACAACAATAGAATTTTGTTGGGAAACAATAATGTCATAAAACAGGTAAAAGTAATAACAAAACACTCAAAATCCTTCTATATATTTGCTAAATTCAACATTAATCTACTAAATAATGTTATAAAATGATTATGACTATGACATTGACTGTCGAATCAAACACCATGTTCTATTTAAAAAAGTGAGAGAAGTCGACTTCAACTCAACTTTTGTGCCTCAACAAGACGACTTTGATTTCAAGAGTTGGTTCTACCACTATTTCTGGGCATATGCATTTCAAAATCAGAAATCCCACACCCAGGACAAAGTTCTCGATTCCTAGCCCCCAGGAGAATATTGCATGTCAAATTCTTGCTCCTCCCCACATGGGGGATGGGGTCTCATACAAATCGTTGAATGGTACATAGGGGAAATGGTCCTATCACTGCACAGGTACTCTGGAAAACTACTGACCGTTTCAAATATGATAACTTCAACTTACTTTGAGAATATGAGATGAAAGATCAACCTTTTTTTCTAAAATTTAAGTAGTGTTTGACATTTTTCAATCTCCGAACGCTAACACTTTAAGACCCATTAGACTCGCATGTGGGGTGGTCCTAATCATCGCACAGTCGTCCTAATTATTGCACAGTTGTGATTCAGATGTCATATCACGATACTGTATACATTTCTCTGTTTATACAGGGTTCGTACACCTTTTTCAAAATGAATTTCCCTGACATTTCCCTGACATTTCCAGGCATAAAATAAAATTTCCAGATCCAGTTTTCCTTGCAGGGCCTCTAAAAAGTCTCTAACAACTGTATTATTTAAAAGACTTATTGTGAAACATTTTGGGTTTATCCTTTAGTACCATTTCTCATGACTCAACTTTACTTCTACAGGCCGTTATTCACCAATTTATTCCTGATACATTATGTTCTTAATTTTACATATTTACGAAGGTAAACATATATGTACAGGGACATAGTCAGCAAGTGTCAAGGGGGTGCATTTTTAGGGGTTTGCATCACTGCGAGTGAAGGAAACACAAAGGGGGGGGTACGGGGGTTCACCCCCGGAAATTTTTCAAAATTGACAATTGTATATGGTGCATTCTAAGCATTTCAAACTATAATTTGTTGATGTTTTGTAATGAATCCAAATAAAAACTGAAACTTAAAAATGTTGATCTAAAGAAAAATAGCAACTCCCTTGAATGCCAATTCCTACCTAATGAAACATATATATCGAATACTATCATTGTGAACATGATATGAAAAATGGCAACTATCTTCTTGAGCAGAGACAGCAACAAAAGCATTGGTATATAAAACTTTAACCAAATCTGTCAACTGATATTTGAGTTAGATAAATAGACTGAATACTACCGGACTGTCGAACAGACAGACAGACAGAATGACAGAAGATTAATATGATACAATTTTAAACTGAAAAGAGTTTTTCACCTCCCGCCCTCCTCAGATTAACCCCTCAACAAACCACGAAACATATACCAGTAATTAACTTTGAATGGCCTTAGACTAACTTACAGTATATGGAAAAGCATAATTGTATTGAACCATCTATACATATTCTTTATTGTTCAGTTTCAGTATAATGTTCACACTGTTCTAAATCAGATTTAATGTCATTCAATCAACCCTAATGACAGATAAGCAATTTGTGGAAACAACTAAATGTTCGATTTTGGATTTCATTGATATCCTATCATAGCCTTAAATGTATTTTGCTGGAACATTATTTTTTCAACAATGATACAAAATTCCCTGACATTTCCGTGACACATCTACTGTTTCAAAATTCCCTGACATTTTTGGCCCTTTTTAACCCAATTTTGAAATTCCCTGACATTTCCAGCACCTGGAAAAATAAATCAATTTCCCTGACATTTCCAGGTGTGTACAAACCCTGTTATAACAGATACATACCACGGATAGTGGGAAGTCCTCCATCTAGGAGGTATATATACACCAGGTAATGTTAGTAAAAATTAAAAAAATATGAAAAAAATATGGTCACCTGTACTCTAGATTCAATTTTTGAATGAATCGTAGCATAATGTACAGATTATTTGATATCATGCTATTCTTGAATCATTTATTCGCAAAAATAACTGGGTCGCGGAACCTCTTATGCCTATATGTGTTCAGTAATCATCAATTATCGTGAGTAGAATTTCTCCAGGCCATTAAAGGGTCCGCTCAGTAAATTGACAATTTCTACTGCGCATGTGTGAAACACTGGACGAAATGGTTTGGTAAATTTCAAGCTATTTGATTGGTCGAAAAACTCACGCGCCTTTGCGTGATTTGCTTTATTCTCGCGAGATGGTGCGTGATTTGCTTTATTCTCGCGAGATAAGGCGGAGCGTCCCCTTAAATTTTTATTTTGAACAACCATTATGATTTGGTGCATTATCTGACCAATAAAGCAGATTTGGAGGTATGAATATTTTTTTTATTTTTCTGTTTAGTGTTTTCTACAGGCCCTATGTGTCTCAGGATATTTGTTTAACGAAAACTAGACAAATAATTTATTTTAAAAATACATATTTTTTATTTTGGATGGAAGATGCGTAACCTGAGAAATATAATAGTAATATATGGAGGACTTCCCATAACCGTGATACATACATATGCTATAATCATTTTTCTATCAGTTCTTGTGTAAAATATCAACAAAATACACATAATACACTTACTTTTCTGTCTTTATTTGGAGGGGGGTCAAACTTTGTCAGACGAATTTCACTTCTTGGGCGATAGCATTTATGACAATAGCGGAAGTAAACAATTCTTAAAAAATGAAGAGATATTTCTAAATATATGAATAAATCATGAAGATTGGGAGTAATGGTGTTGAACTGTTTTTCGTAACACTGGTTTAAAAAATGGTGGGTGCATATTTTAGCTATTTAGGACAATTGTGCGATAATTAGGGCCGTGCCATAATTAGAACCATTTCCCCTATAACTGCCAAGATTTAGATTCTAGCCCTAACTTTTGAGGAAAAGTGAAACTCGATTTAGATCTACATTTGATCATAGCCGCCAGTGTTGGAATGAATTTGGGATAGGTTAATTGACATGACTGAATTACTTTTTATGATATGATTTGCTGAGTCAATTTGTAATCTGTGTCACAATCAGCTAATACATATGCCCAAATATGGTCATTTTACAATGCAAACATTTTATTTTGATCAATATTTTGACAATACCAATTCATGTCACTCTAGATGCTAAATTATGAGATAAATTTGTTAAAATGAGTCCTAAATAGGCGTATATACAAATTTGTTATTCCATATTACATAAAGATGTGAATTATACTCTTGCATCTTGGTGCAATCTTTATCAACAAAACCAGGAAGAGATTTCCAATTTTTATTTCCGGTTTTAATTTCCGCAAAATTTAGGTCATACTTTACAGGTGTCTGTGCGTTGAACTACGACACAGATGTGTCATTCGTTAATTGTGAATGTTATAATAAATGTATACATAGTATGCCAAATTATGTATGGTGTTAAATTTATTGTAAATAACGTAGAAAAGTACCTTATCTTGATCCGATATCGGCTCATCGTAGTCTGCCATTTTTAGTACACGCCTTCGAATGCATTGTGGGTAAAACATATGTCGTAATTTATGCATTTTTCCTAATATCAATTGCTCACTTATACAAAGATTTCTAACTCATTGAAATAGATCAGATTATTATTTATGAACTCCAGCATCTCCATTCCACTCAACATATTTAAGCATGATTGCAATTAATCAAATTAACATTTTCTGACAGGTGCTATCGTAAAGCAGTCTTTTGTATACACGGTGATTTTAAAAATGTGACAAATTCTTCATACGTTTTGACCGATTTCACTCTTTTCTAGTGGAGCTATGACCTCTAAACCACTGCTATGTTCAGTTAAGAAACCAGTGTTTATATCGGCTGGAGATTCATTTCAATCTGGATGCTGTGTAATTGATGTGACATTTCCAAATGTTATCAATCCTCAGGTATTTTTTGAAATTTACTGATTCATTCATTTACATGTAGGCCTAGGTTAGGTTACCTCTTTCAAAGGCTGCTAACTGGTCTAATAGAACAGCCTTTGCTCGCCCCGTATCGGGGGCAAGGTATAGTATCAGCTACTTCTATGCCAGTCAGGACTTCTCTTTTTTTGTCGAATGGATATTATCTATGGAGAAAACGAAATGGCGGACCTTTACAATTCTGTAGTAGCTCAGGTGGGTGGCGAGGAAAGGCTGTTCTATCACAACAATCACCTGTTTTTGAAAGGGTAAGGTCTAGGCTAGTTTTTGGGTGATACTAAAATAGGAATAAAATAAGGCGACCCCTGGGGGCATCTGGATTTATATATTATTTTACTTCCTGTAAACAATGAAAGACAGTCAAGTTTCAAAATCATCATAAAGCTTGACATTAATAACAGAATTAAAATAGTTTTTTTGCCTAGTGCAAAGAAGGTTGGAAATGAATGTGTGAAGGGTTCAATCAAGTTTATCAAAAAATAACTCATGTCGGAGTGGTCACTTACTGGTGAAATAAACATTGATCAATGCGGAATGTATTTTATTTTTGAAGAAATATATCATGTCCTAATATAAGTTATTACAAACATTAGAACTTTTTTAAACTGATATTCTTAAGAATCTAAATAAACATGTTCACAATTATAAAACTTCCATCAAAACTCTTAATATTTTATATTATCTCTAATTCTGTGTAAGAATAACACTTTTATTTATAAAAATAACACATGTATGTAAAAGTAGGCTAAATAGGTACATCTGTAGGTGGACAGCTACATAACCCTACATGTATGTGTGGGACCTCTGGGTGTATTTTAATAGAACCCCTTGTTGCTCTTAGGAATATGCTAGATACTTCATACAGATCTAGATAAATGAGTATAATGTATACATTTATGCTTCTCCTCGTTGTATTTCATTTCAATGTAAAGACATTGAAAGTCATGAGGAGAATACATCTCACCAATTCTGGCCAGTTTGTTTTTATTGTATTTGTAGAGCAACAATGATTCCTCCCAATAAGACACTGTAAGCTGTATAATCCTGATAATTATTGTTATAATTGAAGCTACAATAACATGTTGATTAGTTTGTACTTGAGTTGTTGTTTTTTCAGATTGAGGAAATCAGCTTCCGAAACTATTACACAGCTTACCTTAAGATACGCTTTAAAACAAAGGAGCAAAATGGTATGACAATAGTTTAACTAAATCTTAAAAAACATATGATATTGTTTAATACAAGGAATTCTTATGCGAATTAGATATTGAATACCCAGAGCTTGAAATATTGAAGGACAATGATTTTTAGATAATTTATTCCACTTAATCCTGGAAATTCTATATATTTTGAAACATTTTGGGCAACATCTAGGTCATTGTAATTGCTTGATTGATTGATACTAAGTCTGTCTTTATCAGGTTAACTGTATGAAATAAATTGTGCATACTATAGTCTGACAATCATATACACATTTATCCCATACTTGGACTGGACATGTATGAAGCAATATGATGAAGGTTTGTAAAATGTTGTGGTAAAATCTTAAAAAGTTAATTTTGTTATTGATGGTCAATATTTTATTCATATTTTCAGCTTAAATTATAATCACACTCAAAATTGATAAATTACATACATTTTAGAGAAATCTCCATGGAAGTCTGCTTCCCTAAGGAAAACCTTGATGCCTGACCCACACTGTGAGACCAAAGCAGAAGATTATTTCACCATCACCAAAGATGATGTAAGGTTAATGTACACCCCTCCATTGTATATACACTTCCCTCCATAAGTTTGGCAACTGGAAATTACCATTGGGTAGCATGTTAAAACCTGGTTATGATTTGAAAATGAATTTGTTAAAATGACAAACCTAGACAATATTCAACACAGGATCTGAGAGATTTCTTCTGGAGGGGAGTATATCTACCCCTACCCCCCCCCCCTCCACCCATGATGAGAAACAGGAATTTCAGTTATTTTGAGATCACTCCGAGTTATAGCTTTATGATACTCAAAGGAAATGTGTTTTAGATAGATGGCAGATATTGTATCATTTTTTATTTATGTCCCATAAAATCCAAAATGACCACCCTGAGACAGGAATTTCCATTAAGTTTGAGTATGGCTTTATTATATTCAAGTCAATGGTATTCAGAGTAGTTGGGAATTTGCTGAAATCTTGAACCTTGAATTATTGAACAAATATGGAAAATGTACCAAAATGGGCCAGTAATGTCTCAGTTTAGGTCTGGAATTTTGCCAGTCTGAACAATTGAAATGGTGTTAAGGACTCTTAAAGATGGCAGTGCATTGTTGCTAGTTGGTTGTTCTTCAATTTGTCTCATTATTTTTGTGTAAATGTTGCTATTTTAAATATCGATTACTAAGCAAATATTTCATTCTATGGAGGGCATTTGAGGGAAATACATGCTGCAAAAATCATTGTAAGTGCAAGCATTGCCTGAATATAGAGCGAAATATTTTTTTATTATATCATAGTCATTCTCTATGATCACTTTGCATTTCAAGGAAATATAGAATATTTGTTTCAACCTGTGAACATCTTTCATAATAAAAAAATGGAGGGAGCTGTGAAATACGCTATGATATTTTTGATCACATGGTTCTGAATCACCCAATCAAATCAAACAATTTCTAGCAATGGTACATGTATGATAAACTCTAATATTTATCAATATTTTTATCACCCTATTTCATAATTTTTGATTACTTAAAAGTTGTATGTTCGAAAACTCAATATGAGAGGTATGAGCAAATTAATAGATTTTATCTTGGAGATTTTTGAAACAATTCTTCTGTTGATGGATTATGACAATACTATTTGATACTCCAGCTCCTGATCATTGAATGAAATAAGGTCTAACCTTTAAAAATTATATATGAACTGATTCTAATTTGAAACAAGCTTTGGCATGTGGTTGCTTCTTTATTACAATAAAGTGAGAATATGAGTAAATGAATAATATAAAATGATAGTTAGCAGATGATACCAGCACAGTTGTTCTAAGAGGAGTACAGAGTGGTACAAAAAAGTGAACCCTTGTAACAAAGCATATGACAATTATTGGATACAACTGTTTTTCTGAAAATAAAGAAAATGCATAAAAAATGCAACTACCCATAGATATGGTGGATAGACCATTGAACAACCTTAACATTAGCATTGTATCAGCCATCCAGAACAGTGGAGCATGGATTGAGCAAATCATCCGTAAATCAGGCATGTCAGTTGACGCCATGTAACTTCTGCTAGATTTAAGACTGACTGACTTTTTATGATATCTACATTTACTAAAACTTTAGACCTCCTAAAACATGTGAGAATATAAGCCAATTAATGCTGTAATAACTGAGATATAGCTTGTTGCATTTGGGTTCACTTTTTTGGACCACCCTATATTTGAAATATTTTTTGCAGATGAAAGTTGAATTGAAAAATATTGGATCTTTGAGGTTTATACTATACCAGCCATCACCCGTATGGAAAGATTTCAGCCTCAATGACATAACAATTTACAGCACACGTGTAAAGGTAAATCATTAGAAGGCTATGTTGACCCGACTCTGCATGTTTAATATGTTTGCTTCCAATTTATCACCGATTTAATCATGAAAACGCATCAGAGCCAGGCTCATTAGTTAATTATTTGTGCAATTTTTATTGTTTAGTATACTTAGTAAATGAATCTATATTATATTATGTCATGTCTGTCTGATATAAATCATATTCTATGTGACAACACATTGCATGAATCTCCTACATGCACACAGGCATGTCAGGGGGTTAACTTATAGAGACTCTTAGTTACTACCATACTTGCTTATCAGTTTGATTTTCAATCAAGATGAGTGAATACCAACCATAATAAATGAAGAATTGACCAATTAAAAATACAGTGTTTAACAGGTTTAACCACAGTTTACAGAATTGCATCAGAAATTGCTAAAATAATTAGGGAATTCAAAATTCTTTGAAAAATTAGGGAAAAATTAGAATGGGTGAAAAAATGTTTAAACATTTGGTTGACTTAATGTGTAAAATGTACATGCAGTATTGAGCATGTAATAACTAGGCTAGCTATGACGTCAATATTGTTGTTGATAAAGAACAAGGGATTTGGTGAGAAAAAATTCAGATTTAAATCAGGGAAAATTTCAAAAGCTAAAGAAATTCTTTGGATGTGAAATAATAATGTTTATACTAAATTTGCCTGTCTAAATTCATGCTAAACTCACATTGACTTAGATACTGATACAAGTTTTGGCAATTCATGATGAAGTTGCCTGAAAATAGTTGTAACAAGACATTGCTGCAACCTTGTATAATAAAAGTGAGTTTTAAGCAAGGATCAATTGACTGAGCCTCGTAAAAGATAGTTTTATCTACCCTCTTTCAGTTCAAGAGAAACTTATGAGCACAATAAGAGTAAAGTAGAGTACAATCATGTTTGATGGCCCACCCTGTATGAGACAAGAGAACATCTAGTCTAAAATTGTTTCAGGAATGCTGACTCACTCGTCACTCTTCAAATATTTCATTGATACACACACTCTAGAGTATCATACCCAGGGGGGGGGTTCACTGTATATAAACCTTGACGGGGATCCTTGGCGCATGTGGGGTACCATTTTTGACATTTGGTATGACAATGGTACCTAATTTTAGGATCTGGTATGAGAATGCTCTCCAAATTATGACTTTTGAGGTAGGGCAATGTTCGGATTTTTCCACTTTCTAATATGAGAATGGTCATGGGAATATGTTTCCTCACACCTGTAGTTTGGCATTGGTCTAGCAGAAATTAAGGATATGTGTATGTTTTCCTCCAAGGTCTGCCTTCTTCTTGGAGCCTTCTTCAGTTTGAATATTCTACTTTGGACAGGAATGGATTAAAGTCCCCATGTAAAGTTTGAAAATATGTTTGTATCATTCATTTACCATTTGTCATGACTTGTCATGAAAAATATTTTGCAACCTAAGTGATGTCATCATGAATCACTTATTGAAAAAAATTGAAATTTTATTTTCTATGTCAATCTTTTCTTAATCATGCTAAACTTCAAAAATAAGCCAACATCGTTTGTCTAACAAGGTTTAAAGGAAGAATATATTATGTCATAAATATTATAGTATAAATGGTTTCTATGAGAACTAAAATTTTGAAATGCATTTTTCTCTGAACCATTTTCATGCATTGATGAGTTCATTTCTCACTTATTTATGAACCCATTTTCTTAATTTTTTCGGCAAAAACATGTGAGTATGAGTACTATGCATTGGTATGAATAATCGCTCATTAAAAGATACTGTATGTGTGACCTCTAAAAGTTACTTTTAAATAAATTCATGATTTTTTGTACAAAAAGTCCTTCAAAAACCACTTTTTGAAATTAAAAAAAAAGTTTCACATATCACACTTTAATAGCATTTTGTAAGCCAAAGTGGATTAAACTTTATATGGCGACTTTAAGTCTCACAAGACTTTTGGTATGGAATTGGTCCATATTTTGACACTTGGTATGGCATAGGTCCTATATTTGGAAATTTTTATGGCATTGGTCCTATATTTGGACATTTGGTATGGCATTCATCTATATTTGGACATTTGGATGGCATTGGTCTTGTATTTGGACATTTGGAATTTGACAGATTGGTATGGGAATATATTGATATCTGAGGGTTCAGCCTAGGACCCCCGTCAAATTTTCTAAACAGTGAACCCCCTGGGATCATATGGGGATCATACCTTTCTATTGTAGATCATATCTCACAATAAATGAATATCATTAATGTATAGCTAGCACACCATATGTTTATCATCCCATATTAAACAAGGAATTAACCTTGAAAAATGCCACCATCTGGTTTTATTACTGAGTTGTAATCATCTGTCATTTGTTGCCAATGTCTGACTCACTGAATACTGGTCACAAAATGTAGTCCCAGGCGGATGTAAACATTTAGTGTCGAGTGTAAAATTGAAGTGCCTTGCCACATTGTCTAACATGAAAAACATGTATTTCGCCATTGTTGAATATTATAGAACAAAGTCAATCTTTAGTACTTTCATGAACATATTACTTTCTTTTTAAAGATTTTTATTCATGAATTCAAAAAACTGTGAGTACATATTATTTATCATCAGTGGCAACAGCAGTGGCAAGTGTAAATTTTTATTGGCGAGTTTGAAAACACAAGTGGAATGCCACTTGTCGAGTGACAGAAAAATCCTCAGAACCACACTGTAAATTGTATCATAATGTACATATGGTATCGCATCATACTCAAGTAAATCAGATCATACGATAAGATTTTATACAGTACATGTATGGTATAATAGTCATATGATCATCCTTGTAGCAATACAGAAAATATTGGTACGGAGTTGACAATCTCTGATTGGTCAGTTTTTGTGCTGTACCAATTTGTAAATCAGTAAATCTCATCATACGATAAGATTTGATCCAGTACATGTATGGTATAATAGCCATATGATCATCTTTGTAGCAATACAGAAAATATTGGTATGGAGTGGGCAATCTCTGATTGGTCAGTTTTTGTGCTGTACCAATTTGTAAATCAGTAAATCCGATCATACGATAAGATTTGATACAGTACATGTATGGTTTAATAGCCATATGATCATCTTCGTAGCAATACAGAAAATATTGGTATGGAGTTGACAATCTCTGATTGGTCAGTTCTTGTGATGTACCAATTTGTAAATCAGATCATACGATAAGATTTGATACAGTACATGTATGGTATAATAGCCATATGATAATCTTCGTAGCAATACAGAGAATATTGGTACTGAGTTGACAATCTCTGATTGGTCAGTTCTTGTGATGTACCAATTTGTAAATCAGATCATACGATAAGATTTGATACAGTACATGTATGGTATAATAGCCATATGATCATCTTTGTAGCAATACAGAAAATATTGGTATGGAGTGGACAATCTCAGTAGCAATACAGAGAATACAGAATATTTCCTAGTGATTATTTCTTAAGTAAAATGTATTGGCCCAAAATCACCAAATAAAAGCGTCATAGAATGATTTGAAGTGCAATACAGGACATATTGTGCTTGAGAAATTCTGTATTGGTCATATGATTATCACACCATACTATAGTTTATCATATCAAACCATGCTAAAGTAAGTCATATCACACCATGTAATTATCACAGCAAACTAGGTTGAATCCTATCATAGCATACTAGTATGGTGTCATACCAAACTAACGTAACTCATTATTGCACCATATGATTATTATATCAATTAAAGTGAATCCTATCACACCATATGATTATCAGACCATACATCAGAGAACTGTACAACACAATATGATTTGATCATACCATATCACAAAATATTATTTCACACCATACACTTGTTTCACCACAACATGTATACTGAGGAGGTTTTAATGCATTTTATAAAACTGCCCCAAAATAAAAATCAGTGAATTATTTGTAGTTGCTGTCAGAACAGAGTTTGCCTGATTGGCTGGAGGATTCCACAGCCGGGGATGGCAAGGAAGATCAACCAACCATAAAGGTATCATCTGTGATTGGTTTTTGAATAACGGGGAAGTGGGGTCGCACACAACTGATTCTTCATATGTTACTGCTGGTTACATTATATGAGTCACATATTCAAAGTTCATTTTTTGTGTAACTGGTTATGCTATGCTTCTAGCTGTTTTCTTTGTTATCCCATTAAATGAAGTTTGGGGGGATATATAGAGAACAGATCCATCTGTCCATCAGTACAGACGTCCATCCATCCATACAGACATCCATCCATCCATACAGACATCCATCCATCCAGATGTCTGTCTGTCTGTCTGTCTGGGCAATAACTCAAAAACTGTCAACCCAATATTGGGTTATTGGGTTGCCCCTTGTGATCAAGGGTAAAGTCAGATACGAACATGTGGCCGTCATTTGTGACAATGGAATCTGACTTCACCATTGTCAGGGTGTTCTGGTGTGTTTAAGTAAAAATTAATTAAATTTTCTTGACTGCCCCGGGGTCCTTCCCCAATGGTTACCCTAACTATTTTATAAGTATTATTTCACCATATTTGTTCATTTATCTTTATTACAACTATATCATCTGCAAATTTTGATTGATTCTGACTTAACTTTTAAAAGTTATATCAGACGTAACTTTACTTTGTGTATATGAGAACAAGGACTCTAGATGCGTACTTTGCAATTAATTAATGCAGATTAATCTATTCATCATGAGTTTCATCAGCAAAACATTTCATTGACGTATGTGTTTTTCTATGTAAACTACATCATTATTGGCTATTGACATTAAACTGTTAAAGCACATTATCTTAAAGTGTGGAATTATAATTGATGATTTGAAAATTGATTTGTTTTGAATTTTTATGTCACCGCATAAAAGTGGTGACATACTGTTATTGTCTCCGTTTCTTTGATGGCCTTTGGTGGTGGGCGAACGGTGTCTGTAACAAATTCTTACAACTTCCAATAACTTAACAAATTCTGTTTAGAATTTTTCTCAAAATCATCGATTCAAATCTGACTTTAGATTTGAGATTTCACCTTCAATAACCTTCTCAGTGTTAAAAAGGTCTTTTTCAACTTGCTTCAAATTGACCAATTTATTTTTCCAAAATCATCTACAAGTTCTCAGAAATTCAAATCTGACTTAAAATTGAATTCATAATATTATTAGCAACTAGGTGGTGACACTTTTTCATGTTAATGCCTTGTTTTTTCTCTAATTACAGGGGGTTCCTGCTGTGGAAGACATCTCTAATGGACTCCAACACCTGTGGTCCCTGGTTGCTAAGGCAGGTGACAACAAACCTACATCATCACTAGGCAGATATGAGGTATGGTCAATAATTTCAAGGATGTTCAGTTACTAAATAAAAAAGTAGAATATACAGGGTGGGCAAAAATAACCTTTTTGAAAATGCATGGGTTTTATTTAACTTTTGCAGGGAATGCAGGCAATCCCCTTTGCAGTTGTTGCTTAAATAGGCTTTTTAACACGTCCCTCTGGTTCCAATATATCGGGCATAATGAAAGTCACTTGAAAATTGTAACATTATATAGTACCTTGAAACAGGGAGTTTACGTTCACTTGCCTATGGACTGTTATATTAACCCATTGAAATATTGCCAAAAGTTTTAATTGTGCCATTTTGGGATCAGTTGTATAATTGATTGCTGAATTACCTTGAAAACTATTATTATTAAAATCCATGCATTTAAAAAAGTTATAGCAAATAAAAATATGGACATTTTTTGGCCCATCCTGTATAATCACTACATATGTATTTACAATTTCCTTTGTCATACATAAATCAATGCTATGATAACACCCAAGTAAATATTTGAAACCCATTGTATATCTTGAGTTCAAATATGATTTTCACCTTGACTAATTAATCATGAAATTCACATTTTTCTCCCTGGCATCTTGTTCTTACTTCACTGCGATTGGAAAATGTCATCAAATAAAGTTTAATTTGTGATATTACACTATTACGCTGTAGTTCCAAGCTGAACTAATCAGAAAACAAGGGGACCTACATGTAATGTGTATCAATACAATCTATTTATTTAATGTATTTGATTGCTGTTTACATAATGTATTGTTACTAACTCATTACTAGAACTAATTGACCATAAACTGAGATTTATATTTTTGGCTAATGGTGAGCAAACTCATTAAAAAATCATTACAATTTTAGATTTTCATTCATCCAAACCAAGCAAGGCACAAATGTGTTCAACATTATCCAACTACATGTATGTCATGTTTAATTATGGAGTAATGATTTTGTTATACATACATAATGCATATTGATATTATATAAAATAATGTCCTTTTGCATTGTGTTATAGAAATCTGGAATTCGATGTTTAAAATAAATAAAAGACTGCCAGCTGGCAATTTGACCTGCATTTTATGGCCAATTCATTTAAATATGAAAATTAATAGTAGCAGGTACTATTCATATTTAAAGGAGTTGGCCACAAAATAGTGGTCAAATCGTCAGTGTACAACCGGCAGTTGAATTCGGGAATGCTACCTAAGCCTCCAAAACTGTAGAAATGACCTTCATATAATACATTTACTTTGAGCTTCAAGAAAGATTTATATTCACATTATTTTCAAAGCCATTGCCAAAGTTTACATTTCCCACATTGATATAATACCAGATATATGGTATTGTGCCTTATTTTATCCAGACTTCTTTCCATAGTGGATATTCGATACTGTAGAAGTTGTCATAGTGACTTGTAAAATGTTTCTGTGGTGCAAGTCGTAACATCACAAAGTACAAAGAAAAATAGGCACCATTTCTATTGACTGGTTGATTAATTTCTCATTATGATTTCCTACTTTTGGTTGTTAAGGATTACAAGCACATCAATACCTGACCAAATATGAAAAATAAAATATTTTGAATTTCTAATATGATAATGTTTCACAGTACAGGTGTTTTATAGTAAAAAATTGCAAAGTGTGGTTGATATATGTTGTTTAGAAATTATTGTTTATTTTGAGGCATTATAGAACTCAACAAGAATTACTCAGATGCGAGTTAATAGTTACTAGTTTCGCCACCAAGTGGCTAATTCCTTCATATTACCCTTATGTATCTGATAGTTACATGTACACCCCATGCAGACAGATCGACTAAAATTACATTCGGATGATGTGAGACTCGACAGTTACCAGGAAACTTGAAATATTTTGTCACCCGTGGAGCAAATCAATTTTTTACTGCTTAATAAATGGTGAGTGACAGCCAAATTAAGTTTAATAAGTATGAGAATAGAATGATGTCTTGATATTTCAAAGTAACATCATTTGAAAAGTGATGGCGTTGATTGAAAAAAAGATGTTCAGATAAACCGCGTAAAAATATTTGTAGATTTCTTTGAAGAACTAAAAAATATACAACACATATCGAATTTTCTGAAACACAAAAAAAACATGTTTAGATTGTAAGGCCTGCAGGTCCGATTCCCCCTGGTAGCATTAACATTGGTCTCGTATATGTCACACAATTAATAATTGAAATGCTGCTGTTATTCGAACTTATGATCGGACATCAGTATGGTAATTTCAATCACCGGCAAATATCAAGACGTCTTGCTATTCTCATACTTATAGAACTCAATGTGACTGTCATTCACCATTTATAAAGCAGTAAGAAATTTATTTGCTTCATGGGTGGCAAAAATTATGAATGTAATTTTAGGCGATCTGTTTACATGGGGTGAGTTATATCTAATTGAAAGCCCATGGTTATACATTATACAAATAGTCACTATTTGTTTTATTATATACCCTATACTGACTCTTGTCCCGTTTCCTCTGCGAAGGCCAAAAAGGCTTAGAAAGCCCCCTCCCCGGGTCCATTGTTAGCATTATAAGCTGTGACGTCATCAGATGCTCAACAGAAATTTTTGCCTCTGAGACTCTCACTTGACAAATTCAATCGCGTTTAACACGCGGAATAGATTATCATAACACTTGAAATTACACAGACGTATTGAGCTTAGGGAACATTGTACACGTTGCTTATATTGTATCGTTCACGCACGTCTGTCATGGTGAACGGAGTTGATTTGTGTTTGTGCTCATCCTCCATTTTTCTGTTTTTCGTCTGCGCAGTGATGATGAGCAAACGTTTCCAAGGGTAATAGAGCTTGCAATTGTGACGTCAGCGGGCAATAGTTCAAATGTATATTCCCGCTGACGTCACATTTGAGGGAATATAACTTTCCGAGGGAAATAGTAAATCTATTTCGGAACACGTGACTAGGTATTGACCAATCAGGATTAGTGTTACATATTGGGTATATAATAAATTGAAATATGTCCAGTAATAGAAAATATTATCTGTCCAACGACAAGAAAAGGTATTTCACTTTTGTGATTTTACAACATGGGGTCCATGGGAATCTCCACGACCTAAAAGTCACATTCTCAAAGAAAATTAAGTTTTCAACGTTGATAAGTCTTTTCAAAATCAATTCTAGATGTAGTTTTACAACAGGCCCGTAGCCAGGGGGGTTTGATGGGTTCGAGTGAACCCCCCCTGGCCCAAAAATCTTTCAAAATCATGCAGTTATTCACTATTCTGAGCACTTTTCAAGTGATTTGGGCCATTTTTGGACCAAAATTGTCACAAGTGAACCCCCCCTGGAATTTTTCAAAAAGTTACGGGCCTGTACAGTTTTTTAGATAGTTTTACATATAGATTCCAAATATGACATCAGTTTGACTGAATTTTGAATCTTTAATTATTTTTTTACCAACTAATATAGAAACAGCATCTAAACATTATTCACCAAACATGCTCTGGCTCTTTAAAAGGTCCCTGCTTTTTGCAAAAAACTACATTTTTGCTATAAATTAAACACTAAATCTTAATCTTGTAAATGTTTATTAAAAATGTCAACAGAAAAGGAGACAACACTGCTGTTTGATTACTTTAATCAATTGAGGTTCAAAATGAGAACTTCTTTGAAGAGATCTATTATCTCTGATAAAATTTGCTACTCGGTGGAGTTGCTGTTTTTTCTAGTTATGTTAATAAATTGTTTATTGTAGTAAAGAGTCATACTTGATTAAATTTACAGACATAAAAAAATGTTTCACAGTCATGCCTCATGAAATTTCTGTGCTTGTTTAAATTAATTTTGATTTATGATTCTCATTAAGTCATGTTGAGAAACAATATCCCATTTATAAAGTAATTAAATCAAACATTGGACGAATTAATGTTTCAGTGTATTGCGTCATTAACTTATGGTTATAAAACATAAACTACAACGTATGAAATCAATATTTCATGCACTCGTCACCCACATATTACTATTAAATTCAATTAAGGCAATGCTTCATTAAAATAATCAGGTGTTATCTCCACTGATGTTCTGAAGTTAAAATATACAAACAATGGACTTTGATGATTCCTTTGGTGTTTTGATACCTGTATATTATATGAGTTTGTACAAATATAAATCTACTTAACTATCCCACATGAAGTTTCCCAATGGACTAAGATAAGTCGTTCATTTGACCATCTGTCTGTATGTCTGTCTGTTCGTCCATACGTCTGTGTGTCTGCCTGGGTGATAACTTCACTACAAGTTAAATTATAAGAAAAATGCCAGTTAATGGATTTGTTCAAATGTAATAGGTTGACACCCTTTGGGCATAAGATCTCTGCTCAAGAAGGAATTTCTAATGTGGCTACTGTATTCAAATGGTCAACATGTTTAATCATAACTCAAATACCAGTTGTCAGATTTAGTTCATACTTTATAGATGGATGCCTAATCTGTCAAGATGGCTGCTGAATTCAAAATGACTGCCATTTTTCAATATAAAATGTAATTTTTGATAACTTAGGTACTGGTTATTAGACTTGGTCCAAATTATATAAGCTGGTGTCTTATGGGCAGGAGTTTCCAACACAAAAGAGATTCACGTAAATGCAGATGAAGTCAATATATTAAAAAATGAAGTGTTGGAAATAATTTCAAAGCAATCCTTTTTTGTGTTAGCCAATGAACAGTATGCATCACAGGGAAATAGCACAGCATTTCTGTCATGTGACCTGTGTTTGACCAACCACAGAATGAATAACATATATTTCCAATTAAAAATTTATGTTATGTTTATGTAAAAGGAAATATATATGGTTTATTATTTCATATCCTCCATGTTCATTCCCTATGATAAAAAAGCACTCAACCATGAAGGACTTTATATTAAATCAATTAATAACAAAAATAGATTAAAAGGTAAATCAATTATGTTATGAAGTAATCCGATTTACACCATTTAGATCAGGTAAAA